CGATAGGCTCCTCTTCGACTCGATAGTAGACCACTGCTATTCGATAGCAGCCTTTTTCAGTAGTATGTTAGTTGCTCTAAGCTCTCTTAGTTGTTACTGTTGTCTATTGAGATACTACTGAAAAAGTGGGTGGGTTACCAGCTTTTGCTACTGGCATCAAATTCTAGTACAGAGGTACAGGTTGAATCCCTAATCGCGAATCCCCAACAACGGTTACCGGTACCTCGCATTGGATCCTTATGACGAATACATGCACAACCGAATATTCTCAATCCAGCCATTGTAGCCAGTTACCGTAGAGTTACATCGATCTGTGACAGTGGCAACAGTACCGAACACACGCAGGTTCGACTTTGCTCGCTGGACTCGGTTACCTCGCATTGGATCCTTATGACGAATACACGCACAGCGGAATATTGTCAATCCAGCCATTGTAGCCAGCTGCCGTATAGCTAGTGGCAACAGTACTTGATTTGCGCATACAGGAAAATGGGTACCGACACAGGAATCACCACCAAAACAGTAGGAAATAACAAGAAGGGATGAATCTGGTAGGAGGATCCACTCTCTTGTGTGTTGTCGAGTAGCTAGCCTTGCTCCTGTTCCCTTTCAATGAGTCGACGACGATCCGTTCATGCTGTTGGTAGGGCTGGAGTTAACAGTTTCCTCCGTACACATACCTCAGCAGCGGTAGCCTCTTCTTCCTCGTGTTATTCGGAGCGATCAATCGTTCATTGGACCGCGACAATGGTAATTCATCGGCCGTCAGCAGTACAGCAGAGAAAACAACAAATAGATATGAGTTTTGTTTTCTGTGCTCAACTGCAGACGACCGGAGACTTACCATTGTTTTTCAAATTGCACCAACTTGGCCGTCATGGGCCGAGAACTGACTGCCATCCCACTGTCCATAGGATTCAATGAGGGATGGCTTTCGAATCTGCACCAGAGAAGGACGGCTTGAGTGAGGCTTGGATAATAATAGAGGTGCGATCGATCGATTCGAATAATTAAAACCAACTCACCTGTTGATGGCCGAGCTCGGAATTCTCTCCTGTTTACCATAGGAATTGAATGAGGGAGAGAAGTCAGCGCTGTACCTTCAATTAACACTCTTGATAATATGCTTACCTCATTGCGATCCATTCGATTGATCGTTCCAACACCATTCTTGTCGGCCGAGCTTGGATTTCTCTCCTGTTTGCCATAGCAATTCAATGAAGGAGAGAAGTCAGTGCTGCACCTTCAACAATAGACTTGATAATTGGCTTACCTCGTCCTAACTTACGGTACCGGTACATGTGCAGGCAATCAGTTTATCCTTAACCTTAGTAACTTCAACGCTTCTTTTATCCACGAATCGATCTAAATCTTTCGAAAGGGAACTCGTTACTTAACAATACACATGACCGTTGATTCTGCAACTGAAGTGTGGGTACACTAAATTACACAGTAAACGCGAGCGAATCGATTTCAGAGTGCAACTGAGGGGGTAACCTAAAGGAGCGTCGTCTCAGAAGACGTAATTTCGAGCGCGAACCTGAGAATTCATCTGAAGCCAATGCTATCGCATGAAAGGCTGGACACTCCAATGCCTTGCTTTGTCCTCTCCTGACCCCTTGGTTGGTAGACATGCTACTTATTAGAAACATATGGTTTACCAATACTGTTCAAGTATGGATGAATTCTCCGAAGAACTCAAGGAGGAGCGGCCACCAGATCTGAAAGCAAGAAGGGTTTGTTGCGGCTGCAAGAAGGAAGAGCCAGCCAACAAGCCATTTAAATTGCAATGCAGAAAGTGCAAAGATGCTGGCTTTGTTCCAGCTCTCTTTTGTTCCAATACGTGTTACAAGCAAGCCTGGCCAAAACACAAAGAATGGCATGAAACTAAGGGACAAGCAACGACATATGATGATGATAAACATCAGTGTCGCTCGAAGCTTGACAATCAGGCGAACCAAGTGAGGTCTAGATATGATGCATTATTGGTGGCTGGACTGAAGAAGGTGAATTCTGGTGACTATGCAGGTGCCAAGAAGAAGTTTCGTAAAGCTCAAAAGCTACTTTTTCACGGGAAGCCGAATCGAATCGAGGAGCTTCCCCTCTGAATCTGTCACTAAGAACAACAACACTGATAGCAACAAACACAACCAATCGGTCATACCTATACCATTACACTACCTATTAGCACCATTAGAAGCATTGAAACGAAGCGAAAGGACCTCAGGAAGCCTGTTTTCTGTTATCTTGTTGAAGAGTACTGTTTTACTATAGGATTCAACTCAATGTCATCACGGAAAACATACACCCCTTTTTCCCTCTCTTTACAACCTATTCAAGCCGAAAGGATCGATACCTCCTATCTCCTATCAAGCACACCTCCTCTATCAAGCGACTATCAAAGCGGCCTTCTCCGGTTCAGATTAGAAAGCCATCCCAATTGAAATCCTACGAGATCGGGCGGGTTTTCTATTCTCAACCGCCGACGGCCAAGTTGGAAGAATTTGAACACAAGAAGAAGTCACCGGCTTTCAGTAGACCCAGCAGTGCAAGTTTCCTCCATACTCTGCAGTGAACTGACATTGCTCTTCCTACGGACGGCCCAAGAAATCCCATTGTCAATCCTCTTTTTCGTACGATCGAACGATCTTCTTCCCCAACAACAACAGGCTCCGGTTAACCTTACCCCTAAGGTAACTGACTCACCAACACGCGAATCGAATCGAATCGAAATTTATCGAATCGAATCCAAGACTCGCTCCTCAGTGAATCGATCGATCTTCCCGCGAACGTACCTCCGTACCTCCCGCGACCGTACCTCTTCCTCCGTACGGATCGAACGACAGCCTCCTCCCATCAAGAAAGACTTCATGAGATACCTGCAGTGACCGCCGAGAACAGAAACACAGCTGTATTTCTTACTTTCTCACCGGCCACTCTGGGTTTCCCCTGACGTTCTTGTTGGAACTTGATCCTACTGATCCAACCAGTCCTATCCCTATACAGACTGATTGACTGATCCACACCTGCTACTGTTACCACTCCTACATTGATATCTAACTCCTCTCCCAGAGGAACAACAAACAACAACAGAGTTCCTGTAAGGACTTGAGTTCAAGAGTACACCGGCTGCATATAGCCCACGGCAGCCAGTCGTCCTCCTCAGACTTTATCACCAGGCTTGGCTGCACTCTCATCGTTCGACAGCCCCTCCGTGAGATACACAGCTCCTCTCCAAAGGATCTCACCCCCACAAGAACAAACCACAAAAGTTGCCCCTCTAGCGTATCTGGCTAGATTGTGCAACACCTTCATTGAAACAGCCACCTCTCTGCTCCTGCCCCTGCCCCTCCTACTGAGCTTAAGGAACTCCAAAGGATTGAGCCCCAGACAGACCTGCAGCGTGGCGTGGCATAGATATTAATACATAACTGACTCTTTCTCTCTCTCATTGATTGTTGAGTGACTCTCCAGTGACTTCCCACAGTTCCACCTGAATCGAGTACCCTCTCCACATCTTGGCTTGACTCTCTGTTGCATCGGTCACTACAACAGATTGAGTACCAGCCTTTGAGACAACACAGTGTCATACAGAAACACAGACCCATCAACCAACAACACCCCTTGATTCCCCACCACTGCCTCTACTGGCTATAGCGTGACTTCTCCAGTTTTCCCTGAAAGAATCCCTAACAGCCTTCGGCTCTGATACCATCTTCTCCTGCAGGCAGTGGTATACCTGGACCAGACTTGGCCACAGCCTTTGATCCAGTGGCAACAACAACCCAACAACTTGATATAACCCTTGATTACCAGTGCCTCAGTGCATTGCCCCTTGAATAAACCCCTCTACATCAATCCTCTCGCCACCTCACAAGCAACCTCCATTGCTTGCGTTGAAGCAACGACACTACAGTCAACACTCCAGGATACACAACTCTCCCACCAACCCACCTACCACCCACCATGAATTCCCCATGTCTACCCACAACTCCACTCAAACCCAAGTCCTCCAGACATTCCCCCACTCCCACACTTCACAACCAACCACATCCACCCATCCTCGCAGACTACAAACACCACTCCCCAGATGATCACCAACAGCTCCTAGAGCATGCAGCCATCTTAGGATCACACCCTTCCGAATCACACCCTACCCTATCAGGGGATGCCTTTGTTCTCACCCTTGAACACAGGCACGCCTCTATCCTACAACACACCATCAACCATGCTACATCCCAACTCCTACAACAACACTCCAACACCAACAGGATCTCCCCTCCTGCCCCTGGCACCAGCCCACTCCCAGTGCCCCCTTATCCTCCTCCTATTGACTCAACAACCCCTCGAACAGCCCACAACACTCCAGCAGCAACTGTGCCTACCTCCTGGGAACCACAGACTGCCAGTGTGTCATTTGACCCCATCTTCTGCCTGCTTGTTGGCCTCTATCTAACAATTTTTGTGCATTGGATGGGTTACACCCTGCTCTGGTCCAGCCTGAGGAGTACCACCTCCTACGGGCTCTGCTGGCATCTTGCCTTGCATGCCAAGGCACTTGCCACAGCTTGGGACCTGATCACCCAGACACACTTACTGGCGAGCACTCTTTGGTCTGGCAATCTATCTGGTCCTCACGGCCCATTTGGTGATAATGGTTTCAATACCGACAAAATCCTGTGTAAGCCCCTGTAACCCAGGTTTTGCGCTGCAGGTTTCCTATCAATGTGCTCACCCCCCTACCCAGGGCATCTGTCTACTTGGTGCTGGCTCCACGTTGGGCCAGTGGATGAGGTCATGTTGATTGGGCAAACAAGTAGATGACGACTCAGCTAGGTGGGGATCTACCCCACCACTTGCCCGCGTCAATAAAGTCACTCCGTGACCAATAGCTTGTTAAGCTAAATGAGTAATTTAAACCCCTTCGTAAAGCTCAAAAGCTTGATACAAGACGGCCAGAAGCATATTTAAACCTTGGCCAATGCTTTTACGTTTCAGGAATGGAGCAGGAATTCATTTCAATCACCCAGGAAGGACTCAAGCGCCGTGCCCTGGTTGCATTGACGGACAATTACATCGATGGCTACTTTGTGGATCTGAGGAGTCTTGAGAAGGAGATGTGGAACTGGTCGAGGTGTGTCTTTGATATCTGTGAACATTACATGGATGCACATCATGGTGAAGGAAGAGAGTCACAAGTACCAAATTGGTTTCACCACGATGACATACTCATTCGAGTCACAAAGGTGGCACTTGAATCGATGAAGAAAAGAGAAACTACAAATCCTGGCATGATCATCAAAATGACATGTATTCAAGCACAGGTTCTCTCTAATCGAGTTTATGACATTTCAAAGAAGTTTAAAAATATGGTCAAAAACCGCACACCACAACAGCTGCTGGAAGCATCGGCGCTCTATAGGAGTCTTTCAAAAGATGGACCAGCCAGTATCTCCGAGTTCTTTGAATCACAAGCTGCAGCGCTGGAAGGTACTGTAAGAGCTCATCAGGACAGCAAACAAGGCACATCCTGCAACGACAATGATGTACCAGTAATCAGAGCTCATGCCTGGGTAATCCTCCGTGGCCTCACCAGCCCTTCTGGCTCTGCAATGAACGGGAAGTTGGGCCTGGTCTGTGAGAATGGCTTGCAACATGGACGGCATCTTGTGACAGTGGATGGATATGATGGGGTCAAGTGCATTAAACCTGAAAACTTGGTGGAGATTCCAGTTGAAGAGTACCGCGAGGCTCTGATTTCCACCTTGGGGGAAGGAATGCAATGGAGGTTTATGAGGAATTTGGTGGAGCATGACGCATAACCTACGCAAGAAGAGTTAAACTCCGACAAGAAGAAAGCACCACAGTCAAAATGTTGAGCCACTATTCGAAAGCAGTTCGATGATACCAGTAGTCGATTGGCAATCCTTCGATTGTGCATTCAATCTCCAATCCCTCAAATCAATCGGGATGTGATGGTTGTGAAGGACGATATTTCTGTACAGGGAGCTTTATTTTATTTGTCAATGTGCTCTAGCTAGATGATTACTGGAGTACGAGTACCGGCACCTACTACAGTACCGTGTGCCGCAAGAAGGTGCAGGTTCCTCCAACTCAGGCCCTGCGAACATTGAATGGCACAAAAACACTGGAACGCCTTGAACGTGGACGTTGTAGCGCTTCTGGTCGAACCCGTTTTGTGCTTACATGCGTACTGTCAGCACACATTTTGTTGCTCTTTTGACAGCGCAAGATGCCACTCAAACAGGTATGCGGCTTCCATCACGAAGACCCTGCTCCTCTAAAGCGCTTGGCTGTCGCAAATAATCCCATTCATTTCAAATAAAATGCACCGGCAGCTCTGCTATATCTTCACATTGCCACTGGACACTGCCCACCTTACTAGCTCGGTTCTGTTTTTCACGTTGACCTTTCGATACATGTTGGTCAATAGCTGTTCCACTCGTCGTTTGGAGAGAAAAGTCTTGTCCGCGATCTCTTGATTCCTTAGGCCCTGACAGAGCAGCTCCAAGACTTCTCTCTCATCCGGCGCCAGAAAGACATTGGTGCCTTCATCGACCCAGCCATTGCCAACACCCCCTCCGCCCTTTTCCAAAAGCATGTATTTGATCTCGTCTAAATCTTGGCGGAGATCGTCCATTTCAATGTCTGCACCATTGAGAATTTCATACTGCGCGATGAGGCCATCACAGATGGATAGCAACTCTTCGGGATCAAACGGTTTGGGTAGGTAGATATCTGCTCCGGCATTGTATCCAGCAATTCGGTCCTGTACCATCCCCTTGGCCGTCAACAACACCACAGGAATGGCTTGTAGCCGATCATCTTGCCGCAGGACTTGCAAGAACTCCAGCCCATCCATATCCGGCATGCGAATGTCACTAACAATGACATCCGGAAGACGGGAATTGCCCATGTCATCTCGGCGTTCCTTGGCGACTTGGAGTGCTGTGGGGGCATCGGCACATGCCGTAACTTGAAAGCCTCGGTCAAAGAGCAATTGACCTACACTCTTGCGAATTGATGCTTCATCGTCAACCAGGAGGATCCATCGATTGGCTCGTTTTTGAAACTCGTCGTCACGGCTAAAATCATCGATATCGGCTTTTATTCCATCTAATTCTGCTAGTGCTTCATCGTCGTCGTAGTGGTCACCCACCTGAAGGCTGCTTTGGTACACTGAACTATGTTTCTTTCCATTGAAGTTATAGTTTGGGAAGACTTGAAATGCCGACGAGGAAATAAATAGAAGACTCAGAGCGAAAGCCAATCGAAAAGTGGTGGCATGAGACTTCATGACGGTGGGATGAATCAATTGTTGCCTTGTTCACAAGCAGGAACTATGATTGGTGCTCTTGGACATTGGAATGTCATGGATAGCATTCAAGCTCGCGATACCAATTACCAATAGGTTTCAAAACCGTCCTTACTCCAACCTAACCATGCAAATCAACGTTGCCGATGAGTGACAGCCCCTCCTTTCGGCGTCGAAGGGATGATGGCGTTGGTGGTGGCAGCTTGGCACGGAAAATGGGAATGGGCGCAAAAGCCTCAAAAAATGATGCTGACGTCATCAGCATTAAAGCCAGGAGAGCGGAATGAAGACTGTTACTCACCCACCAGCTGGTGCTCAGACAAGCTCAGAGAGTTCTTGGCTTCACCCAGCACTTAGTCTGGTTCATGTAGCTGCTGCCCTGATGCCGCAAATATGATTGAACCTATCGTAATGATGAGTGCTCTAATTTAACAGTATGTTCAGGTTTCAGCGGGAATCCTCGTGGCACTTTGACGCTGCTTCGTCGCGGTCTCTTGTTCGGTGCCAGTACGATGGCCCTTGGGAGGTCCTCAAGTCCTTCTTTCATTCGAAACGCTCTTTGGTGAATTGGTGTGCGGGAATGATTGGTTCGATGTTGTGGTTTTATACATAGCATTCAATGTTGTTGGCCTGTCTTTTGACTATTCGTTGGCCTGCCTGTGGAGAACTACGGCGCAGCCTCGCCTGAGCCGCCGGGCTCTTCGATGCGTCTCCAAACAGCAAAATACTCCTTCGTTGAGTCATCCAGTCTCTTGTTCTTCGTTGCCGCCATCCGCGTGATCATCAAGACAGAATCAACAGACACGACCTGATGAGGAGTGCTGACCGCTCCAGACGCTCCAGAACTTTTGGCCAAGAACCCGGAAAGGACGCCACCGGTGCCGGACACCACCAAGTCTGTTCGCGTCAAGATGCGCCTTTTTTCTTGAAACTCAATTCCTCCGGATTGTTCCACAGTAAGGAATCCAGCAACACCAGAACTAGTGAACGTCATCGATTCTGTGTCGAGCTCTTGCCAGGAATAGGACGTGTTGTAATACTTGACTCCATCCCCACGTTTATCAGCCAACAACTGCAACCGCCACGCTCCCGCCATGTTCTCCTTCATCTGCTCTGCACTTGCCAGAGCAAACTCATCCATTCCAGTCATGATGAGAGCCATGTCGTCCTTTTCTGGTTCCACCACAAGGGGTTTCCCATCCATCCATGCAACAGGTTCCGGCGCAGGTTTATTCATTTCGATTTCTTGTTCCAAGGCATCATCAAAGTGCCTTGAGATGGATCGAAGAGCTTGCACAATCTTTAACCGTGGTACCTCACCTGCTCCGGTTGCTTTGAGAAGGATCTGACGTGCTTCACGGTTGGATCGGACCACACTTTCAGTGAGGCGACGGTAATACCCCGAATCCAAGTCAATGTACGCCGTATTGTAAACATCATCAAAGTTCTGAGCAATGTTGGCCAATCCGGTTGTATCGATGAAAGTGTTTCGGATCTTCTTGCGAGAGAACTCTGGGCTTCGAGCCTCATCCCGCATGAATTGCATAGCTTCAATGCCATACAGAAGACGCTTGGCGTTGTACTTTGTTTCTTCAATACGACTCTTGGACAGCGTCGTGTAGACCGTGATGGCCTCTTGTGTACGCCCCACCGCCTCGTATGCCATTGCAAGTTCCAAAAAGACTTTGCCACCTACAACACTGTTGGTCGAACACCACTTGGTGACCTTCTCCAGGGCTGAAGCCGCTGTCCCGTAGATTCCTCGCTGCAAGGAAAGAATACGTCGTAAGCCCACATGCATTGTCAAGAAGATCCACTCAAAATGATGTGCAGCTAGAGTGCCTTTCCACGGCGCAAACGCCTCAGTACACGGAACGTACCTCCATGGCTCTCCGCCCAATGGCCAGTGCCTGATCGATTTCTTCTGCATGATCTTTCTCGGATTGCACATCAATGCCTACCTTTTCTCGATACTGCTTTAACCGGTCACGAGTTGCCTCTTCTGCCTTCTTTTTGTTCAGATTGTCGGGTGTGTATCCTGCCCCTACTCGCTTACCACCTCCAAACGTTTTTGAGATGTCTTTGGGTCGTTCAAAGACACCCCAAGTTCCACTCTTACTGGGCTTGTAGTCAGCAGATGCAGTCACATTATCTTCTTTCATCCACCTACCGCCGATGCCAGTTGTTGTCTTTCCACTACTAGAGCCCTGATTATTTGCCTCGAGTTGCTCCTTTTGCAATTCGGCGAGCCGTCTCTTGGCATTTTCGCTAGCCTTGGCTTCTTTTGCTTTTTGCTCTCGTCGTCGCTTTTCCGCCAGCTTTTCAGCTACCATTTCAACTAATTCTTCCTCTGATAACTCTTCTTCCTCGTCATTGTCATCCTCAAACAGAGATGCATCAAAGTTCTTGAAGTCATCGGTACTGCTGGAATCAGATGCTGACGGTGGCGCATAGTTGGAACTGCCGATTTCCTCTTCGTCTACTTCTCGTGGCAAGGCACCAAGTCTGGCTTCCCGCCTCCCAGTTGTTGTAGTGATTTCTTCGTCGTCATCTTGATCCAATTCAGCAAGGAGTGCCTCGTCTTCATCATCATCTATTTCTCCCGCGACTGTGGTACCCAACAGCTTGGCTTTTTTGGCTCCCAGTTTGTTTCTCAGCTTGGTTCCATACTGTTCTGCCACAGGGGTAGCACTTTTTCGTGTTCCATCGTCTTGTGGCACCGACGGTTGGTTCTTGAGTTTGCCATCACGCTTGAGATCGGCAATCTTTCGACGAATTTCATTTTCTCTGTTGAGACCCGCCTGAAGATTAGATGATGATAATGACGGAGAGTGTGTAGCAAATTGTTGCCTGGATACTGATTGTCGCGGGGACAAAAATGCTGCTTGCACTCGTTGATTATCATTGCCGGCCCAAAGAAAGCACAGGAAAAGGCCAGCAAGGAGAAGCTTTGGGCAGGATAATTGAATCATCGTCCTGCCTTCAGCTCAGTTTGTGGGAAATAATGCAACAAATTGATCTCTCTGAATGGCAAGATATACCCGTTGACACAGGCCTGTCAAAGCTTGAGATCTCTGCTATCACCAGATAGATAGCTAGACAGCTAGTTCTCTAGATTAGGATGCAGTGAAGCCTTCGGAGAGCAACCAATTACCTTCCTTGCTTTGATCGACTCTTCGCTCCAGAATTCTGGTCTTCAGTGAAGATGAAGTAGTCTAGAGTGGAACGACAATACCAGTCGCCAGTCTTGAAGAAGTTCAATGCGGTGGCATTGTTCGGAACAAAAGCCAACAGGCTGGAAGCACATGACGCTCATTTTTCCACTTTTCTCTCGTACGTGGCGGATGTCCGAAAGAAGGACGACAGGCTGAGTCAGCCCCCTTGGAGCTCGCCTTGGTCACTACGACGCCCCTGCACTTTCAATGGGCAGCCAAATGCTACCGGTACGGTACTACAGTAGTATCTCTAACGATACTAGCTAGCTAGTACGGCAGAGTAGCAAGCGGTGGGGTTTTCCTCATGCAGTGTGCGGGAGTTGATTCAACGAAAAGGATCAACCAGAATGAGACGGCAATCAATGTCAAGTGGCTGATACCAACCTCCGCCCGGGGACCAGCACCAAGCTGAATTGATGGTGGAGCGAACGTAGCACATTTGTAACATGTTGGATGTCAGGTCAACCATCCGTCTGTTGATCATATGCAGAGCAGAGCAGAGAATTCAATGTGACAATCTGTAGCATGTGGAATCCCAAGAGCAAAGTTGGGTCTACAGTACTTTGACATGACCTGTCCTGTTTGGGTTATGGCTGGCTTTTTAGTCTCAATGGGACTACTATAGCAGTGATAGAAGCCCAACGTTCCGGGTCTAAATCTCTTGATGGCCTCCTTTACACAAGCACGTAGTGCACTGAACCTCTAGATCCATGTCGTCGTCGTCGTCGTGGTCGTCGTCCTCAAAACCTTACATTGCTGAATTGATCCTGCAGGTACTGGTACTATTCCTCGTTGTAGTGGCCTCCCTGCTAGCCTTCTCAGATACCTCAAGGCATATCTTCCTTCGAGCAGCAAAAGTATACTGTTTCAGTGCACGATTTCTAAAAAACTATTACTGCCTAGTTGTACTTTTTGTCATTGAGCCAAGTGGCATGTGTACTGCACTTGTTTGGAATAGTTTCATTGATTCCTTCGTTCCTTCCTTCCGTTCCAGTTGATTATTTATTTGAACTTACTTCGTCTTCTCCTCCATTCTTTTTTAAAATTTAGCACTCATTGACTTTATCTCGTGCCAACTCTACGAGTTGTCGTTCGGCCATGCTCAATCCCCATACAGGGGATCCATTCAATTCCAATCGATTGAGGGTGTCCAATACTTCTGGATTGGTCATGAGTTTCTTGATGGAATTTTTGAGTTCAATGGATCGTCCCGAGACTTGTCCTGGATTTTCGGTTTCTTCTCGTTGCAAGAATTGTTCGAGTGTTTCTAGTTCTTGCATGGTATGTGTGATGCTCTGTACGTCTGCCGCCATGGCCAACATTTTGGATCGTTCTTCTTCGCTATTGTCGTGTTCTTGGGACGTATTCTCGGGAGCGGCACGGGCACCACCGGATCCGTAAAAGCCACCTTGGCCTTCACTGGCTTGTCCGCCAGAGTACTATAATATATTACATGCAGTATGACATGAATGAATTTGAATAGAGTGAGAAAATAATGGAAAAAGAAAACAAGAGAAAGAAAGATAGATAATATAAGAAGTGAACTCACGGTGATACTGTCCGAGAAGAACGCCTTTGCTACGAGATTGGATCTGACGACAGGCCTGGTAGCGAGAAGTCTCGCTGCCATGGGAGATCGGATAATGGCACGAAGAGGAAAGCTCATCCTGGAGCAGTAGTTCAGTTGTACGGTACTGTAGTAAGTGGAAAGAATTCGGTGATCTTGAGAGAATGGATCCGATTCGACTATTGCGTGAGTTTATGAGCTGATGAACACCTCACTATAAGAAACTGGCTAATGGAGATAGAATGGGTTTGTCAACTGGTTGCTTGCTTGCTTGCTTGCTTGCTTGTTGGTTGTGTTCTTTGTCCTCTTTGCTTTGGGATTGATTCAAGAAGTGAGAAGTGTGGGCATCATGGTGGTGTCAACTGCCGCAGATCGACCAGAAGCCAAAATCTTTGGAAGTGCAGATCCAGGAAAGAATCAGGGACTGCATTCGTGAACCACGTACGTGTCATTTCTTTCCCTTTTGATGGTTGCCGTTGGCGTTTGATGTTTGATGTTTGATGGGCATCGGATTGCCACTCATTCGACACCCTCGCTATCGGTATTCACTCAGCTACTAGCTAGTCTAGAGCTTCTGGATCTCTGTCAACGATGACCGTGTTGTTTTCCTGGTGCCTGGTGACTTCCACGCTGCTTGCATCAACATCCATGGCCTTCCTGGTTGTTTCCCGCCGTCCAAGAAGAATACCGACCTTCCAGAAGTATTTCTCTCAACGGGGACATGCCAGTAGTTCTACCAGAACCTTTACTACTACTGATTCAGATACGATCAATTGGAACGATGACACCAACAACGACAATAATACTGACGCGTATTGGTTGCGACAAATACAAAAGCAAGGGGAAGCACGGAAGGAGTATCAATGGTTTCGACAAATGTCATCCTTGCCCTTTGAATGTACCGGTTGTGGGAAATGTTGCAAGACAAAGGGAAATGTCTACATGACTCCCGAAGAACACCAACAAGCCGCCGACTTGCTCGACATGTCCAAGCAGGAATTCATTCAACACTATGCCTCGCATACTCTACTGGAAGATTCCACCACCAACCCGGGAGAAGAAGAAGAAAGGATGTGGATTCGATTACGAGATCATTCCACCACAACAACAACAACAACCACCAATAAAGACCACCAGCATGGCTGTATATTTCTGCAAGACGACAATACGTGTCGCATTTACGATGCCAGACCCATTCAATGTTCCACGTATCCGTTTTGGCCCAACATTCTGGCCAGTCAACAGGCGTGGAATGACGAAGTGAGACGGCCAGACGATGATAATGATGATAATCATGACGACAATCACCAAAAAATACCACTCTGGACAAAAGAACAGGGCGGCTGTGAAGGCATGAAGCTAGTCGTGACTGACGACGACGACGACGACGACAAATTGGATGATGCAGATGACCAAAGTAGTGTCAGTGTCCCCCGAGAACAAGTCTATGAACAAGCCTTTTGGTATGAGCACGATGACAGGAGATTCCCAAGAGGCAAGGAAATACGCGTGAAACCAACTAGCTAGCTAGTGGAGTGTAGACACAGCCAGAGAGCGATGTTGCCGCAGCCCCTTCCCAAAGACTGGAAATAGTCTATCCTTTTGCACTGCCGTGAACTCCGCGCGCACACAAAATAAAGGATGAAGCCCCGTGAATTCTGTTGGACTACCGGTATCCCAACACAAATAATGAAACTTCATTACGTGACAAGTCACAGGAGACGAGGGCATCCAGTTCAGTGAATTTCTCAGTGCAGTGAAGACCACAACACTACCTCGGGCTTTTCAAGATCTCCATAATTATTAATTGACACTGATGATTGTGGGACTACAGGCTGCGCTTTGGCAACAAAACACAGACCACGCTACATCGGTAGTACATGTACCGTAAAGAAGAACAATGTTTCTTGACATGTTTCATCTTCTGCACTCGACTAGATAGCCAGACTCAATCCATTATTCAAAATTACTTATACCTCCATCACATCCAATAATCCCGGCAAATCATCGACATGGACCCAATGACCTGCCTTTGGCAATTCGTGCATTCCAAAGTTGCTGGGATATTCTTGTTGGAGTTGTCGCAGTGGTGCCAAATTAGCTTCAGTCCAACCTTTGTTTTTTCCTCCTCGTACCAAATCCACCGTGACAGTATTTGTCTCTAGAATTTCCTGTAGCAATTGCATAAAATCTTGCTCATGAAAATTCGTCAACAAATCATTAACGACAGTCAAATCAAAACTGAATTGCAACTCGTCCGTCTTTGTCTTTTTTTGCAACGAGGAAGCCAACCATTGTGCCGTGCCCTTGTCAATTTTATAGTCGGTGGTCAATTGTTGGACGAGTTGTTTCTTGTCGGTAATGGGTGCTTTGGAGGAAATGTCCGTGACGGCTCCGACGACCCGTTCGACAGCATCATTGGCTTCTCCCGGGACCGTATCCAGCAACCAGATGCGTTGCAGTGGATTGTTGCTATTGTTGTTGTTGTTGCTTTTTGTTGTGACATGATTGTGTGCATATTGCAGCGAGATGCGCCCCCCCAACGAATGTCCCACAAGAGTTATTTCAGTTTCTGGGTGGACTTGTGGAACCATGGCCTCGAGTGTTTGATGCACGTCTTGCACGCAGCTTGCAAAGGTACTGCTAGTAGTGGCGCTTTGCACTACTTTGGAATTGCCATGGCCTCGTACATCGAGAAGTACTCCTGGTCGTTGCGATGCATCACATAGTTTCTTGGCCATGGTCCTCACATTACGGCCATTTCCCAGCAGACCGTGGAGAAAGAGCACCACATGGTCCAATTCTTGTGTTTCGGGTGGATGGACCCAATCATAATGAAGCGGGATACCCCTGTCACTGCTCAGTGAAGATAATTGCCTCCCAGGGGGTCTCAACACTGGTGGCCACGATCGTTTGATAAGGCTGTGAAGACATCTTCTGTACATGTTGGTGCTAGCTAGCTACTAGTAGTACATGTAGGTTATCAAGCTTCAACGAAGTAATGTCTTGCAGACTGGAAAGACCGTCGATCTTCTCGATCTATGAAGCATAGGCTTTACCTCGGCAGTCTAACTGCCTGAGTCCTCTACCCCTTTACCTCGGCAGGTAAACTGCCTGAGTTCTCAACCCCTTTACCTCGGCAGGTAAACTGCCTGAGTCTCAACCCCTTTAATGCTTTCTATTTTTCCTATTTCCTATTTCCTATTTCCTATTTTCTATTTCCTATTTCGTCTCAATGAGACGACGCACCTTTTGTTACCCCCTCAGTAGCACTCTGGAATCGATTTGCCGGCGTTTACTGTGTAAAATAGAGTACCGCACTTCAGTTGCAGATCAACGGTCATGTGTATCTTAAGTAACAGGTTCTCTTCGAAAGATTTAGATCGATTCGTGGATAAAAAGAACGTTGAAGTTACTAAGGTTAAGGTCGATCGATTCGATTCCGGTATCTGTATTTATTTATTTATTTATTTATTTATTTATTTATTTATTTCTGTTATCAAGCCTGTTATTGAAGGTACAGCGCTGACTTCTCTCCCTCATTGAATTTCTATGGTAAACAGGAGAGAATTCCAGCTCGGCCGTCAACGATCGATCGATGGCTACTACTACTAGCTAGTACGGGTAAGTCTATTATCAAGTGTGTTATTATTGAAGGTGCAGCACTGATTTCTCTCCTCATTGTATTCCTATGGTAAACAGGAGGTAAATCCAGCTTGGCCGACAAGAGTGGTAACCGTAGGAGGAGTTCTTTATTCAATCGGCTGATCGATCGATTGATCGATCGATCGATTGATCGATCGATCGCAATGAGGTAAGCCTATTATCAGAGTGTTAATTGAAGGTACAGCGCTGACTTCTCTCCCTCATTGATTTCTATGGACGGAAGGAGTAATCTGCCGTCAACAGGTGAGTTGTTTTAATTATTCGAATCAATCGGTCGCACCTCTGTTATCCAAGCCCCACTCAAGCCATCCTTCTCCGGTGTAGATTGGAAAGCCATCCCTCATTGAATCCTATGGACATGGGATGGCAGTCAGTTCTCGGCCCATGACAGCCAAGTTGGTGCAATTTGAAAAACAAGGTAAGTCTCCGGTCGTCTGCAGTGAGCACAGAAAACAAAACCTATATCTATTTGTTGTTTTCTCTGCTGTTGCTGACGGCCGATGAATTTCCATTGGCGCGTCCAACGAACGATTGATCGCTCGAATAACACGAGGAAGAAGAGGCTATCGCTACGGACGTATGTGTACGGAGGAAACTGTTAACTCCAGCCTACCAACAGCATGAACAACGTCGCAGTCATTGAAAGGGAACAGGAGCAAGGCTGCTACTCGACAACACACAAGAGAGTGGACCCTCCTACCGGATTCATCCCTTCTTGTTATTTCCTACTGTTTTGGTGGTGATTCCTGTGTCGGTACCCATTTTCCTGTATGCGAAATCAAGTACTGTTGCCACTAGCTATACGGCAGCTGGCTACGATGGCTGGATGACAATATTCCGTTGTGAGTGTATTCGTCATAAGGATCCAATGCGGTAACCGAGTGCAGCGAGCAAAGTGAACCTGCTTTTGTTCGGTACTGTTGCCACTGTCACGATCGATGAACTCAACGATAGCTGGCTACAATGGCTAGTTGACAATGTTCGGTTGTGCATGTATTCGTCATAAGGATCCAATGCAGGTACCGGTAACGGAGTGTAGCCAGTAAAGCGGAACCTGTGTGTTCAGTACTGTTGCCACTGTCACGGATCGATGTAACTCTACGGTAACTGGCTACAATGGCTGGATTGACAATATTCGGTTGTGCATGTATTCGTCATAAGGATCCAATGCGAGTACCGTAACCGTAGCGAGCAAAGCCGAACTTTCGGTACTGTTGCCACTGTCGTCGATGTAGCTATACCGCAGCGGCCACAATGGCTGGATTCATAATGTTCGTTTGTCATGTATTCGTCATAAGATCCAATGCAAGATACCAGTAACGGAGTGTAGCCAGTAAAGCGGAACCTGTGTGTTCGGTACTGTTGCCACTGTCACGGATCGATTAACTCTACGGAACTGGCTACAATAGGCTGGATTGACAATTCGGTGTGCATGTATTCGTCATAAGGATCCAAGCAAGGTACGGCAATGGAGTGTAGCCAGCAAAACGGAACCTGAGTGTGTTCGTACTGTTGACACTGTCGCCGATGTAATTGTACGGTAGCCGGCTACAATGGCTGGATTAACAATATTCGGTTTGTGGCATGTATTCGTCATAAGGATCAAATGCGAGGTAACGAGTGCACGAGCAAAGTCGAACCTGCGTGTGTTCGGTACTGTTGCACTGTCACTGATTGATGAACTCTACGGTAGCTGGCTACGATGGCTGGATTGACAATGTTCGGTGTGCTGTATTCGTCATAAGATCCAAGCAAGGTACCGTAACGGAGTGTAGCCAGAAGCGGAACCTGAGTGTGTGTTGTACTGTCAGGATCGATGTAACTCTACGGTACACTCGCTACAATGGCTGGATTGAAATATTCGGTTGTGCATGTATTCGTCATAGGATCCAAGTGCGAGCAAACTAGGAAACAGGAGACGAACGCTGAAAAAAAGCCGAATTTCCTATTTCCTATTCCGGTGAAGCCAAAGTATAAGGATAGAGATAGTCATAAGCCAACAAAACTGAACATTGATGAAGTTAGGGTAGGAATTAATATTTAAGGTTAGTGCAATCAGCACAACAGCACAATAAGCCAGCAGGAGCTGTAAAGGTTAGAGTTACAAAGGGAATGGCAGCTGGCAAATTAAGAGTATTGGGCGGCAACACACGACGTAGTCGGGTGTTGTCGCCAGGGATAGCTTAATAAAAAGAAGGTTGCAATGAGGGAGAATGAATGATACCGGGCGGCAACACAGACGTAGTCGGTGTTGTCGCCAGGCTAGCTTGAAAGATGGTGCAATCTCGAACATGATCCTCCTTCTTCTATCTTTCTTTCTGCGGGTATCGCAGCTCCCGCTGACTTAAATGCTATTTCCTATTTCTATTTCTATTTCCTATTTCCATTCCGGTGAAGCCAAAATATAAGGATAGAGATAGTCATAACAACAAAACTGAACATTGATGGTTATACAAGTTAGGGGTAGGAATAAATCATTAATATTTAAAGTTAGTGCAATCAGCACAAAAGCACAATAAGCCAGCAGGGCTGTAAAGTTAGAGTTACAATAAGGGAATGGCAGCTGGTAAATTATAGAGTAGCGGGGGGCAACACACGACGTAGTCGACGAAGTAGTCGGGTGTTGTCGCCAGGGCTAGCTAGCTTAACAAAGAAGGTTGCAATGAGGGAATGAATGATACCGGGCGGCAACACATGACGTAGTCGGGTGTTGTCGCCAGGGCTGGCTTGAAAGATGGGTGCAATCTCGAACATGATCCTCCTTCTTCTATCTGTCTTTCTGCCGAGGTATCGCAGCTTCCGCTGACTTAAATGGCAAATTTTGTGTCTGTGGGATCCCCCTGTTTTGGTGAATTTCGGTTTTTCACAATTTCAATTTTGACCTCGGCAGTCTATCTGCCTGAGCCCTCACCCCCTTTTTCGGTATTTCCTATCCAATTTCCTATTTTCTGTTTCCTGTTCCGGTGAAGCCAAAATATAGGGTAGAGATAGGCGTAAGCCAACAAAAATGGAAATTGAAGGTTCTACAAATTTAGGGGTAGGAATAAATCATGACTATTCAAGGTTAGTGCACTCAACACAATAAGCCAGCAGAAGCTACAAAAATTACAGGTACATACGGTTGTCAGTGTGACAGCTGTAAAATTATGGTTAGAGGGCTAGCTTAAATAAACAAGAAGATTATAATGAGGGAATGATACCGGGCGACAACACCCGACTCGTCGTGTGTTGCTGCCCGGGCTAGCTTGAAAGAAGGGTGAAAGAAGGGTGTAATCTCAAACATGTCATCCTTCTTCTATCTGTCTTTCTGCCGAGGTATCGCAGCTCCCGCTGACTTATTAAATTTGTGCAATGATCTTAAACTCGTGACCGGACTGATTCAATGCTCCAAGATCTCGGTGGATCCACAAAGAAGCTTCAATGTTCCAGTGAAGCTTTCAGTGAGCAGGTCGGTCCAAGCTTCAAGTTCCGCAGAGCCGCAGAGCCAAATGCGAAGGAAATAATAATGAAAAGGGCCATAAGTAAGTGTTGCCACGCACACTGAACATTCGAACAGTGAGAAGCTGGAAGAAGTCTAACATAAAGCACAGAGCACAGCCACATGATCACATGATGATGCCTTGCTGCCTCCATTACTTCCGCTCGAGGCTATTACTCCGCAGCCATACTCACAGCTTCGTCCTAACCCACGTTGTTGTGTTGATCGTCGTCATGTTGGTAGCGGCAAATCCTGTCCCTGTTGTGGCTTATCCTCCCTCCTCGTCTCCGCCTGTTATGGCTAGCAGAAGAGGCGGAGGAGGTCACTCAATGTCCCCTCTCCAAGATGATGCCGAGTCCAGTACGACTACTTCTACTAGAGTGCAGACTCCTGGCAACGCTAGAACCGTCATGGTGACGGGAGCCAATGGGTATCTGGCCAGCTACATCGTCAAGGACTTGCTCTGTTCTGGACACACGGTGCATGCATGTGTCCGAGATGCCAGCAAAGAAGCCTCTGTCGAGCACCTGAAGCAACTCACAAACGCCAAGAGCCACCTCAAACTCTTTTCCACGGGAGACTTGGCATGTGCCGGTCCCGGCAGTCAAGTCTTTGATGCTCCCATGAAGGGATGCGATGCCATTATCCACTCCGCGACACCCTTGAGTGTCAAATTCGGATCCAACCACAGTGGAAAAGAAGACATTTTCAATCCAGCCATGATTTCCACACAAGAATTGCTGGATTGTCTCCGTCGACACGCCAACACGGTCCGATGCCTCGTCCTGACATCCTCCATGGCAGCCGTGGCGCCGCGACCGGAACCAGCCGTCAAGGATGAGTCACACTGGTCTGATCCCGTGAGTCAACAGCAACGCGACAATTGGTATGGATGCACCAAAACCAGTCAAGAACAACTCGTCAAAGAGTGGATTACACAACATCGACCGTCTCTGTTGTCACCCGACTTTGTCTATGCCGCTATTTGTCCGACCATGGTCATTGGACCTCAATTGAGAAGGCCCACCACTCGAATTAATAACAACAAGATCACCAAGGTTGACGGAACCATGGGAAGCTTGCAAAAGTGGCTGCGAGGTGGAAAGTCTCTCGCACCCAATGACTCCATGAGCTTTATTCATGTACAGGATTGTGCCAGGATGCACACACGAATACTCCAATTGAAAGCTACCGATATCAACCAGCATGCACGATACATGAGTCTCATTGAAAGCTTGCATTGGAATGACATTTTGCAACTCCTGCGCGAACTATATCCCAACCTGCCGCCCTTTACACCCTACCAAGGAGATGACAAGGTCAAACCGACGCAGTTCAATCTTGACAATATGCAGTCCCTATTACAACAACAGCCAGTGAAGACCACACGAGAAGCCTTGCAAGATTCCATTGACTATCTGAACCAAATAGGTGCCCTGGACTGATAGGAAAAGCACAGTACGAACCAATCATCATTCTTTCGAAAGCTAGCTAAAGTATCTTATTAATTAAAATAGTGGTATTATTATTGATTACCGGTATCTTCGGTCGAGGGAGACGACGACGACGACAGCAATTGGATGGCGCGATAGCACACGCGAGCGTCAAACAAAGACACGTGCGCGTCGTGACGAGAAAGACCCAATCCATCCGCCAAAAACTGATACGCTTCGTCGTGGCTCGATTGTCGTTTCCACTCATCGAGATATTCGTGCACGTGGAGTCGCCAACGCTTGGTGGCGGCCGTGGCGGCAACGCCCAGAGGCTGTCCTGCTGTGAAGACCTTGTCGGTCCATTGGCCATCTCGTTGATGAGCCTCGTGGTCAGCTCCGCAGGCATCGCATTGCCACAACAACAAACCAGAGCGGTAACAATGAATGCCGATCCGTTCGCCGCAATGACACAGACGATAACGGTTCGAATCGCATTTCAGGCGTCGCAGTTTCATGGGGCCTTGGCCACACGGACATTCCACGTGCCAGCTACCGTCGGCAAGTCGGGACGGCATGTGGGGAGCTACTCCTGGTTCAGGTGGTGGTTTGGTGGGCATGCAATAGCGGGGTCCGTGAGAGGCAGACAAAAAGCGCGAGTGGGGATTGTTGGCATCCAACAGATTCTTCTTCTTCAACAGATAATCACACCATTTGGGTGGGTCGGACGACAGTATTTCGCGCAACACGCGGTCGCAGGGTTTGTCTTTGGCATCGAAAAGTTGGTCCTGTGTCCACTTCCTCAACAAGATGTCGGCACAAACCAAGCCAGAATCGCGACAAATCTCATACTGCTTTCTTCTGTCCGTTTCTCTGCAGACTCTTGTTTTCCAAAGATTTCCCAGACGAAGGAGTTGTCCGTCGATTAGCTCCTCGTACTTGTCAAATCGAGCCTTGATTTCGTCAACCTCGTCTGGACGAAGGTCTTGTAGAGCTTCCAGGATGGCGTGGTGTTGGTTGCTCAAAATCAAAGGCACCGCCAAGTCGGGAGTTACGAGACGAAATCCTCGATATTTGAGTTTGTGGATCTTGGAATAGAGAGAAGACTTGAGTTTTTGTCTACGAAAGTGACAATCTTTGAGCACCAGTCCCTCGAAGAGACTCTCTTTCTGACAACACGTCGTCAGAATGGCCTGAGGGTCTGTTTCATCACCTCGCGGATTGTTGTAGACAATGGGTCGTTCAAAGGCCGTGAAGATGTCGAGCTGATCATCGGGTATTGATTGATGATGAGTTTTCAAGTCAAACGCCGCCAGCAGGAAAGTTGTCGGTTTTGGGCACTTTCGCACAACACGGTTCTCCATGGAACAAACTTCAAGGCAATAGGTGATGTCTCGGTCCAACCCAGGAATTTCGTCCAGGGAGGTGACATGGTTGCCCAAGGACGCTAGCAGCAGGTCTTGATACAGCTTGTCTTGTTCACAAAAGGTATGTCGCGTGGCGGCCATCCATCTGTGATGATTAGTCGAATAAAAGAGGTTGACTTGGGTCCCATCCACTTTTTCCTCGAGGCGTAACGGCCCTTCCAATTCGTGCCTGTCTTTTTCACTCGAGTTGTAGAAGCGGTTCATGGGCCAACACACGGTCTGGAGTGTCTCTTCCACAAGGATCAGTCCTCGGCATTCGCAAGTCATTGGGATTCTTGGACTTCTTAGGTTGTTGTAGCAGAACAACACCAAGCCATCATAACGGGCAAAGAAGAGATGATACTTTTTTGCGACTTGCTCCACTGGGCTTGTCCGAAAGCAGAGCACCAGATTTCATTGGTTCAATCTTCATTTACGACCATACCACTAGTATGCATAATAGAACGTCGAGATAAATTCAATGGAAAAATCGACTCGATTCAACATTGCCATCACTTTTGGTTTGTTGCGGTTTAGGGGCGCTGGGGTCATCCACGTTTGCGTGTATTTTGTGACGGGACTCAGCCCATCCTGCGCTCGGGAGTGACCGCCAAGGTGAGAAAGTAAGTTTGACGGATCAGTAAGCGACGATCGGAGCACCGGAAAGCGCTCGGTTGCAAGGCACACAATGACAACAGGATCGGCCCATTACACCAACAAGCATGTGAGTGTTCCGGGTGCTATCGCAGAAAACAACCAGTAGGATGTTTCATCCATAAACCAACCATCCTTGCGAGTGAAAGCCTACCAGCAGTTTCATAGTCACACATCTCACAATGGTTTTTGAGTGGATACCGTGCTGCTGTTGCCCCCCTCCTCTTCCTTGCTTCGGCTGCGTCCCTGCTGCCCCATGGCAATATCCATGCTGCTGCTGTTACGGTGCCGTTGCCGGAATTCTGCTCGGAAATGAGCTGTCAAAGGAAGATCTTGAAGCCATTGAAAGGGCAAGAGCAAAGGAGATTCTGAACCTCAGCTTGTTGGACGAATGATTGCTAAGATTGATGTTATCATGAAAACCGAAAAGAAGAATGTCGCGGTTGGATTTGCTAAAGTGTCAAGGAAGTTATCAAAGAATCAAAAGAAAAAGTAAACGCTATTACAGTTGCTGGTGGTATCTTGTCTTTCTACATACATAGTACAGTACGGGGGCAGATGTGGTGGGTTAGATCACTTCTAGGTTTCCCGTACCTCACTGTATCTTACTATTGCTATACTCTGAAAGGAAAACGTAATAGCTATGAACAAAAACTATTCAAATCAGTCAAAATAGCTAGCCGAAAGCTTACAAAGCCACCACTTCAAAAGAAAAGATAGCAACAGCTAATCTGGTTTGACAACCGTATCGTCACATCGCAAGACCTTTCTATCTATTCGTTCCTCTCAGGCGAATGTGGGGCCTCTGCCAATTTCAACCCAGGCATGGTGTCCGCCAACAAGTAGCAACCGGACATGGTGAGACAGAACGGCAGGGTCAAACAGGGTGAGCCATATGCGCCAAACAAGTCTCCCATGGCCCCAAACACAACTGCTGTCGCCGCTGCTCCTCCTGCACTTAGTGCCATGACTTGAGGTGAATGCACATAAAAGACACCAACGCCTAGACTGGTCAACGCCGAATTGAATCCATACAGTCCCATGGCTAGCGAAGCCATGTCGGCTCCCATTAGCGCACCAGTGGCGGCACCAATAGAAGAACCCAACAATGTATGAGCAGCAAGACCCCTAGAATAGTAGGCAATGCCACCAACAATGGCAGCACCGGCAAGGGACGATTCGACCACAAATATTTGAGAAATTCCTTTCCAGGGCGCATGAATCAGAACATCCGTCAGGGCCGTGACAGCCTCAGCAGCATCTGCAGCCCCTTCTGTAGCAGTGGGTTCTTCTGCTGCCAATAGCGGTTTTGTCCGCAAGAGAACGGACAGTGTGACCATATTAAAGGCAAGGGTGAACTGAGGTACTGATCCCAAGGCTGGTTTGAGGGCAGACGCTACAAAGGGTGTTGCAGCCGACCCCAAGATTGTCGTGGTCATGCCGGCAGTGGCGGCGTTCAAAGCAATGGGCGATAACAGTGATGCAGCAGGAAGTGGATTGATAAACACTGCAGCTGCACAACCGACCAGACATCCATTGTATCCAAAGAGACCATCTTGGAGAGCTGCTTTATCGAGCCCTGAGAAATGAGCTGCTGTGGTGGCTGTTGCCGCTCCCGTTGCTGCTAGAACCGCAAGATAAGGGTTGCCAATGGCCAGGCCACCCAAGACAGCCAGGCCTGAAGTGGTTGAATTAAGAAAGATCACTTGGCCCACCCCTCGTAGTGTCGCATCTGGCAGCGACGTAATTGATGGCAGTTCTGGTTTGACGCTCGTTGGAAGGTCTTCTTCCTTGTCATCTTCTGACGAAAAAGAGCTTTGAAAGCGCACATAGCAAGCCTTCCTACTAGTGTTAAGAGGAAAGCAGCGTTGCCTACTAGTAGTAGACAACCTCGGTAGCAGCCTCAGCCTCAGCGTCGACGCCATTTTCCCATCAAGAGCTCAACTTGAGCTATGAAACGAATTTGCATTGGTGGCTCTTTGCTCAATTGGTTCTTTCAGCGTTTGCGGAATTAGAATTGGCTGGAACATCCATTCTCTGACGACAACACAGTGATACACAGTCCCTGTTGAACTAGTGACTCACCATTTGCATCCTTTATTTACATCCTCAGAGCTGCGGAAACATGTAACGACTTGACTTGACCTCAATCTCAAGCCCGCAGCAGACAGTGCATTCCAGACACTAAACGGTACCATTGCCCAAGGAGAATAGCTTTTTCGTTGCGACACACCCTGAGCTTTTGTAAAGCTTGAGAAAGGGACCTCAACTAAATTCTTGCGTTACGTGCTGCATATATCCCCAGGGAAGGAAGAAGACACTGGAGACCAGTCAGTTTGCTTGAGGGGCCAATACCCCTCATATCGGTGATCATAACGCAAGATATCTGTTGTCTGCTGGTATGCATACATGTACTTGTAGATTGAGCTCGCCCAAGAAGAAGGAGCCTTCGAGTACGGAACATTCAGCTCGAGCTACAGTAGTCTACGTACCGGTACCGTACTACGCCTTGTACCGGTACCAGGTAGTGCCTTTTAAAAAAAAACAGACGGACTCTGACTCGACTCGTCACTCTCACACGACTCGACTCGAGACTCGACAGGCCTGCGGGTGGGTGCATGCATCATGCATCATCATCTGTGCCAAAAAACAGAGTTCTCGTGACTTTTAGAGCTTAGATCTAGTGTCAGTCATGGGTGTTCGACCCGTTGGATTCCAAACTTTTGACACCACCAAGCCAGCTCTCCGGGCATTATTTCTTTTAGAGCATTCTTCCCACGCTCAGTTTTTGCTGGTTTGAGTTTTTGCGGCTGCTTGTGCTTCCCCATAACCATACCATAAAGCTTCCGGAAAATACTGTACTTCTGACAAAGTCTGGCTGCAGCTGAAAGCGTTGGCGTCGTTGCGGAAGTTGCAGAGTTTGTAGTTCCGGCTTTGATCAGCAAATAGGATTGTGCCGGTCAGTCTCATTGACACCTCTTGCTAGTGGTGGAGGTAACCTACCAGTTCAAATCGAAAGCGCACCTAGCCAGCTAGCTCTCTTTGCAAGAGGACTAAGCGACTGTCCCATTGTTCCATTCCTGATCGGTTGACAGGTCATTGTCTTTTCCACAACATCCATAATACCAAGAAGAATCTTTGTCCACCATGATCACCTATGATAGGTCGGCCTTTGGCCTTAACCTCATCTTTCGAGTGCATGGCTCTGCAATCTACCGATCCATCATCCCTGGGATGCTCGCTGTGGTGACTCTAATTGTCATTCGATACATTCAAAGCCCAGACGGCTCTATGGATGCAAGTAACCGAACTGACAATGAAGTACAGCATCCCTACTCTATTGGTATCCTCGTGGGTTCTATTTCCTTCTTGATTGTGTTTCGGGCAAGCCAAGGATACAGCAGATACTGGGAGGCTGCTGGAGCCATCCATCAAATGCAGAGCAAATGGTTGGATGCTATCATACATACTGGTAAGGATTGCACACTGGCAAAGTGTGGCCGGTTTCGCCGGTGTTATCCACCTTTGTGTCTCATGAATTTCTTTGTATAATCAAAAAGGTTGCTATCACATGCAATGCGGCCATTATGACTCCATTAAGCCACCTTCATTCTTCGACTACCCAGAGCTAAACGCTTACTTTCTGACCAGAGATAGGGAGAGATACCATGAAGTATCGCATGATAAACACAAGGACGTTTTGAATGACCTGGACGATGGAATCATTCCGGAAGAGGAGGACCCCTCCATTGTCGACGAAACGCAGCAAAAAATCGACCATTCACAAAGGCACCTGGTCGTGGAAGCTTCAGCTCCCGAAAAAATACCCAAACCGAAAAGAATCAGCCGCGCCATTTCGGAGCGAAGTACTGATATGGATCCCATCTTGACTTCCAAACGAGTCGACAACAGTGATATCGTGGACCGTGCGGTTCTCAAGTCAATCAACTCCCTTGAAGTAACGAATACTGAAAAACACGTGGAACGAGAAGATCGCCTCAAGCGCCGCTATGCAATGGATAAATCAGAGCCAGGTGGCCCCGCTCCTCTTACAGGGGCTCCTCGGTTGGATGGGAACTGGGGAAAGTTATTTCCTGATCGAAAGGCAACCTTCTATCAGCCTCGCGATACGGATCCGAGTTCACCCAACTATTTGAACAATGTACCAAGTTTCGCCAGCCATCAGGGAGGACGGACACCCTCGTTGTTTTTGCAAGAACTTGTCCATTTGTGTTCCTTGATGAATGCAGTGGCTTTGTCCACTCTGCGAAATGACATGGAAGGATCAGTTTCACCCCTGGGAGTCTACAAACCTGGTTCGCCCTGGCCCGAAGTGGATCCCGACAAATTGGATAGTTACTACTTGAACGGGTCTTGGTCTACGCGGATGATCAAGAGAATTCAATATTTCCTTGGAACTGCTCGTTCTCCCGAAGAACGAACTCGTTACAACGCAGGTAAGACTCGGCGCGTATTTTGCTTGGCTACATTGCTCATTGGACAGAAACTAACTGCTTGTGGTGGATGCGTGTAGCTCGACCCTTGGAAGTGCTGGGAGGAGTATCGTGAGTCTGCTATCTAGTTTGTGCTGCTGGGGAAGTTTGCCTCTATGCGCACTAGCTAGTACTCACTTCTCTTGATCTTCTTTTCTAAAAGTGATTCTGAAATCCGTTTCCTGCAAATGGCTCGTGGTCCACTTGCAAAGACACAGCTGTGCTGGTATTGGATGACAGAATACATCATCCGCGAGCATTTGAATGGATCTACAGGCAAAGTTGGTCCTCCAATTATTTCTCGAGTCATTCAATTCTTGAGTGACGGTATGGTTTACTACAACCATGCACGGAAAATCACGTTTGTCCCGTTTCCTTTTCCACACGCACAGCTCTCGGTTTTCTTTGTTTTGATTGCCATCCCAGCTGTGGCGTTTTTAATGGATCAATACGCAGACAACATTGTTCTTGCGTCAATATTATGCTTCTTCGCGGTCGTGGCGCTCAGTGGTATTCATGAGGTGGCCAGGGAGTTAGAGAATCCATTTCGCAACATACCTAACGAGCTGCCAGTGTGCACATTTCAAGCACAGTTCAACGAAGGTCTTCTTGTAATGTACAGTGGCTACCATCCGGACCACTTTTGGGATCCGACGAAGCACGATCATCACCCCACGGATCCGTCACCGAAGATCCGCAAGTTTGGGACGAAAAGTAGAAAAGGGGGGTCACCAAGACTGTCCACGGTTCGGAAAGTTCACAGTGCAGATGGATCCTCGAAGAGGCATACCATTGCCGCATCAACCATGATGGCTGGTAAGAGAGCCGTCAATGTGGTGACCGCTGTAGGCAAGGAAGGTGTGCATGCCGTCACTGCCGTTGGAAAAGGTGGAGTGGGAGCTGTGACGGCAGTGGGAAAGGGTGGAGTGCATGCGGTCGCTGCAGTTGGAAAAAGTGGATTAGATGCTGTTGCATCTGTGGGTGAATCGACCTTGATTAGGAGACCCCATAGTACGGGATCTACACCAGCAAGACCCATGACTGATGATTCGGCTAATTCGGTGACGCCGACCGCTGTCGAAGCCGCCGTGGATTCAGGAAACAACGAGGGAGAGGGAAGCAACATTATTTCTGGTGAACGTACGGCATAGGAGCAGCTCGACTTGAGCAATGCAAGGCACGAAATATAATGTGCCCTTCACTTTCTCAGCTCCCTGCATGCTCGCGAATGGATGCCAATGATTGTGCTTCTGACCAGAGTTATTCTTTCAGAGGTTAGAGACAATCTGCTACTTGAAGTTGTGGATTGCTAGTACTCATGACAACTTGGCGCTGGCGACAATGCACATCACAGCAACCCGCTGTCCTCACTCAACTGTTGGATTGTACAACCATTTATGTCATTTGTCATATATATGATAAGAACTACACGTACGATAGCCCATGACGCGTAATGCATGCATGTCGAGGTTACTGGCTAGCCAGCACCCCTCTAAAACTATAGAATCGTTCCTGATACTAGTAGCAGAAGAGCAAGATCAACCCATTGGACTGAGTCGGCTGTCACTCATCCTCCTTCGTCTGAATGGCATCAAGAGGCATTTCTAGTGGACTGCTACTGGTACATGTACGACTGTACATGTACATTGTAGCGTATGCATACCGGCATCAGTCTGGACGTCTGGACTATCATATCCCTCGGTTCGAAGTCTTGTGATCACATTCTGTCCAGGCTTGTGACGTTCGTAAACATGTTATTACCAATCTGTCGCCTTGCGTGGACCTCTAAGAAATGCAGAATCTTGTTTAGCGCTTTATTCACTTAGAGAGCCGTTCAATCCGTTAACAATCGTTGATCGTTGCCCACATTCCGGTTCATTCGTACATTCAAAGCTCCTTCACAAGACAACTCACAAATTTGGTCTTTTCCACAACAAAAGAGCTGTTCGACAATTCTCTAGCTAGTGCTTTGATAAAGACAACAACAAACAACAAAGATGACCAAGACAATCGAGTGCAAGAGCGGGGAACAAGAAGCTTTCATTGCTGTTCCAGTTTCTCTCAGTCAAGAGCCTGATGTGGAAGAAAGTGAGAAGGATTTCAGCTGGGCATCTTGCGGCGAAAGCTGTCTCTTGGCAATTCTCCCATGCTTGTTGTTCATCCAATTCGGTGTTGCTTACTTGACAGAGAGCCCACCTCAAATTCACTGGATGATCGTGAACTTTGGAATTGCTTGCTTCATTGGAACAGCTCTCATTTTCCGAAGAGCTTTTAACGAGCCCGAATCCCTCGTGGCATTGATTCCAGAAGTCCTCATCGATGTCATCCTTGGTCTCATTCTGTTTGAAAAGACAGAAATCGCAGCCATCGTCATGTTCGGAAGCATTTTGAGCATGGGTGTTGTGGCTGTTGCCAAGCTTGCCATGACAACAACTGAAGAGGAGGAGGTTGAAGTTGTACGCCGTGGTGACTGGAACGCATAAACGAAACCTATTGCGAAAACTCACATCTGCACGGTTTCAACGAATTGCGACGATCGCAATGGACTATTCAACAACAACACTGGGGGACAAAATCAATCACTGATAAGCCAATTACCTTCGGAACTTCCAGCCTCTCGAGCTTCCCTTGGCCGCTCACATCGAATCACATTGATGCAATAGTCTCAAACTAAAACACAAACTGTAACAACACCAACCACATTTCTGCTGTCTTGCATTACAAGTTGCGTACTAGTAGTCGTTGTGCTTCCCAATCCCATAGGCCTGATGATAGTAGGGTGCCTCTCTCGCATTTTGCAACCAGCACTCAAATGGACCACTCTAGCTGGTTATCGTGCCATGTCCTCTGCCGGTGGCTACCCGCTTGTGCAGACACCGGTACCGGTACAACTGCTTGGCTGTTGCAATTGCATACATTGTTGTCACCATGGGCAGTGATGTGAAACTACACCTTACAAATTGGAATCAAAAGCAAAGGCATAATGTTTGAACTCGAAGCACGGGACGACCGCAAAAACTGATTGCCCTCTTGGAGAGGCCACGACATGCCGGTACAGCGTACCTGGATAAGCATTTCGCTCGCGTAGCTTGGAGAAGAGCCTAGCAAGAGGTTCACAACCCCCCCGGTGATACCCATACTTTGCTCAGAGGTCCGCCTCAGTCCCCTCTCTACCCTTGTTGGATGGATCGAGAGCATACTCGTACCTGTATACTAGTACCTCTAGACAATCCCACGCCACATCAGGTCCCACATCAGTTCACCATACACCGGAAGATAAACTCTATAGACGTACGAAGAATCTTCTCAAGAGTCACAAATGCTCGGGTGGCTGATGTGTCTCGTCGTTTATCTTGCCGTGGCTGTACTGCTGTTTCGTTTCAGTAAATGTTTGCTCAGGCTAGAAAACCGGTGCAGCGTGCGTTATCAGCCACAGCTTTCAACATTCTTTACTGTATCAAGTGAGCTGGGGAAGGGTGTCAACTACAGTATCGTGGTGCCGTAGCGGAATGTCCACATGCTAGCTAGAGGTCTAGCGGCCATCAAAGAGCGACATAGTCCTCAATTTCGCCTTTTCTTTTCCTAAAAGTCTGGCTATCTGCCGGCTTCCATCGATATTAACTCCCCCACCAGTACTCTAGCTGGGTAGCCCGTACCGCAGAAATCAGTAACATATGATGACCGCAGAGAGACTGATGCTCCCTGACCCTACCTTGATTGTTCAACTTTGTTGATCTTGAAAGTTTCAAGCGGACATCCTCCGTCCTGGTCACGGCAGCAAGATTCTTATCAAAATGACTTGGGTATAGCCACGTTCGCCGCAATCAACTCAGCTATTGCTATGCTGGTACTGCGATGAAGAAACCAACTATTTCTTGGGCCTCCACAATTCAATGGGAACCTTGTAGGACCCTGGAACAGTCATGGAAGTGAACGTGCCGAGACAACGATCTTTGGAGCCACGGTCAAATCATACAGTACTGCGTTGCGAACTCGCGACAATCGGAAGTTCGAAAAACGTCCACCGCACCTGTTTCAACCCGAACCCGGGAGAAGATACCGTACGGAAGTAAGTTAAAGACTCCACACTCAGCTCACAACTTTTTTCATTTTCCTTACAAAACAAAACAAAACAACAAGCAGCGAGAGTTACATAGACTAGCGAGAACTGACGGCGTAGATATGGTTTCAAACAACTGCCAGAGTGATCAAGAAGAAAAGGCAGCTCATGTTCTTCTCTGCATTGAGAGGCATTGCCATCGATTGTCAAAGCAGTTTCCTTTTTTTCTCCATGTCCAAGACCGCATTGGCGACGGAGATGTTTTGATGGCCAAGCCGCTAACAGGAGGGCTTACAAACTACTCATATAGGGTTTATCTGCGTGAAACTCCAGCATGCTGTGCGTTTGCAAAACTCGCCTTGCCATACGCTCTTTGGAGCCGGGATAAGAACAACCATTACGACGTCCAAAGAACAAGAAACGAGTTCAAAATGATGGAGATGTTTGCACAAATCAACCCAGGCTGCGCCCCTGTCCCCTATCTCTGCGAACCAGTACATGACATGATGGTGCTGGTGACAGAATGGAACGACGACGATGAACAGCTAGCTACACAAGTTATTGATGGCTGGATGGACCCGCGAGTTGCTTCCGGATTGGCTCGGTCCGTGGCAAATCTACACTGCCAAGACTTTGACCCGAGCTTCAACACAGGCATTCGCAACACCATGGTATCAACATTCTCAACACTCCACAAGAAACTAGAATCGATGATAGCCTCGACTGACAACAGCCGAGCTTCATTGCTTGCGCGCACCATGGGAACAAACTTGTGCCAGGAACTCGCCAGCAACATGCTCTTTCACTATGAAAACACACGAGACTGCCTGGTTCACTCTGACCTTCACGTGAAAAACATCTTGGTGGAAAGAGAGGCAGCCAAAGATGGCACAGTCTCCATCGTCGATTGGGAGATGGCTTTCAGTGGGCCCATTGGACGCGACCTGGGCTCGTTCTTCCCGTTTCTGCTGTGTTGTGCCCTCGCTCATGCCATCAGCGGCAAGCAGGAAGAAGCACTTAACTTGCTCAATACAATAGACCAAATCTGGGAGGAATATGCGGAAGCTCTCAGACAAAGGGGCAAAAGTGAGGACTTCATAAGCTATGCCTTCCGCAGCATCATCGGGTGGTGCGGACGCTTCATGTTTTTGGGCTTTTACACTTCTGGAAATCATACTGAAGATTTCCCGCTTGCAGACGCAGACGACAAGCCCACCTTGATGGATAGCATCGGTGTGCTCTCGTTGCGCTTCATGCAATGGGGTTTCGATTCGAAGTACGTCAACTTCGACCTCGAAGACCTGCGGCGTATCTTTGCGGACAGCATTTGGAATGAGATGGCTTTGATCACCACGATCAAGGCAACGCAACCTACAACAAGCTCGAATAAGTCAAGTGTCGTCAGTGGACTAGAAATCTTCACGAGGTTCATTGGTGTGAAGCGTCTACCGGTACTCCAAAACAATTTTGCCACCGGCAGACTCATGTCGTTGACCAACAGCTTCATGGCCTAGCAGTAACTTCCAATCTTTTAGAGAGCTTTCCTGGCCCTCTCGTTTTGTGCTACCGGTAGAGAGAAAGACTTTCCATAAAAAAGAGCAATCATAAGAATAATTAGAATCATTAGAGAAATTCATTACAGTCAGATCTTCCTGCGTTCTTTCGTCCCGTCCAAATCATTTGTCCGAAGCACTTAGAATATAGCGTCTTCGGGTAGTGCACAATGCTTGCAGATTGCTTTCCGCGGACACCAACAGTCCGTCAAGCCAGCTATGGAAAATCCACTTGCTTGTCTGGTACCTTTTGCTGCGTTGGCAGCTTGTTTTTCCACAAGGAGGGAAACATGTCATCAGGAATTCCAATATCTTTCCGAAAGGTGTTGGGCAGAAACAAGTCCGTTGTGTATGGTTTGTTGAAGAATGATATAGCACTTCGAGCAACGTCTTTCTTTTGCACGTATGTGAAAGTGTCACTTTTGTACTGAAGGCCTACCTCTTCCAGTGGAAGTTTCAGTTCCACCGTGTAGAGACTGCCCATTGCTTGCACTGCCTCATCATGGATGTCCCCTTCTGCCTCTTTCCGTTCCAGGATGCGACACGGAAAGCCAATTTCTCGGGTGTCCCAATGAAACTCGAACTCGTCCGCGTTTTCGCGTTGTTGCGACCTCCTTGACCTGTCCACAAGGGCCGAGTGACAACGGATTTCTATATTGTCAGGATAAGGAAGTTGCTTCTGTTCCATCTCGGTGCGCAATGCCTTCGTGCTAGCGTGTCGTTTGAATGCCTCTGCTGGGTAAAAGTCACTGGCAGTGAAGGAAAGCTGTGATTCTGGGCGCCATGTTGCCAAGCGCTCTGCTATTACTTTCTCGAACTCGTCCCCATAGTCCAAGAACAACTCGTCCGATTCTTTAATGTCCTTCGTGGCAATGTAGTCAAACGCCAGCCCAGTGTCGTAAACCCATTCAAGGTCTTCCACACGTATGTCAGTCAACCAAGAGGAGTTGTGCGATGTAGTTCCATTGGGAGCCCATTGAATCCTCACGTTGGCAAGAGTTTGGTTGTGGTTGATATAATTAACACCCGAGCCATACGGGCACAATAGCATCGTGGATTGATGGTGGCCATAGCAGTAGTTTAACATCATTTGATGATTGACAATCTCGTCGACGTGACGAAGCCAAGTCTCCTCTCCCGTGTCCGGGTCGGTGTTGTTGCGTTCCATGCGAAACATCGTAAGTAGTTCCCTGTTTGGAACATGAATCAAAGGTGTTCCTGTAATAATGGAACCTTTGGCATAGTTTCGTTTAGCAAAGGCACCTCGACCACCCTGTCTTGACGGCAATGTTGAAGGCCCTGGACGAATGGAATCGACGCATCTACCGTGCTGCCGAAGGTAGTCTACAGACCGAACAGCTTTTGCCTGATGCAAGCTAGCAATCTCATTCTGAGCCGCTTTTTGGGCATCTCCTACCGATTGTGGGAGTGCATTCATTATTCGTGATTCCCATTCGGCCATTCCAATGTCGTCTTTAACCAACGACCAAAGATCCTCTTTCAGTTTTTCATTGGATGGAAAGTGTCGTTTCTGAATCCTATCGAATTTGTTGATAATGTTTTGTGCCACTGGGTAATCGTCGGACAACGGAATGAGTCCAAACTTGTCCTGACGAGCCACAAACCTTCAATAGATGAATGGATGGAAGTGGTGGTAGAAATTAGCCAGAGACTACAAAACAAGATCAAACACAAACCAGAATCAACGTACCATTGATCGCCATAGAACTTGAAGAGTTCCCCTCCCGCGGGGATATCCATCCTGACCAGAGAGGGAGTGCTGTGATAGGGTGACATCGAACCCGCCATGGGATGATGGTATCGGCTGAGGTTTCCATCGTCAAATTGCGACCCTGACATGTCTACATTGATGAGTGCCAGGTTGCAATTGATGGCGGCATCGACGCCGGGCACATATCCCTGTAGAGAATTTGATCGGTGTTCTGCGACAATCCCATGCAAGCCCTTTTCTCTTCCTCTCCAATAGTAGTCACTGAATGGATTGAACAAGTCGGCTTGTCCACTGTAGAAATGCAGTTCAACCAGTGGAACAATCACTTCTCCTGTTCCCATGGGTTCTCCCACGGCTCTATGGACGGAACTGAACATGCCCAAGCCGGCTCCTGGAATTGTACTTGGTGCCAAATAGAGGGAGCATTGGCCGTCCTCTTTGTCCAAGTTCTTAGAAGGAGTTTGTGCTGATTGTACCGTATACCGGGCTTCCATATCATGCTGCTGCTGCTGCTGTCGGCGTTCGTCTTGTAGGGAAGACGAATGTGATGAACGGTCTTGGCGTTGATCAACGGAAGCCTCCTTATAGACTTCTGATGGTGGCACCGGTTCCTGCTCATCAAAATAAGAAGTTCCCTCACTCGTCTTTGAGACTTTTCCTTTCGATGCAACGTCGTACTCCTGCTGGATGCTGTTGGCCCTCGAATTGGTTGAAATAGTTGTAGCAATGGCCCCCGACGACAACCATACATAGAGAAGTACCACGGCCACACTTCCTAAGCGTACCATCCGTAGTATCATGGAAGAGATCGTCGATTCCTTTTTACTGCTAGAGCGACGGCAGTACTGAGGCGTACCCGTAGAGGTCACTTTCCCATCTCGCACATTATCCTCAGCAACGGCCACAGCTGCAACAAAATTCTGCTGCTTTTGATGGGCAACCGTTGCATGGGTTGATACTGGTCGTTGATTCACCACTGCTCGCCTCATCTCAGGTAGGTCAAACCCACACTTCTTTCCCGCCTCTTCCTTTCTCACTCAGATCAGAAGTTTCTTTCGTCCGACTCGAAACCAAATTATGGTTGGCCCATCCAATGAAAACCGATGGCAGAATGGTTGATAGGAAACTATGTGTAATGATCGCCCTAAAAAGATGAAGGAAAGGATGCTTCGACCATGTGGTTGGCTTTGGGTAACGAGGGGAGTGTGCACTGTGTCAAAATGAATGCAAGAGCAACGCCGATGTCACTGCATAATGTGGTGTTTGCGCGATAATCTGACCGTTGCCACAATAAAGTGACTGGAACAATGGAAACGGCTGCCGCATGGCGACATTTTGCTCTTTACTGGAACCACACTAGCCAGTACAGCTGTACCGGTGTACCACCGGTACCTGGCTAGCAATGCCACTGCCAATGCCCAAAGCTATTTAGGTACTGTACCTCCCAGGTACTCGTAGTCTAGCTATCAAAACTAAAGCAGCTACTAGGACTCAGTATCATACTCTAGCTAGCTAACTTGCTCGCTATTACTACGTACCGTAGCTCATGTTTACCGACCAACAAAACTCCCCTTTCTCTTGCCGGTACAGCATAGTCTTCGCTTGCCAGGACAATCAATGGAGTGGATCTTACCGGTACAAACTTTGGCAGGAGTTGCCAATAATATTGACCGGGATTATTGTTTCCGGCAAGATAGCAGCATTGCTACTGCTGTGCTGCTGCAATGTACAAGATACACATGAATGTGCCTCGTTCCATTGAAGACACCTCATTCACCACCGGTACCGGTATTGCCTGCTTTGGATCCAGCAGGAACCAGGGCTCTGCCCGCGTCTTGCTTGCACAAAGATGCAGATCGATGATCAGGTGTAGCATCCTTCCGAGTGCTAGCTTTGTGCTCGTCTCCTCCTTCCTCGTCCAACCTGTATCGTACCTCGCCAATGCTACCAGTATCTCCAAAGTGTGGAAACCATAAACGCCAGAGCAAAGGAAAGCAGTTCATAATATTGTTTTCGCCATTCAAAGGAATCATGGTTGGGATGATCAGGCTTATGCCATCCGGTAAGCAAGCAAAGACGAACATAGAGTCCCCATCTTCCCATGTATTGCATTGCCACGGGAAGTCTAAAAACCTTGGGAATGATCACATCCCCATCTTGGGACCACCAATACAGCATGCAGATAAAGCCAGTGGCAATATACGGCAGAAAAATGGCTTGCTTGTCGATGATTTGTTTCGTGTCCAAGTATGCAACTGGATGCAATAGCCAAGCATGACCCAACAGTATGGCTTGACTCAATCCAAACGAAAACTTGGTATTGTGGTTGCCGTCGTCTTCTGTGGGAAAGCTCAACATGATGGCACTGGCAACCACCACGGCATAATGATGCAGATAAAAGCAAAGAGAGAACATCATGTCGTTGGGGACATCAAAGGGTTCCACTCCAAAATTAAAGGCAAACAAGACACTCAATGTGGCAAAACTCATAATGACAAAAGAAGATGTCGTTTCTTCCTTTTCGGTTGGCAAGGACGATGCCATGAGAATTCCAGCCACAATGATCGGATGGCACAGAAATTGAAGTTTCCATAGACGATTGCTGGTGATTGTCTTTCGCAAGGCTTTGTTGGGTTGAACACATAGTCTGGCAAGTGCAATCACAGCCATGGAAAGGAGCGTGGGGATTGTGAGGAACCTCCAGAGGTGAGTGCTCGAAAAGAATATGGTTTCTTCCATCCTTTCTCACAAACAAATAGGAAACTTTATACTACCGGTAGTAGTCAACCAAAGGAGAGTGCAACAGCAACAACAACAACAACGAGAGAATGTACCAATAACTTGTGCGTAGCTTCCAGGTGGTAGCTTCTTGGTGCCCTATCGTGGCTGGTACCAAAGGTAATATTATATGAATTGTGTGTAATCGGATTCTAAACCCCCTTATATATAGGATTGTGAGGGGTACCGGTACAGCTAGCTGTACTGTACTACTAGCTAGCTAGCTAGTACGGTAGCACAAGCAAAACGTGCATGTTTGAGTCATGAGTGGTTGAGTCCTGCTAGTCGCGAGAACTACGTACGTACACCTCGTAACACCAGTACCTGGTACCGGTACCGGTACCGGTATTAGTATGTGTTCTGTGTGATGCAATTTTGAAGGCTGACGTAGCCTTAACCTCAATGCCCAAGTAATTGCTTTATACTTACCTACCGGTAGCAACCAACCCGTTACCGGTACCGGTAGTTTCGTAGCAACTAGCTACGGTAGCCAGCTGACAATTCGTACTGTACCAATATATTATTATTCAACAATCCCATAACACATCCGCCAAGCGCAAAGGGCCAAGCTCCAAGCGCACGCCAAGAGAGAGCATAATCAAGCACCCTCAAGCCAGAGGTCCAAAACACAAACAAAGCAACAACAACTAACTAGCAATGGCGGAATCCTCAGCCGATATTGATACTACTAATGGTAGTGCCACCAATACAGAAGTGCCAGATGCGGCCGTTGTGTCGTTGGTGGATGCTGTGTCTCATGCATTGGACAACAAGGCAGCTGTGTTGCTACCAATCCCACCCCCACTTCCGATAGGTTGGGTGATGCGAGAAGCTCGTTCACAGCCCAACTACCACTTTTACTACAATATGGAGACTGGAGAATCCATGTGGCATTCTCCCATATTGCAAGAAGAACATCACCAGCTGCTGGGAGACGAAGATCATGCCATGATGGACACTAACAATGCCACTGAAGTACCAGTCGAAGAAACAGCGCATGCGAGGACTGCAGATGCTCGCCCAGACAACGGTGGTGATATGGACAGCAGCAACAACACTGGCAGTCGTAAACGTCCTCACGAAGAAACGGCGGCTAGTAATGCCCATAACAAAAAATCTGCCAAATCCAGTGGAAAACCCAGCAAAGTCCGCATTTTTCACATTCTCAAAAAGCACAAGGGGAGTCGGCGGCCCTCATCGTGGCGACAAGCAAAAATTACAGCCACCAAAGAAGAAGCTAGGGAAGAATTGCAAGGTTTGGTCGATATATTGAAGGAAGAAACAGGGGCAGATCAACGAGCTACCTTTGAGGAAATTGCGCGGACCGAAAGTGATTGCAGTTCCGCCAAGCGAGGAGGTGATTTGGGATTCTTTGGTCCCAAGAAAATGCAACCTGCCTTTGAAGAAGCATCGTTCGCACTGGAGATTGGGGAATTGAGTGGAATCGTAGAAACTTCGAGTGGTGTCCATGTTCTGTTGCGAATAGGATAAGAGCATGTTCTATTTGTGACGAGGATACGACTTGGAGCACAATCTCAAGCAATTATTACAATTGACGCTATTGTGTAGACGTGCCGGTACAGCGCATTGCTGGATACAGTATACGTAGTGCTAAAGTTGCTAAGTGCCACACTGCTCCCGTCATGGACAAGGCTGGCCACCATTGAGGGGCTAGCAATATTGTTCAAACTCACAATTTAGCTAGCTCATATCTTCTATTCACTACCTAGCTACATGGATTCCTTCAACAGAGTGGTTTCTTCTACAAAATATGCATGAATCTTTGGAAAAATCAAGGGTAGACTATCTTTGTCATGAGCGAAGCTATACCAGCTCAATTTGAGCTCCCACTGCTTCTAGTTTTTCTTTCAGTTCCTCAGCCTGCTCTGTTTTCAAGTCCTTTTGAATAACTTTGGGAGCTGACTCCACTAGCTCCTTGGCTTCTTTCAAGCCCAACCCTGTCAATGTACGAACTTCCTTGATGACCTTAATTTTACTTTTGTCATCAAATCCAGCCAGTTTCAAGTCAAACTTGTCCTTTTTGACCACTTCCACCACTTCCACTGGGGCTGCTGCTCCAGCACCACCTCTACCACCACTCTTGCCAATTCCATGATAGTAAAACTCGTCCTCTTCGACAGGCATATTCAAAGTCTCCAAAACCAACTCTCCCACCAAGGATACTTGGTCTCGTTCCAATTGAATCATTCGTTCATACAATTCCTTGACTCGGGGAGTAGAAAAAGTCAGCTCTTCTGGTGACGGTGTCGCTGCCTCATCCTTTTTGGCGGCTGCCTCACTGGCAGAGGCAAACCGACGGACATCACGCGTGTTGGTATGGGAAACAGACGGTCGTTGAATGGTGGGCTTGGAGGCTAGTTGCGATCCACTCAAGGCCGATAGGTGATGGGAGAGCCTTCTCGTTCCCAAAGAGCCGCACACTGTTCGCACAGATATGGATGCCGATCTACCCAAGGAAGACAGTGTCATGGTCGAGATTTCTGGGTTATTGTGGTCTCTCGACGAGAGGAGGGGACGCAGTCGCGAGTGTTATTCCCGGTCCATTTCGGCTGGTCACACAATCTTTTACCCCAACCGTTGTCCAGAGAAAAGAGGTAAAACTAGCCTCACATTTTGGCCACTCGGAACGATGGACCCAGCAACAGCATGACTGCCACCATTGGATATCTGTAGTCTTGTACTACTGGTCGGAAGCCGTGCTCACTTCTGCATCCAAGTCTAAACAGTTCTGCTTGCGCACCTTGCCTTCGTGACAAAGAATGATAGGATTGCTATTGTTGTGGTTCTTTGGCTGGGAATCCAAACGATGAAGACAACCGCTCCCCTCCTGTTTTCCTTCCTGCTGCCGGTCCTTCTGCATGCATCAGATGAAAGCAACGGCGTGTTTCTTCTAGATAATGCGATAATCCATTCAGCTGTTCGACAGTGGATCGAAGATCCGAGCAGTGCTGCGGGCAAATATGGCCCAATCGAACAATGGGACACGAGCCGTGTTACGGATATGAACGGTCTCTTTCGTTATGCCAAAAACTTGCAAGAGGATCTTTCGCGATGGGATACGTCTCGAGTGACATCGTTTCGAGAAATCTTATATAGAGCAGAGAGTTTCAGCGGGAACATTTCCAATTGGAAAACAAGCAATGTTGTAGACATGAGCTATGCCTTTGGGTAAGTAACGCTGGTGGTTCAAATAAATAAATGGATGGTTTGGTTTGGCTCCTAACGGCGCTTACTTCCATCTTACTACAGTGGGGCCATTTCGTTCAATGGTAATATCCAGCAGTGGGATACTGGGCGCGTGACAACAATGAAAGGACTCTTCTACGAAGCAGAATCTTTCGACCAGGACATATCAACATGGAACGTTGCCGCTGTCAAGGATTTTTCCTATGCCTTTTCCTATGCTTACGCTTTCAGCGGAAGAGGTGGTCTTTCCTCCTGGGATGTTTCCACGGCAGCCTCCATGGCCAACATGTTTCACGTTACGCCGAACTTTGACGAGGAGATCTGCTGGCCTTCCTTGCTCAATGCAGACGCTGGTATGATAGACATGACACTCATGTTCTGCAAGAGCCAAGGTAGATTCAGTGACGCATGCACCCCTGCTGCGGTACAGTCAGGCCAAGCCATGACAGGGTGTGCAAAGGGCTTTGATGACTTTGTGCCATCTTCGAATGCAGCATTCTTTGGAGCAATCATGGGCTGGATGTGTTTGATGGTGTTCATTTTCCTTTTGATCATTGCGTATTCTTCTTATTATCGATCAAGAAGAAAGCCTGATGGCCAACCGCAGGGGAAGGAAGGATACACCAGTCGGTCTTCCGATGGTTGCGCGTTTGCCAAGAATGTCACCGCTGTGTATCCTGTTTGCACCAAGACTTGCACCAGAAGCAGTGGTGGCCCTATTGTGGATGGCGACCGCTACCAGTACAGTGTCCCCATCGGGGACGAGTTTTCTGAGGATGTTCTGACCCAAGTATCGGAGCAATCCTCCAGATTTCTCTAAATAATTTTCACATCATCAACAAACAAGGAGTCCTTGCCAGAAAAAACAACCCCATAAGTGCATACTAATCTGTCTATAGAAGCAAACCTAAACTCTAGCTAGCCATGCACTTGCTAGCTGATGGACATGTTTTGACTAGCTGGCTACAAGTTGTGTTTGTTCTTACTGCATTTTATGTGCACGCTACACGACTTCGACCGTACCACCCACTTCTTCCAGTTTCTTGGCCATTTCTTCTGCCTGTTCCTTACTGATATCCTTCAAGACAGTCTTTGGAGCACCTTCCACCATTTCCTTGGCTTCCTTTAATCCAAGGTTTGCCAATGCTCTGACTTCTTTGATGACCTTAATCTTGGACTTTGGGTCAAAGCTAACAAGCTTGAGATCAAATGCTGTCTTGGCTGCAGCGGCTTCTTCTTCCCCCACGTCATCCTCGGCGTCCTCTTCCACGCCATCTCCATCGGCACCCGAAGATCCAGTAAATGGTGGTTTTTCAAATCCAAAGTGATTCCCAATTTTGTCGATTAGTTCTTTCATTTCCAACATGGACAAGTGCACAATTTCATCTGATAGATCGTATAGTTCTTGAGACGCAAGAACCTTGTCTGGGTTGTTGGGATCTTCCAGAGGTGGTGCTTCTTGGGGTATCATTTCCTCCCCAGGACCATGATCTTCTGGCAATTGTTTCATTGCTTCTGGATTGTTGTGATGCAACGGATTCTGCCACACGGGAACATCATCGTCTTCCTCTTTTTTGCTTTCTGCAGGTGCTTCCTTATTGTCGGGTTGCTCTGCTGCTGCTGCCTCTTTCTCTTTCTTACCGTCGGATGAGAACCAACGAACGGAAGCTTGAGAAGATAAAGGATAGTGATGGAGGGCATTTTGTCTACTCTCGACCCAAGTGACTTGTGGTGATGGTTTCTGGCAGGACTGTATCAGTCTGATGTTGCCATTCTCTTCAGCAGTGTCACTAGTGGTGGGCACAGACAGCACCCTGATTGCATGGTGTCGTCGTCCCCAGGCAAGAAGAGCCTGTCTTTGAAGCGCTGTATATCGTTTCATACTGATATATCTACAAAGCTGTTGTGACATGATGTATGTATTCTTAGTGCAGAGACAGATACTGTAGTGGAGATGGTCTAGATGGATGGACTCTGTAAGCTAGATGTTGGCCATGGTGGATCTTTGTCTTGATGACCAACAACGTCAACGATTGAGCTCTGTTGCGGTGGCTTGGTTGTTGCCAAAGGCTGATAACCTGTTTGATTGCATTATCAGCCAGCAGAGCAGGATTTGTGAACGTACTCAGACGGATGACAGACTTCCCCATGTGCACGGACTCCATCAAAGATAGATGTCACACTTTTCCGGAGTTGTTGGCACAACCAGACCCAGGAGATGCTGTATTGGTACATTGGTACTCCCTCTTTGTCTCCCAATCCTTGAGCTCCTGAAGGCTCAACAGCACAAGACGCATTGTGAATTTTTGTGAAGAGAATGACTTTAGCAGCAGCAACATTAATAACTTGGAAGAACATGTTGACCTGGGTGGTGGTGGCACTTGCGATATTGGTCTTGGTTCCATTGGACCCAGGTGTGAGAGTTGGAGACTTTGAACCGACACCCTACACTGGCAAAGTCAATCCAAGTCCCAATTATATGATACAAGATCACTACTTTCAGTCTGGTGACTTGCATTGTCATGGATGGCTGTATTTGCCCTTGCCAAACTCTACTGAGGATGCCAGCAGCAGCAACAACAACAACAACGAGAAGCTACCAGTGGTCATCATGGCAAGTGGATTTGGGGAACAAAAGGACTTTTTTGGATTTGATGTTTACGCAGAAGAATTTGTGTCTCGTGGCTTTGCCGTCTTCCTCTTTGATTACCGAAATTTTGGAGCATCCAAAGGGCACCCTCGCAATCTGGTGTCGCCCAAGAGACACGTCCAAGATTGGCAATCTGCCATTGACTACATCACAACAGCCACAATTAACAAAAGCAACAACAACAACAGCAATGGTACCATAACTGTGGATTCTCAGAGGATTGGCCTATGGGGCATGAGTTTTGGAGGTGGACATGTCTTGACAGTGGCCAGTCAACGACAGAATGATACCAGGATTGTGGGCGTGGTGGCACAGGCTCCCTTCTTGAAAACTTCGGCATCCACCAAGAAAAGTTCCAAAAAACGGGGCAAGTTGGGCAAGTTCCGATTACTCCTCGCGGGTCTTCAGGACGCCGCAAGGGGATACATGGGGTTGCCACCTGTCGTGATACCCATCTTGGGTATTAAAGGTCAACTGGCCATGATGCCGAGTACTCCCAAAAACTTGGAGGCATATCTGGCGCAACAACCCACTTTGAAATTGGGAGGATGGAGAAATCAAGCACCCACACGTGGACTGTTGGAACTCAAGTTCTACTGTCCGATGGAATCTGTACGACAAAATCCACCACGAATACCTGTTTTCTTGGTTTCTGGCACTCGTGATGCCGTTTGTCCATCTCATGTTATTGAACAAGTACACCAACTCTTGCCACAATCTCAAGTCATCACGCGGAATGCTTCGCATCTCGAAATCATGGGGCCAGATCACGCACCACAAGTTGGCCAAAAAATGGCCAATTTCTTTGAGGACTGCTTTCGGTAGGACCGGTTGTTGTCAGTTGCAAGAAGCAGCAGCATGACGATTTTGAGAGCCTGCTACTAGGCACAACCATGCACACTGCTATACCTTCATGCATAAACATGTCTTCAATTAATATAGATAGCTACCTTCATCGCCAGCTGCTTGCTAGATTGATGGGAAGAGAGGTTTTACAATGGGCAAATCTCCGTTCTGCTTACTAGAGACCAGCTGCAGTTTCAACGCTACCCGGTTGCTCTGAAAACATCTCAAGAGCAGTCAACTACCAGGGTCAAAGACTAAGCAACGCTAGCTATTAATGTACCCTTCTCCTCTGCTTCCAATATGACAGAGATCAGTCCCCATGAGACGATACACTTCGCAAGAACAGCCTTCTGATTCGATTCCAAAATGAAACATGTATGTAAAGTTAGAGTGTTCTAAAATTTGATAGTTACTGAGTAGGCATTTCAATGTTTCTAATGTTTGTTCGACCTGATGCGAATTCATTTTCTTTTGTCTATCCAAGCGTACAGTAATCAATTTCCAGTGTACTCGCCCAGTCTTTGGTTGTGTTCTTGTACCAACTGGACAATGTTGCCAACGTGCCAGAAGTCCACATAGAGCAGGTTTACATTTGGATCTCCGTAATAGACTCCATCTTGCTTTATCCTGGAACAAGCCTCAATATGTTCCTTGGCAAATTCCAATGAGTTGGCTTGGGTTGCTGCTTCCAGTTGATTGTCAAGATCAAATGCCGAGGCTTCTACAAAGTTGTTGACTCCAAAGAAGGATCCGTCGGTCGTGGTAGCACCTCGTGTAATGATGCATGATGTTTCTTTGTCGAGAATGGAATCAATGGAGGGCATGTCAAAAGGTGTCTCCTGGGCATACTGGAAATAATAATGCATTCCATCAGGACAGCTTGCAGCTTCGGAACAGTCTGGTCCATTGAAATGGAACGCAATGAGTCGCTGTTCCAGAGCAGAATAGCAGAGTTTGGATGCGTTTGAGAAAGAGCATGGTGAGTTTTGGATAAAAGACAAGCAGTATTGCAGACGTGTTTGTTTGGCTTTGTTTTGAATCTTCGTACCTTATTGTTGGCAATTAAGGTTCCTAGAGTAGGCCAGGGCTCGCCAGGCCCTTCATGTACGTAGAGATTGTCTGTAAAGCCCTCTACTTGAGTCAACACAGTGTCATAGATCACATTGAGATCCACGGTTTGGCCGGCATCACTGTTGAGTTCCATGGTCAGCAGGAACACATCATTCTGATTTTCTGGCTGGTCCATGAATGTCACAACTCGTTCCAGAAATTCTTTTGGATCGACCTCTCCCAGTCCACAAAACCCATGGCAGAGTTTAACGAGACCTTGACAAACACAGAAATCAACGTTGATACCTCGAAATCCTGCTTCCAGAGCCTCCTCGACTGGTCGTAGCTGATTGGGAACCAAAAAGACGTCATTGGTGGCCATGGCATTGTGTGGGATTCCAAACAGGATATCGTTGACGGGCCAATTACACAAATTCTCAAGACCATTGCAGCATTGTGCGGCGTCGGGAGTGCATCGATTAAAGCGGTATTCATACTCGAACGGCATGGCAGAGGGAGCAGCCGATGGAGCCATTGACATGGTTGGCGCTAAAGTACTGGTCACCGTAGAAGAAGAGTCTGTTGTAGACGAAGCATTGTTATTGTTGGCTGCGAAAAGACCAGTGCCAAAGAGACCTCCCTTGTCCCCCGTCTCCATGCTGCCATCATTGTCATCCTTGGACAAGAGCTGCCATGCCAAGATCCCTCCTCCTGCGGCTAACAGGATCACCACAAAAATGACACAAGCTTTGCAGGCTGTACTGTTTGCCATGGCGGTTGATTAAGTTTATGAGGGGTGAGGGGACAAAATAGGCGACAGCAATCTTGCTTGCTGTAGAATCTTGGAAGGTTTGTGGGAGTACTAGTAGAGACAACGGTGGACTTGCCATCCAATCTAATCCGGTGCCGCATCCGGAAGGCCAACCGCGTGTCGAGGCAATCGTGCTTCACAAGCATCATTTTTTGACCGTTTTTCCGTTCGTCTCCTCGTCGCTCTACGGTATCCTAATCCTCACGGTATGTACCGGTAGCTACCAGTACCGTAGCTACAGGGTACATGTACATGTACCCGTTCTACATGCAGTAGCCAACTAACAAAACCGTCGTCACCGGAGCTGTTGCTAGTACCGGTACTAGTATTAGAGTCGAGTGACAGGAGTCTAACTCAAAAGGCTGTACTACCATGCTTGATAATGGTGAAGGCTTGGCTTTGTATTTGGATAGTGACAACGAAAACCGGACTCTCATACCCGGTCCTGGGAGCTACATGTACGATGAATTGATAGATAGACTGAAGCAACCAGGGAATCCTAGGTGGGATCCTGGGCTCTAGAGAGCTGGAGGCTTGGGACCTCGTCCTCTAAATTAGCAAGCTCCTTCGCATAACCAGCCAGCATTTTGGAGAAGTGAAACCACATACCAACCACCTATCTACCGGTACATTTAGAACTCTTGGCTGCGTACCTTACCATTAGAAGGAATGCCTACTAGTAGCTGGAGGTCCTGGGAAGGTCCGGTTCAATTGCTTCTGTTGGCTTTCAAGAACCAAAAAAGGTGATGTACCAGGCAGTCGAAAAGACCCCTGAGCCCTAAAAGTGAGGATGTTTGGCACTCGTGACTGGCGGACAGGTAGGCCCATGACCCCTTCGCTCCCAGCGACGGGGACAATGGAATGTGTGGCAATCATCACCACCGACGGCTCCAAAACACCACTCAAAGATTGTAGAAAGGTATAAGCCACGATGTTGCCCCTGATTGTGTCCTCCACCTCTCTAGTGCTGAGGAAGCGGCTGTTGACGCCACCTTCGTGCCGGATTGCTCAAGCTTGGATTCATTCTTCCTCGGTGGCTCAACACTCAGCAGGCGACCAACCACCCATCCGAAGAAGAAATCATGAGCTCTCGCAAGAATCCAAGGATAAAGTCGAGAGGATCTTCCAGAAAATCTTGTGGTTGGATACAATCGAAGTCCACTTGATTACAGAACTCATCAATCAAAAGATGGGCTTGATTTTGACTCCCAAAGAACGAGCATCGCTTCAAAAAGAAGTGGACCGGCAGCTGGCCGAAGAAGCGGGGGAAACCTTCAAAGCGGCAGGATCCAATGTAGAAGAGGAAGCAGAGAAGGGACCATCTACAGTTGACTTGAAACTGACTGGATTTGATGACAAGAGTAAAATTAAGGTCATCAAGGAAGTTCGAAGTATTGCTGGATTGGGCTTGAAGGAAGCCAAGGAATTGGTGGAATCAGCTCCCAAGATTATTCAAAAGGAATTGAAGCCTGAACTGGCAGAGGAATTGAAGGAAAAGCTAGAAGCTGTTGGTGCAAAGATAGAGTTAGTATAAACTGCCTAGCCCAGCTAGTAATGTAGTAAGAAACTGAGAAAATTTCATACTCGCAATGCTTTACTAGATCTACAGTTTCTCATTCTCACTACTCGAGCTGGGACCACAAATATATATGTACTGCACATCCTCAGCCCTGATCATATTGTTGGGGTGCGAAACATGAAAGTGGTGTCAAAAATCTGTTTGGTCAGCGACAAGTAAAGCGTGCTTCGACCATTACGTCATTGCGTTCAGTACTGGTATTTCAAAATGGAATAGTAGCTTATGTTTAGTGCTGTCTGCTGTGGACACTTCATTCCACGGAAACTCTACTACCTCTGCCTACGCCATTGCATTGCACACTCGTAGTTCGTTTCAAGGTAGTTTCTCAATCATCGGAGAATCTGGTTGCAACTATTTGCCCTTCTCCTCAGACATCCCCCATGAGTTCAATCAACTCAGGTTCCTTTCCTGGCAGGCCCACCATTTCGACATCGAAGATAATGGTGGCATCAGATGGAATTCTTGGCTTACCAGCCGATGCAGGTCGTCCTTTGGATCCAAATGCAAGACTTGACTGTGGTTTCAAATTGAATTGAATCAATCACAAGAGGTTGAGTACAGAGAAGAGTTAGTTGCAAAGTGGTAGAAACAAAGTAGTGGAGAGAATCCAGAAATCCTTGATTCTTCTCTTGAGAAGTAAAAATCGACGTACCGGGATGGTAAGTTCCCATCTATCTCCAACACGCATCAGTGGCAAGGTGGATTCGACACCCTTCAAGAGACCTCCCGATCCAACGCGAGTGTAATATGGTTCTGGAGTGCTGAAAATGTCATCAATCTTGTTTGAGCCACAAAAGGCGGCAAAGCGAATGGCCACCAATTCTCCGCTGTCGGGCTTGGGACCATTTCCAGCCTTTTTGACCGTGTAGGTGACACCGCTGGGCAAGGTTTCATCGGCAAAGGCAGGCGTGGCAGCCGTCAGTAGCGCACCCACTCCACCAATGGCCATGGACTTGAGGAAATCTTCACGAGTTGCCTTCAATGCCAATGACGATGGTCGTGCAGTGGCGGATTTGCTGGACGTTGTCCATGCGGCAGCAGATGCCAGAAAGGTGAAAAAGTAGAAAAGCTTAGCAGAGATCATTTTCGTTTGGTACTTTTATTGCTCGATATAGAATAGGAAATTATGGGCAGGACAAAATACGCTGAAGATTTGACACCAAAACCAAAAGCAAATGGATGATTCACTCGGAGTATGTTAATAAGATGACTGACTGGTTGACTGACGATAGATAGACGAGTCAGGGAGCTGTATGATGCCACTTGGGACCTGTTTTGTTGATTGCCAACACAAGCAAAAGTTAGATAGTGTGCGGGCAGCTGACACAACAGATAACAGATCGCATCAGCGAGTGAAAGATCCATTTGCTTTTGGAGCCACCACGTACGAGTCACGAAAGGCTCATGACTTGAAGTCCAGTCACAAGTCCCGAACAGGTTAGAAATGCAACGGTCAAAAATCACAGCGCCATCGCACCATCCCGGCCGCGATCTGTCAATCAAAGAAAAGTTTCGTGTCTCGATGCTTCGACGCCCCAGACCTTCTTCTTCACATCCCCTCTTCCCGTCTTCTTACAGTACCTCTCCTTCAAACTCTAGCTAGCCTACCGTAGCTAGTAGAAGCTAAAGGATACTTCTGCCAATTGATTGATGCACATCAAAGAACCATGAGAAATCCCATCCTAAAGTCAATTTTCGTGGGCCTGTTCCATGTGGTCTGCTTGTTGCCGTATATGGTACCCGTCGTGCAACACGCCTTTGGAGAGCAGCAAAAGCACATTTACGAAGTCAATCGAGTGGCAGTTTTGGACGAGTCGCACATCATGTCGTCGGACAATAAAGATATCAATGGCCCAGATGTTCCCCTCGAAACCATTTTCACCAATGATTACTGGGGTCGACCCATGTCGTCTCCTTCTTCTCACAAGAGTTGGCGCCCCCTTACGGTCTTGTCCTTTCGATGGACGACATCCCCCAAGCAACCTGCTGCCTATCAACTGCTGATCCACCGGTCATTCAATATCATTACCCATGCCGCAGTGGCAGAATTGGTGGGAGCTCTGGCCGTGGAAATTGTCAAAGGATTTTTGCCACAATCACCGCACACATACGTCTATACCACCCTTCTCTACGTCATCACCAAAGCACTCTTTGTACTGCATCCGACTCATGTGGAAGCTACTGCTAATGCTGCCAATCGACCGCATTTGCTAGGAGTGCTTTGTGCCGTCCTTCTATCCAATCCAGATCTGCCATGGGGTCTCTTTGTGTCTATTCTTGCGGCAGGATACATGTTCAGTGAGACCTTTCTCTTCACCATGCCTCCCGTTTTAGTTACATTGACGTTGATTGTCTTGTCACACGAACTATACAAACGACAACAGACAGAGTTATTGGCCAGTAAAAAAATGGCAGAGCAAAAGAAGGATGACTCCAAAAGCAGCAAAGATGACGAGGAAGAAGACGAAGAGCCCGCAGAATCACACATTTTGGTGACTGTGGTTGCCACCGTGTTGCCCCGTGCATTTTTATTGGTGGCATCTGGCTTTGCCTACTTTGGAGGGAGGTATGCTATGGATTGGCTCAGCATTCCCGAGGGTCTGATTCGACCAGCCGAGAACCCATTTTACAGATTGGAGGGATGGACGCGCGTTCGAAGCTATACCTATGTCTTGGGAATACATATTGCCAAGAGCTGGTCCATGGACTTTATCGGAATGAGCCACGAATATGGACATGCCTGTGTTCTACCCATTACCAGCTGGAGCGATGAACGGTTTATTGGGACTGTTGTGGTGGGGGCAGTTCTGGCAATTAGTGTACTGGCGACCATGCTGATGACATACAAAACGCGGCCGTTGGTGACAGTCATTATTCTGCTGCATCTCTCTTGGATGGTGACATTCTTTCCAATATCTGGAATTGTGAAAGTCGGTACCTTCATCGCGGACCGGATGGTCGTGGCGTCGACAGTTTCGACATGCATTTTACTGGGCGTTGTTTTCACCTCCTTGATTGTTCCACTGTCACCCAAAACAACAATCGACAACCCTACCCAGCATAGACCTCGTGCTCCGTCCTACAACAAGACAGTTGCCCTGGTGGTGCTAGCCGTTCTGGGCCATCAGTGGATTACCATTCACAAGCGAACAATGGAGTGGATGGGGTGGATTCCGTTGCTGACCAGTGCTCTGAAGACATGCCCTTCCTTTGCGAAGGCCCATTTGGAGTTCAGTAAAATCACGAATGGACTCTATCAAGAAGAATTTAACTTGACCAAGAGTCGATGGCATGTCATGCAGGCGGAAGCCTACGATCCCAATTTTTGTGATGTCCACCAACAATACGCACAGATTGCCGTTCAGCAGAATCTGTACCTGGAGTTTGAAGAACGTTTGAGTAAAGCAGTTACGTGTACGTTCACTAGCTCTGGCTCGGCCGATTTGTGGCAACGCTACTGGAAGATGACATTGGACCCACAGCAAAATGGCAATTCGCAGTCGCTCCAAGCAGCACAACAACGATATCAGAACTACATGAAGGAGATTCAAAAAGCCATTGACAGGGAAACGCAGAAGGCGGAAGAAGAGGAGCGAAAACAATTGAACAAGAAGAAGTCACCCTTCTTCTGGGATCACAGAGGTAGTTAGAACTTATTAACTTGTACATAGAGGCTGGTTAGAAGTAACGTGTCGAGACCAGCCGTAAACATGCTTTGAAAGATCATGTCCGTTGAAGAATCACATTTCTAGCTTTCCGTCAATGAAGTGAAGAAGCCTCGTGCACAGTTAGTTATCTTTGTGATTTGTCACGTGCAGGGAGTTTCTTGGGTAAGTGCAAGAAAGACCCTATTCCAACTCAAAAATGACTTGCCCAAGGGCGCGAAGTCGTCTGAATCACTACTCCAATCAACAGTCGGCGGTGACACAAGAAGAGAGTTCGTTCCATAGACTCTTTGCATTCTGCATTCCAATCTCGTTGAGGTGTTTGATGGCACACTCATTCTTCACCACCTTTTTGATCCAACGTGTCGCTTCTTCTTTGTCGACGGCCATACCAAAGTACCCATACGTTAGAGCTTTGGCGAGCAAATATGCTGCAAAGTTACTTCCTCTTGCCGCGGCCAAGCCGAGAAACATGAGTCCTTCACTATTGTTGGGTTTTGTCCCGTACCCGTAGAGAAAAGCCTCTCCCAGAAAAGCAGTAGAAATCGTGCTTCCGGCAACATGTCCTTTCTTCGACCATTCAAGGGATTTCTTGTAGTCTTGAACAAACCCTCGGCGTCCCGCGTAGTAGTAAAAGGCCACAGTCTGTATCGACTCGACATGTCCGTCGTGGGCCTTTTTCAGCAAGTCTTCCTTTGCCCTGTTTTCCTTGCGATGCTGGGAGAGTACGTCGTCATTGATCACTCCACTTTGGATCAACGCTTCAATGTGATTGCGCATATGAGGCGCCGGCAAGAGGGACTCGCCCATGGGTTCATTGGTGAGTGGCGATTTCAGCTGTCGACCGTTTCGACGAGCCACCTTGACATGTTTCTCAATAGCCGAGCGTTCATAGACTCTTCCGTCTTCAGCAGTGACCGGATCTACCGGTAGTTCTAGTGTAATGGCGCAGATCAAATCTGCAACGATCGATGAAACAGCAGCAGCAGATTTGGTCGATGATTGAGTGCATGCCGTTACTGCCGTGCTTGCCGACTCGTCGAGTCGTCCACCTTGCAAGCGGCTATGACAACTTCCCATTCTTACGATTGCGATGCGACGAATCTTTCACTCTTGACGAAGAACTGTGGTGGAGAGCTCTCCTTTTAGCTTGTGTGATGTTGCTGTCGCTCTCTTTCTTCTTTGCCTGCTTCTCTGTTCTCACCAAGCAAGTTGTGAGGACTTCATGAGCAACGCTCCAAAGTTCTTTGAGAGCAATGACAAGATTAACCCTAAACCAAGAAAAAATAACCCCAACTAAACTAGCCACTTTCGGTTACGCTTTTTGGAAGCCAATGACACTTCTTGCCGAAGAGGACAGCTTTGACATTCCATCAACAACGCCACCAACAAAACTACGTAACAGATAAAGTAGGATGAGCTCCCAACCGCCCAAACCTCTAGGTCTCTCCGTTCGCGACCTGCTCTTGGAATTGAAGAGAGGCAGTGGCGGTGACAGCGCTGTGTCTGATGGCAAGAACTATGTGCTACCTGCCTACAATGATATTTTGGTGCAGACTTGCCTGGATGAAATGAATGGCCATTTGCAGGAGTTGGAAGATCAGGTCTCTACCGTCACACAACGAAGCAAAGAGAAAACTCCCATGTCAGTTCGTCCCTCTCTGTTGCTTCAGAACGCTGCCATTCAACGCCATAAACGGTGTTTGTTGACGTATCACCAAGTCCGATTAAACTCAATCCAAGACATGTACTGGCAACAGGGCGTGGCGTCTGTCAACAAGGCAAAAGCCGACAACAATCAGAACGAAAACTTATCTCCGTTGGAGCAAGAATTTCAACAGGAATATCATAAGTTGATTCAGAAATATGCATCGTCATTGGATTTGGATCTTCACAGTTTGCCAACGCCTCCCTTGCCGCAAGATAGAGTCCAAGTCAGAGTTCTAAGGGATGACGTCTTTGGAGAAGTGGGTTCCATGATTGCCCTGGAAAGTGGAGCTTCGGTTACGTTTACCAAGGGAAGTACCCACTTTTTGTTGTTCTCGGATGTAGAGGTTTTCATCAATGATGGCTACTTGGCACTATTGGAAGGAGAGGAGCAAGACATGTAACGCGACAACTATGAATGCTTTTGGTCGGTTTGGTTGGCTATGGTGTCCAATGTTCGTGATAGTACTTATAGTGACGACCGGTACTCTCCAGATTGCTGGGACACTCTTGCACACGAGAAAACATTATGGTTCTGCAACAATACATTGCTAGCTACATGCAGTTAGTTTTTTAAGTTGTGTCAAAGAAGTGAAATTGTATTGTCGTCAAAACTGTTGGCAGACGTGGTTCGATTGCGTTGCCATTGCATCGGTTGTTCATATCTTCTCATCATTATTCTCCACGTGATCGTCATCAATAATGTAGCGTTCCTCAGCCGCCACGGGCCCCTCGGCAGTGAGAATGGACACTGTTTCGTCTCCATTGGCGCATCTGACAATCTCTAGTACTTCGGGATAAGTACTGTTCATGCCTCGACTCATACCGACATCAATCCTCCACGCCTTACCGTTTAGGATTGCATTGATTTGGGACTGAGGAGTATGCCCAATGACAAGACGATCAGCTTTGAGTCGTCTCAAAACAGTTTCTAGAGAACAAGAACCGCACACACAATGAGCAAGAGCGAGCAGTTTCCGCAGCAACATCAAGGCACAAAAAACTAGAACTCCATCGGTTCTCACCTAACATATCGTAAGCGTTATGATTGTGCGGTATATCATCAGCAGGGTCGCCGTAGTCTCTCATCCATATAGGTGAAAAGGCGTTGTCGTCTCCTTCCATAAAGAAGTCTGGCATGCTCTGTACATAGGTTCGTAGGCGACCCTCTGGATCATTGGGCGGCACAAACATGTGTTGTCTACCCACCCTGGGTCCTTTTTTCAGAATCCAATTGCGAGTTGTTTCGTTCATTCCTGAAATGCCCCCAAAGCGATCCAAGTGTTCTGGCGCAATCCCAGCATGCACGAATATGGAATTGCCGACCGTGACAGCAATCTTGAATTGCGACAGGAAATCTTTTGCCAGTAACCCACCAGGCTCACAGGCTGCCCACCGAGCTGCTACCTTTCTAGGATGCAGCGAAATGCCGTTGGTAACCAGAGCATTCAACACCCGCGCGTCTCGCCAGCGGTCCTCCGTCTCCAGCAAAGTTTCATCCAGATGATGTCCAAAGGCCATTTCGAATGCATCATCAATATCATCATCGTAGTCAATATTTTCCATATACCGTTCCTGATCTAGCTGATAGAAGCCGATACTGGTCCAGATTTCATGATTGCCGTGTAGTAGAATAACTTTGCCACCCTCTCCTTGAGCCTGTCTTGATAACTCCATCAATAGTTGCCAGCACTGCAATTCATGCGGACCTAAAATAATGGTCGGGAGCAAATTGAGACATGTCCAATCTGCAACTAACTTGACGGGCTCTACGGGGAATGTTGTTTGTTTCTACTTACCACGGTCCAGTACATCCCCAATTTGTACCAAAACGTCAGATCCTCCCGTCCAAACAAAGGATCGTCCTTCTTCTCCATTGTCATCGTCAAAGACGATTTCTTCTGCGATAACCCCAGCTAATTGTAGAGCAGTTAGTAGCATACCAAAGTCCCCGTGGACATCACCAATCGCCACCACCCGTTGGCCAGGCTCCAGTTCAATGACATCCGGATACGAGGGTAATCCCACATACGGGAGTAAACAAGATGGAGGCATTGTGTTGTCGGTATCATCGTCAGAGGTAGAAAATGTTCGTCGCGGACGATGGGTATAATAATTCTGATGATAATGATATTGGTTGCAAATGGAGCAGAAACTTCTTCTTGCCACCTGGGACATACAAGATTGTTTCTTCATATCCAGACAAGACCGAGGCATTCGATTTGTCTGCACCAATTTTCCAGCTGCCCGGGGGCGACGACAAGCTCGTTGGATCATCGTGGAAAGTGAAGTTGTCATTGTTCAACCTTGGGTTGCCCTCTTTGTAATCTCTGCCACTGCTTCGTTCAATCAATGCGGACCCACCCTACGGTTCCGTACTTTGATGAGCAGGATTGCAGATACGGTGCCAGCTTATCTCTATTGTTTTTTTGTTGCAATCACTGTGTTGGCTTCGCAATGAGTGGAATGGTGTCATGGTCGAAGTCGCCAGTTTCTGTTTGGATCTTTTGACGTCATGGAGGAGGTCACTACCAGTAGCTAGTAGAGCTGTTTGTAGATCCACGCGCCTCAGCGCAGAGGAGTCTTTTTGAAGACCGGACATCAACTTTGCCGTCACCAGTGCCTGGCGGTACGGCACTGGTGCCACTACAGGTAGTACGTGTATCACATAGAGCCACCGATATTCTCCGCGAGGCATTCAAACTACTTGGTATCCTTCTACAAACATAGCTACTAGCTACCCAGCTAGCTCTACAGTAAACAAAAGTGGAACTCGTCATATCGGGCGATATTCAAGTCTTTTCTTTTCTCTTCGATTCAAGCCTTTCCACTTTTCTTGAAGAGCTTCGATTCTATTTTCTGTGGCAGGGTGTGTACTCATCCAGTCCAAGGTGGTGGGTGTCTTCCCCTGCAACGTCCACAGTTTCGTCAACAGAGACTCGACGGATTGTGGATTGTAGGATTTAGAGTTTTGAAGCAATATCCACCCAGTCGCATCGGCTTGATATTCATCGTCCCGGGAAAATTTTTGTCGGCCAAAGAATTGTGCGCTCTGAAGCAGTAGTTCTCCGAGGGCCTCTCCAAAGGTTTCTTCGTCTTCATCGTGATCTTCATAGGTCAATGCAGAGATGACCAATTGAAACATCTTTTGCTGGACGATCCTCTTTTGAGAATGGCGAAAGAGGGCGTGGCCAATTTCGTGGCCCAGTAAGCTTGCCAATTCACCACGAGTGGGCGACAATGTCTCCAGTAGTTTGTCGGTTACACGGATATACCCACCGGGTAGGGCAAACGCATTGACAATGGGTGCCTTGACAACGGCAAAGTCCCATTTAAAACCGTGAATTCTTGCTTTGGAGGAAGTCCTGGTTGTCGTCGGTGACAATCCATCCAACAAACTGACAAGCGTTTTCTCCACTGCATGATGCTCGCCCCCTGCCTGTTCCAGTACATCCGAAGATGTGCGCTCTAGTGTTGAAATCAGTTCCCGCCCAACCTGCTCTACCAGGGGAGACCAGTGAGGGTGATAAATGGCCTTGTACTCGGATTCAAATTCAGCAAGGGCTGCTCTACCCAAAATCACATCGGCATCCACAGGAATCTGTTGTACCAACACAGTCGTAATCCAAGAAGCAACTGGGGTCAAATACCACACACCAAGTCCGCTCAGCGAACCCAGCAAAACCAGAATTTGTTGCTTGATGGTGGATTGATCTCGTTTCCGACGACCTTTTTTTGACTCTGACGAGTCTTTCTTCTTCCCTTGATGAAAATGGGGGCTCTCGGAAGTGGGATACTCGGACGGAGGTCGTTGACGGCGCCTAACGTTGGGGTATTCCATGACGGATTGGTCGACTTGTCTTAACTAATTGAGCCAGGTCAACCAGGTCTACATGCACTTCTTTCACTGACAAGTCTCTTGGCTTGCTTTGCAGAGCTTCGATAGATCTTCGCTCCTATTCCATCACATGCCCATCCTGCAACATCCGTGTGCTTCTTCATCAGCAAGGTCCTGAAACGGGACTCAAAAGCATTGGTTTCACGGAAATGTTAGTTTCACCCTTTTGGTTAGTTTCACGCTTTTGGGTTAGTTTCACGCTTTTGGGGGTTAGTTTCACCTTTTTGGTTAGTTTCACCGTTTTCCCTTAGTTTCACCGTTTTTCATTAGTTTTACGGTTTCAGTCGTGTTTACATTGATGTACTATGACAGATACTGTACTAGTTTCACGCTTTCTGGTTAGTTTCACGCTTTGGGTTAGTTTCACGCTTTTCTGGGTTAGTTTCACGCTTTTGGTTAGTTTCACGCTTTTTGGTTAGTTTCACGGAAATGGAGGTCCATTTCGGTGAAACTAACATTTCCGTGAAACTACAGTAACATTAGTTTCACGGAAACAGTCCCGTTTCGGGACCTTGCAGGTCTGAATTGAGTTACTGGTAGTACCAGTACAGTCGAGTCGAGTCGGGTGTTGGGATTTGGCATGGTCGAAAACAATTAAGTCGGGAGAGCTGGTCACATGACCTCCAAAGAAGCCTTCAGGTCAGGAACGGAAAGACCAGGACGTCATTGCTACATTGCTACCATTGTATCGATACCGTAATGGAGGCGTTGGTAGTTGATTACAATAGTTTACAATGCACCTGCCTTCCTTATCTCAACATGCATTTAGCAACCGAGGCATGGATCATTCCTATCCAAAGTTTATCGCAGGTACCTGGCTACTATTAGAATCCGAAATACCAGCATCGGTACCGTACCGGTACATGATACCACTAGCTACGGTAGCTAAAGGTCCCAGCAGAGAACGGTCTCTGGCTTCCTACGGTACGCTGCAATCTTTTTTTAAATTCATAGGTGTTGGTCTTGTTTTTTGTCTAGTCAGTTTTTGTCGACCAGGAAACGAATAGATTTCCTCCTGTGACTCGTCACTCCCACGGCCTCCCATCCACCTTGATGCGAACACACAACCCACTCATTCCACCCCGCGACCACATCACCCACACGACCCCCAAACTTCGGACCGTTGAGCTCGGTACGACAAATCGGGTTTTGTGGGATGGACAATTTGAGCATTGCTGTCGAGACGACACCCACAATTTCGGCTGAGCTTCTTTCGCAGCGCAGCTAAGCAACAGACACAAACGCTTATCTCAGCATAGGGCCCTCTTTCCGAACTTTATCAACCGTCAGAAGCAAAAATGAGAGGTACACTGTTCGTCATCTTAGCCATCATGCTGCTTGGCCTTGTTCATGGAAACCAAGAGCTAGGTATCCGCGGCGGAAATGCCAAGGAAGAATCTGTTGCTGAACAAAATGCATTGGAGACTGGTTTGATGGACCGTGATGGCGACGTTCTACACAGAGAACAAAGAGAGTTGAACCGTAGACGCCGAATGATGATGCGACAGAACGGGGGTGATAGCGGCGATGACCATCGCCAGATGCGTATGCGCCGCCGAATGATGCGAGGGCGCGGCAAAGGCGGCAAAGGAGGCAAAGGCAAAGGAGGCAGGAGTAAAGGCCGAATGCGAGGAAAGCGAGGCAAGGGAGGACGTAGCAAGTCCCGACGATCATCCCGATCATTCACCGACTTCCCTACTTTCGTTCCCTTCACTCGATTCCCTACCTTCGTCCCTGAAGATACAACCGAGCCCACTCCAACCAGCGGCACCACAGCACCAACCCCAACCAGCGGCACCACAGCGCCAACCACATCCGGTGGCACCACCACGACTGCACCGACAATCACTGGCGCCACCAATGCACCGACGATTACTGGTGCCACTCAAGCTCCGACATCGGGTACAGCCACGACCGCCCCGACAGCAGCTACGGCCACGACCGCCCCGACAGTTACGGGAGCATAGACGTTTTAGTCACCACGGTGAGCCTGATTGGTCGCTGGTCTCTTCGTCTTTACGATAATCGTCCACTTGTATGGGTTTTCAGCCACATTACAAGCAAACGTTGTAAACTATTGGTATTAAAGGAATAAATCATATGTCACACATTTCACCATGATTTCGTACAATGTACCAATACGGTAATCTCATCAGTCAGCTAGAAGCAATGCTCAGAAGCTTACTAGTTTCGCTGGCGACGTTGGCCAAAAAGTATAGTGAAAGCTTCGGCTCATGTTCCAAGGCTAGCTAGGATTCGATTATAGATTCGGATCTTCCTGTGAGGTGGATATCCTTGAGCTACAACAGAGAGCATACCGTAGCTAGAGGAGTATCTGATACGGCACCGGACGGTGCAGCCAACGTCAATTGTGCAGACACCGTTGTTTATCATAGCCAAAAAGGTTGCAAAACGAGCACAGCCTAAGCGGCACAGTACGGAACAAGCCGTTGAGGTATTACTAGTAGTTGGATCTGATATCTGATACCGGTACCTGGTACTACCGGCATCATCGCTCCAACATCCGACCCTTGGGATGTTGGAGCAATGGGCGATTTTCCTGCTACTAGTTACTACCTGGTAGTAGGGCGACTCCACATCCGTTGTCCGTACCTTTTGTTTCGCTTTGATGCTCTTTTCCACCACTGGGAGCCAATTTGCCAGCCACCCTTTGCCGATCCAAGTTCCCACAACCGCGCTTGCTAGTACGGTATCGTACGGTACCAGTCTGGTACCGAACAGGACCGGTACCATCGGGAAGTATGGCATGCGGTACGGTACCATCGGGAAGTATGGCATGCGGTAAACCATACCGTAGGTCAATTTCCTCGCTGTGCTGGCTGGCTAGCTCTAGACTGCGTAACTTCGCACGCACGCAAGGAGTTGCTCTCCTTCATAACTCTTTCAGACTTGCATGAGCGCTGGTCCAACAACCAAATTTCTTGTCTTACTGAATTTCCTACAGTCGATATTTCCGTCTTGTCCAGGAAAGGCATGCTTGCATGAGTCTTACAGTTGGAAATTTCCTCGATGCTCCACAAAGTTTGATAGTTGCCGATTGCCTGTCTTCTTATCTTCTTATGCTCGGGATCGCCCTCCATTGCAGGGGAATTTGTAGTCTTGTAGCTTCTAACTTAGAGACAAGAGCCGATTTGGAATCTGGGCTGATGAGCCACCATCTACTTCTCCTCACAAAACGATTCTCCTCCCAGTAGAGAAGCACATCAGCAACCACCTCTAACAGGCACTCCTCGCAAAGCATCTCACTATACCGGACAATCAACTGTAGCAATATGAAGTTCGGTTTTGTTTTCTTCCTAGTGGCCCTACTAGTGGCATTGGTGGCTGCTGAGCCCCATGCAGCTCGAGAGAACCGCATGGACAATGCACTAGAGCAAAAGGCTTTGCTTGATCATGAGGACATTGGTGACGCTGTTGAAGAGATTCCCTCTGCACACAGAGAGTTGAACTATAGACGGCGCCAGATGAACAGGAACAAGCGTATGAGGATGCGTATGAGGACTCGCAGAACGCGCATGAACCGCAGAATGCGCATGAGGAACCGCCGCAATCGCCGCAACAATAACGGGCGCGGCAAGGGCGGCGGCAAGGGCGGCAGCAAGAGCAGCAAGTCTGGCAAGGGCGGTGGCCGCCGCCGCATGAGGATGCGAATGCGCATGAGGTTCCGCCCCATCCGTCGTATGGACTTCACTCGCTTCCCTACCTTCGTTCCTATCAACACAGGAGAACCCTCTGCCGGAGGAGGCCCAACTGTCCCACCTGGTTCCCCCACCACCGCTCCTGGTCCCACCACTGGACCTGGTACAAGCGCGCCAACAACTCCCGGAGCTACCAATGCACCGACAACAGGCAGTGCGACCACAGCTCCCACGACCGCCACTGGAACAACCGCACCAACAATCACGCCCGCTTAATCGGTTGCTTCCTTGTTTGTCCAACGCGTCTGAAACATCGTGTTGGATATCGCATCACCAGTTTCACCCGCTTGTGGCCTACCGGAGTCAGGTGATTTTACTTTGACAGTACAATCAGCAATCGATGAATCGATGGTTTGGCGTTTGTAGACTTTTGCTCAGTTTCTTGGAGAAGGAATCATATTCAGTTTTACTCATAATCATAACTCATAACAGAACAGTATTTAGAAAGATCGAGGTAAAGTACATTAGCTACCGTGTCGCTGCAAGTAGTAGCATAGTATGCATTGTAGCTTCGTTCGATCAGATGCCTCGAGCGAAAGGGATCTGGCAATCGGTAGTAGCTACCGATACGGTAGCAACAGTAGGCATGGCATGTTTTGAGGGAGGGTAGATGCCTGCAACAGCTTTATTTCAGAAGGCGCTCACGGTACCGTACCATACCGATAGGGTGACGGATTGAATTCCATCTAGCTAGAATCGAATCGAATCATTCGCCTCATGGGAAAGGGAGGTGGGATGTATGCATGGTGCTGGTACTGGGCACCTTCAGCTACCGGTACCGGTACCTGGTACGGTACCTGGTAGTCTACCGTATCATACCGGTACCGTACGCCTGTAGCTAGCGGTAGGCTAGCTAGCTATGTAGTCTAGGTTTTAGGTTAGGGGTGAGGTGGAGGGAGTGCTGGCGGAAGGCAAAAAGGAGAGCGAAGATTGGAAAAGGGCGAGACCGCCGTGGCCAGAGATCTTTTTTTAAAAGTGACATCAACACTGCTCAATTCAACCAGTTATTACGAGCGAGGCGCTGATTTAAGTAACAAAATGTGACGATTAAAAGACCGTTAACATGTCCCTCCATACATGTGCTTACCCAGAGCTCACAAATTCGACCAAAATTCTCAGTACATGTAAACGGTTGTTGGGTGAGCCTTTGCGCACCTCGGAAAGCTCCTCTCCAACGTGCAACATATTTCAGAAGGTTGGTGGGCGCTCGTCTGTGAGTTGAGTCGAGTCGAGTCCTCAGTCAAGCTGCTACAGTAGCCAGCCAGCTCGGCGACAGCACAACAATGCCATAGTTGCTATTGTAATTGTGAACAATGCCCAAATCTGTTTTCACTGACTCCGTCAAGAAGACGGCGACACGGGGGAGGTCGGCAAAACCATCACTGCTTCGATTTTTGCTTGTTGGGACGGCTAGTCTTCTGACCATTGCAAGGTCGTTCAATGCTACAAATGTGTCCTCGTGGAAATGGCTTCCAGATGGCCGGACTCTAAGCATGCTTGACATCGAGTCATTGGCTTCGCCAACGTTCCCGCAGGCTATTGATAAGAGCAGCAAAATCAAGATCATTGGGTTTGCAGGTGAGTGATCGACGTGGGTCGCGAAGCCCCGCACTGTTCTGTTACCTCACGTTTTTTTTCTAGACTCTCGGTATCGTGATATCGCCATGACTTGGTATCAACGTCTTAGCAATTTGGGTTATAACGAACATACAATTATCACAACAGATCAATTGGGAGCAGACTTTTTCGCACATAACGTGTCCTCGTACCGCTTTGAGAAGATGATCGTAAAGATAACGGAAGGGGAGTCGCATATGAGAGTTTCCGGCAAACTTCGACGAGAACGAGAGAGGATGTTTGCTATGCGCTGGCATTACATACTCTCGCAGTTGGAGCAAGGCATCTCCGTGGTCTTGACCGACATGGACAACATCTTCAACAGGCACGTCAATCTGTCCGAGTTCCTGGAATACGATGTCATTCATGCCTATGAAAAGACGTATCCCCAAAATGTGTTTGAGAAGCAAGGTTTTGTGGTTTGTGGTGGAATGAGCTTTATCAAATCCAGCCCTGCTGCAATTCGCTTTGTCAAATTGATAGTGGACGGCTGTGGCACCTTTTGCGATGATCAGGTCGTTTTGAACAATCTACTCCTGACACTGAACATTACGTGGGACAACACGGACCATTTACCACCTCCCGAGAACAGAACCAGTGAGAGCATCTTGCCAAAGCAGTCAATGACGGGTATTGCGAGTGCTACAGGACATACTGTCAAGGTCTGGAGTAGAGATTTTGCTTTCCGCGGTGAGGACGAAACAATACTGCGCGTGTCGATTGTGCAAGTCATTGAGTGCTAAACTTCACTTTCTCCTCTTTCTCTTTTCTTTTAGGAGATATGTACCCCGAAGAGTGCCCAGTGGACAACTGGGTGTCCATGCCCTGGCCTGTCCAACCAAGAGGGATATCTTGGACCAGACAGAATATTCATGTATACAAGCACAGAATGTTCCAACAATGGGATGATCATTGTGGGCGAATCAGTAATCAAACAGCAACTGACAAACCAATGACGCCAACTGCCCTCAGTGGCTAGCAACATGGCGGCAAGGGTGCCTAAAGTTGCTACAAACTAAATCAAAGCGTATTGTGGCGTTGTTGGGTCCACTTGGTATTCTCTCGTTCGTTAGAACAGTGTTACAGTACAGGTACCTCGTACGTGATGTACTTCTCCACCTCGGTTAAAACGACTAACCTCCCCGGCTTCTGAGAGTCAAAAAGAGGATAGCAGCCTGGATGATTGACTCCCAAGTCCTCAAGATTCTTGCCAGCCATGAGCTGGATGCCATTGGACATCAATACCAGATGATCTGGGGATCTCTTGCATTAACTAATCACTCTTATTTACGTGCATATATCCGGCTTGAGGCAAAACGAAATTACAAGACATTAGTTCTAAAAATGTTTCGATAACTTTCGGTACTGGTTTTTTGTGGAGGTGATTCCAGGCAAAGTAAGAAGCCTTGAGCGGAATATAGCTAGCTACTAGACTAGGGAACGTCAGGATTCCCCATCGGTCCGCTTCGCGACGTCGTAACGAGCAAGTCCTCCGCATCGAAGCCAAAGCACTCAAGTACGCCGCCCTGAACAGCCGTGTCCCCTCCATTGTGCACAAATACAAACACTGCATCGCCTTCGTCAAATCGATTTGCAGAAATCGAGCAAAACTCTTCACTAGTTGCAAAAAAATTTGCAGCGCAATCGAATTCGTTACCGACCAGGTTTGGGACATCGTCCACTCTCATGTAGAAGTCGATATCACCGAAGTCAGAAGTCGCAAAACAGTCCACATTCACAACGCCTTCAGGGATATCAAATCTGAAGAGGAGGCCTCTGGACCTGCCCCCTTCGTTGAGCCGTATGTTACCACGTTGGAACGGCAAATCCACATCGAACGCTTCCTCATCATCCACCGGCACTGTGGCGGTGCACTCAATGGTTGCGTCTTCAACCTGAGTTCCGCCGTCGGGTGTCACCGCAAGGTAGATCCGAGTGTCTTCTGAAACTCCGCCAATGGTGCTGGACCAAACCTCTGTACAGCGTGCCGAACCAGATGTCCCAGTAGAACTCCCGCAGTCGAAAACATCGTTCGCGGAATCAGCAGCCAGCAAAGGGGGCTGTCCCACACGAAAAGCGAGGAAAACAGATCCATCATCAGATTCAACAGAACACCTCACCATGAGAGTGCCTTGAGGGATTTCCACGTAAAAATCACGTTGTTGGTTCAGAGAAAGACTAAACTCTTCCCCATCGTCCAATTCCAATCCGTCTCGGTCTGTGGGTCGAGATCCTGCTTGAAATTCCACCACGCACTCTATGTCGCCGTCGTCAACCTCCTCAAGGCCATACAGCAAGACGAACACGTCGACGTCTCCACCAGAAACCGGAACGAAGCAGCACTCAACGCCAGATTCACACGTATCTTGGCAGGAGTCATCTCCGACATAGCCTTCGCGGGGAATTGGCATCTGACCAACTCTCATCCAGAGGAAGACTTCTCCCTCGTCAGAGTCTACAGTGCAAGCGACAAATTCTGTTCCTTCGGGGGCTGCGACCATAAAGAGTTCATACTGGTTCTGGCGCAAGTCGAAGCTTCGGTCATCACCAACTTCTTCACTGACGTCCCGTGCGTCGCTTTCGTCTTCATCGATAAAGCACTCAATTTGAATGTCTCTAGTTGCTGTGTCAGCATACACTTCAGCATAAACGGACAAAGAAGCACCACTGACGACCACCCAGCATTCTTCTTCCGAGTCAGCATTTTTGCTGGCACATTCCTGAGTCTCATCCGTTGGCAAGACGTCAACTGCCACCGACAAGTCGACATCGCCATTGTTCCCGTCACTCTCAACCCGGCAGAGGAAGATAGCTGTGACATCAGACACGGAAAGTTCAAATATACGCCTCTCCCTTTGTGTCAAATTGAAAGGTTCAGTCTTTTCGCCCATGACCAGGGTTGCAATGGGCATGGGAGAAGGGGCGGGGGAAGGAGCTTGTGTGAATCCGAGGTCCGCGGGCGTGACTGCAGTGGCGCTGCATTGGCCCACAGAGGCAGGAGCGTTGGCGAGCTTGATGTCGGTATAGATAGCGTAATCCGAAAGCAAGCTTCCGGCAAAACCTGTGTTCAGACACTTGTCCACCTCTGCGCCACCAGCGACGTTCGTGCAATCTGCGAAAAAATTTCCGTAATCTTTGTCTGGGAAGTCGCAGGGAGCCACGCGCCCCAGGGGTTCCTGTGTGGCTAGCTCAGAGGCTTCTTGTATGGGTAGATCCATCAGAGTCAGGCATGACGAGCACGTTTCACCATTGAGAGAAAGGGGGCACACTCCTCCCTTGGGTCCACCGTCACAGATATTATGCCCACCTGAAAAGGTGTAGCAGAAACGAATCTCAGGAGGTTGCTGGGATGGACCATCTAGAGCCGTCCTGGAGGACCAGTAACGCATCCCTTTGAAGCAGAAAGGCCCTTGCTCTGTGTGGAGGGGATCGTCAACATTGTAACATTGCATGCAGTCGTCTTCACAAGCAGTGCTCCACTCAACGGAGGAGAGTGAACCCGTGTCCACAGTACTGCTTTCACAAGGGCTGCAAGTTCCTGCAATATTCTCAGCGTTAAATGAGTCAAAGAGAATCTGTCGTGATCGGTAGAACTCGCAATCTGCTTTCGCTCCGTTAGGAGAGGTGCCGACTCTGAGCGTTTCCACTTCAGTTTCATTTTCGAGGGAGATAAAGACGTAGTACTAGTAGTCGTCATTGGTGGTAAGGTTGAAAGGAACTTCAATTAGCATGCGGTCTCGTTCATCTGGCCTCGCAGAGCCGGAGGCAAGACAAGTGAGGGAGCCACAACTACCCCGCATGACGGCTACTTCGTGAGGGACGGTTGTTGACAACGAGGAAGCGTAAACTCTGGAATCAATTTCCAGCCCAAGAAGGCCATCGACGTTCAAGTTGAACCAGGCTCCGACCTTGTTGGTAGTCTCCGTGGGAAGGCAATCACCGTCAACGTTAGTAGGCAACGAGCCGTCGATTGCATAGAGCGATTCAGAGATTGATTGGAAGTATCCGCTGGTGTCCTTCTTTGCTGCAGCGGCGCAAGTTTCTGCGCCCAACCCAGCCTCCACCATTGCACTGCCCCAAAGAAGAGCGACTGTGAAGAGACCGATAGTGCCTCCAAACCGATTCATCGTGCTTTCTTTGTTTTCTTATTATTTTCTCCTGTAGTTGAATCAATGTACGATCATCGTCAGAAGCAAAAAGTGTGAGCTGGGACTATCCAAACACAGCAAACGCAACTTTCGAAAAGCCATTCTCCCATCCATTCTGCCAAAAGCATCGTTTTCTGCCGCTCATGAGCTCACCTCTGCTGAACTCAATAAATGGATAAGGTATTTTTAAAATATGCCTTGTAACGTACTAGCTAGCTAGCTAGTACCGGTACCATAGCTTATTGACGATAGCTGGCTCCTCGAGCAGTGTTCAAATCTGGAATAAAAAAATGATACCTGGTACCAGTATCCTGCGAGAAAGCCTTCGCTGAACGGGTACCGGTACGACTGGACTAAGTAAACCGACATACCGGTACTGAGTAGAGTACGGTACCAGTATGTACCAGCTAGATAGCGATGTTCAAATATTGTACGTACAATTGTACGTGTACGTGTACCAGTCGTACCTGTTACAAACTCTTCCCTCTTCCGGGATCCAAAAAATGAAAACGCACTTGTTCCACCTTGTTCCACTTGAAACCGTGTGAATAGGCTTGGGGCTGGGCCCACCCCATGACCGCACATGAGATCTGAAAAAATGTTGGTATGATTTGCTTTTGAGAGAGCTCTGATGAGAATTATTTGGCACGATGTTTCCGAGCTTCAGAAATGTAAACGAAGGACGAGGCAAAGGAGAACAGAGGCCGCAACAGCAAACAGGTCCCAGAGCATAGCATACATTCCGCTACGAGTAGGCGCATAGAGCTGGTCAGCTAGCTAGTACTCGTACGGTAGCTGTAATCAACATGGCAGACGAAGAAAAGACCCCCAACGCTGCACGGAAACGACCTCTTGTTGGAAAGGAAAATAATGAAGAAGTCTTGCCGATGGCAGCTGCATCATTGGGCAACAACGCGAAGGAAGAAAATATCACACCGCCACCAATGCAGCGACGCCAGGGGAATCCCTACAAGAAGAAACCCAGACAGCTAGACACGACTCCTGGTGATGTTGAAGTGATCTCTCCTCCGCCACCTCGAGTAGCTTTGAAGAGACCAGTGTCCTCCAATGACGACGAAGTTTGTGTGATGCAATCCACTCTCACAAACGCGTTGGTGGAGTATCCTCATGGACGTCCGGACTGTGGTCTGCACAGCTTTTCGGAGGACAAGTCCAAGTTTTGCGACAAGTGCTACTGTTTGGTCTGCAACAAGCTGGCAAGTCAGTGCACTGATTGGGGCGAGCATTGCTCTCACGAAAACGAAAAACAGAAAAACAAACGTACAGCAGCGCCTGCCAATCATCCCGTCATTGACATTGAGGATTCTTCGTCTTCGTCGCCAGAAACACCGGCCAACAATCTTCGATCCATCGGCAATAACAAAAATATCGTCAATCCACACGCTCGGCGGCGCCACCAAGCCAATGGTTCCGCCTTTGCCTCCTTCTTGGACGCCCAAGCCAACCGAAAAGGGTTTGAGGACCATTACACCAACGATTTCAACACGGCATACGAAAATCCTGGCGAAAAGGGACGCACTGCCAAATCCATGAAAATAACAGAGATCCTGGCACAAAAACTGGCCGAGACAATGCAATTGGCTGACAAGATTCCTTCTTCTGCTGAGGCCACTACTAATAGTTCTACTACTGCCGCAAACAAAATGAACAATGAAAATAACAAAAAAAGCGCCAATGAAGAACTCACAACGCATAACCTGCAGGTAAGTGCAGGGAAATGCGATTCACCACAGTGCCATTGCCACACTCTGCCGCCTTCCTCACGTATCATCGAGCAACTACAGAAAAAAGATCGCTTTGATCGATGCAAAATGGAAGGGGACATTGCTCAGTTGGGACTGCACAAGTCGTTCTTCGTCGAAGGGGTTCGTATTGGATGGCCATATCCCTCTATTCTAACCCCGCAACGGCTAATGGCCATTCATTTGGTCAAGGCACTCAAAAACTCGCGTCATGTCGTACTGGAAAGTCCCACGGGGACGGGGAAATCCGCCGCCATTTTGTGTGCTGTTTTGGCATGGCAACGACATTATGCCAAGAGCAATTGGGGAAAGACCGTACTGAGCAATGGAAATATCTCCGCATTGGCGGCAGGGAAGATGCACCTAGAACCCGGGGCAGAGACCTTCCCACGCATCATTTACTGTTCTCGAACTCACAGCCAGGTGGCGCAGATGGTGGCGTCCCTCAAAAAAACGCCTTACCGACCGCGCATGACAGTGCTCGGTTCTCGCGATCGCTTGTGTATTCATCGGTAAGATCACGTCCTGGCTGTCATCTGCAAACCTTGCTTGTAGTCAACTCGACTCCCTCACCCGCCACAATGCCCACAAAAACTGAATCGCAGCAACATTCGAAACAAGGGTGGCGCAACGCAGGGTGACAATGGTGGCGATCAGAACAGAGCGAAGGCCCGCGTCAATGTGAACACTGCCTGTCAAATGCGGGTGGCCAATGCCGAAAAGATCCGGAAACAGCTTTGGAACTCGTATGACTTTCGCTATGATGACAATCGTCCTCCCTGTGAGTTAGGAACTTGCGTGGCAAGCCCATTACAAAGGCACCATGATGGCAAAATGCCGCTCACAGTTCGCTCGCTGTTTCCTCCATCTTCAAGCACACCTTCCGGGCGATGGTGACGGAAATCAGGGAGACGGCGCTTCTGACGGGGAGGATGACGCAACGGGGGATCAAATGCAATCCAGCGAATGGATCCTTAAAAAGAGCAAAAAGAAGCTCACATGTCCCCACTACCGTCAATTATCCAGCTACCGAACGGCGCACATGACAAGAAACCGCTTTGCGGCGAGCCAGGACGAAATTCAGTGCTGCAAGAGTGGCGGTGAAAAGACAAAGTTGGGAGTTCACGAGATTGAGGACCTTTGCTCTTTCGGTGTGAACCCGTACATCATTGAAGTGGCCCTTTACAGGAATACCGGCAGTCGGGAGGACTTTGGCATCATCATTGGCAACGATTGTCGCATCCGAAGCATAGGCAAGGACACACCAGCCGAATACTGCGGTCAGCTGAATCGAGGCGACAAGATTGTGCTTGTGAACGGGAAACAGGCCAAGAGTATGCAACATATCCAGCACGAACTCGCCAGCACAACTGCAGACGTGGTGAACCTGAAGGTCGCCCGGTCTGGTTCTTCTGGCACCCGAACTATCCAAACACGGCCAATGAATCACAGTGCGAAGAATGAAAGTCACCGCCAGGTCCAAGTTGCTTTGTATCGCTCTCCCGGAGAGACAAGCTTCGGAATGACTCTTGAAATCTTCGGCACTGGATGCAAAATTAGCGGATTCAAGGCTGGTCCAGCCCTCCGAAGCCGCAATGTAAAAGTTGGAGATGTCATTACTGGTGTCAACGGAAAGTATCTCACAGGCTTTCATGATGTCACCCAAGAAATCTTGAACACAGCAGTGGACCCCCTGCGGCTCAACCTTCGACGTCAAACGGACGTACCCATCGATGTCGATGAAGCAAGCGACAGCGACGAAAGTGACCCCGCAGAATCAGAAGATCTCTACTCTCCGCATTCTCCATGTCCGTACTACTTGTCACGGGGTAAGTCAACTGACTTGTACTAGTATGCGTATTGTGTCGTGAGACAGAGGGTTGTCAGATACTGACGAGCCGGGCTGCCCCTTTTCCACAAAGCACTGAGCAAGCATGCAGAACTTCTGTTTGCTCCGTACAATTACATTCTTGACCCTGGAATACGAAAAGCGTTGGAGATTGACCTTGAGGGGGCGGTGGTTGTTTTGGATGAGGCGCATAATGTTGAGGGAACGCTGACTGAAAGTGGCAGTGGCAAATTCGGGGAAATTGAACTGGTGAGAGAATTCAATGCAAGCGCCAGAAGCGACCTCCCCCGCTGAGCACTTTGGGTGATGCTCACCCTTTTCATCGTTGTGATCAGACGCAACTGTTTGCAAAACTTTCGTTCTATTCCAGCGCAGCGAAAAGTCGAAGCAGCAAGTTGGATGATGTAACGAGTTCCCTTGGTGGGAAAATAGACCTTGCCGAAAGTGCTCATGAGCTGTTGCTCTTTGTTGAGAAGCTCATATTGTACATGCGGGAGCAACGGCAGCGCTTTGAGCAGTCTCCTGGTGAGTTTAAATCACATGAAACCATTCAGTTGGTTTGCTTGCAGCTCACTCTATCTTCTTTTCTTTGCTGATCAGGCAACGTCGGTGCTCGGAAGGCCATTGAAGACTACCAAAGGTGACTTCATATAATATGTAGTGTGCAAGACTCATTGCATGGTTGGAGAGCTCACCTTCGCAATTGTTCTTGGCTGACAACTACTCTGCAAAGGTTCCACACCCCAGACAACACCGATTTCGAAGTCAGCTACCACGGGCCGAATGGACACGGCGTTCACCGCAAAGCAGTCGGGTGCAAGCCGTTTTTTGACCTTGACTCCATGCAAATAAAGCCTGCGGATATTGAAAAGTTACTCGGATACTCCCAAGAATTGGAGAAACAACTAACTGGAAGCGACAAAGCACAAGCAAACGAGTCGAACGGTGGTGATGTTGCTGGTGCCGGGGAAAAGAGCCCTAAGAACAACACCTTCGATCTACTCAATGAGCTTCTTTCCAAGTTTCAGTTGGCTTCTCAATCTCCACAGCATTTCTATATCTCCTGCGTCATTCAGGCCAACGGCAATTTTGACCATGCTGCGGGAGAATTGGGAAATGAGGACCGCAACAACGCTGGAACCCGAAACCGACGCTTTCAAAAGAAACCCGCCAATCTGCCATTCATGTACCCTCGCAACGTCAACAATCCAGGGGCGGCACTTTACGTGTGCAATCACGACAAGTGCAAAAAGGGAAAAGGTGGAACTGAGGCCAGCGCAATGCCGAGCTGGGGCGGTCCTGGTGTCCGACATGGAGAATGGTGCGATGGGACACAATCTCCCCCTTGGGAGGCACATCTCGTCTTAAAGCTTTTGTTCCCGGGCTTGCTCATGAAAGAGCTCTCGAGTCAGTGCAGAACGCTTGTTCTTGCAAGCGGGAGCCTTTCCCCTTTGAAAAGTGTTTGTGCTGAGTTGGATCTCCATGACAAACGAATTGGTACGAAAAAGCCTGGACGGCTTCAGACAACGCCAAAACCATTGGAAGCCAATCATGTTGTGAATCTGGTGAGTGAAGGAAGTTGCTCAATACCCTCATCACAACGCCAACGGTATGGAAGCATGTCGCTCAAATGTAACTTTTTTCTGCACCTCCCAGGAAAAGCAACTCCTTGCCGTCGCCTTGGGGAGCTTCCCTAATGGTGCACCACTCACAGTCACCTACAAACACTACAAGAATCCCGAGTTCTTCCCTCGCCTTGGTGACTCCATTGCAACAGTCATCGAGACGATCCCTCGGGGAGGCGTTCTTGTGTTCTTCCCCTCCTACAGGTAGGTGTCAATTATTCAGTGTTGCCATTTTGATTTGTTCATCGTTCGGCTCAAGAACTTTCACTCGCTCAGTGTCTTGAACAAGTGCGTCAAATGTTGGAGCCCTGAGTCAAACCAACGGCGATACGGTGGCTTCGACAATTCCGAGTATACGTGCCCGGAAGTTTGGGAGCGCTTTGAACAAAGCAAGACCAAGGTGATCGTAGAACCAAGCGGGAGTAATCAAGAACAATTTGAAGCAGCGAGGGATGAATACGCCGAAACTATTCGTTCTCAAGGAAGCTGTGTGCTCCTAGCGGTGTTTCGTGGCAAGATGAGTGAAGGAATCTCATTCAACGACGACAATGCTCGAGGGGTTATCTGCGTCGGAATTCCCTTTCCATCGTCCAAAGAGAGAGCGATAGTCGCCAAGCGAGCGTTCAATGACGAACAGAGGAAGCTGAACAATAACACAGATTTGCTTCCCGGGCATGATTGGTACGTTCGGTGTGCATTGTGCACAGTGTTGTTCTTCTGGACCAAGTCTCACTTTCTTCTTGCTTTTGCATTTAAAGGTACGCCCAAGAAGCGTTTCGCGCCATCGCTCAGGCACTTGGCCGGTGCATCCGACACGAGGGAGACTATGGAACCGTTGTTCTGATGGATTCCAGGCACTGTCACGACGGGTCGCCAGGGTTTGTACATTCCAAGCTTCCCAAGTGGATGCGATATGGCGTTCGCACTGTAGCCCCAGGAAACAGGGGACACGGCAACAAGCCAATTCTTGGGGGATACCAGGGACTAAGGCAAGAAATGAAAAAGTTCTTTGCAGAAGCCCCAGCCTTTGCTGATTCTGTTGTGACCAAACGCCGAGCAGACTTTGCAGCCGCGAAAGACCGAGAAAAGCATCAAGGAGGAGGTGGCCGCACATTCGACAGCAAAAGTGGCAGTTGGACTCCAAACACAGCCACTTTCAAGAGTGAAGCAAAACCCAAAGCCGTCAGCAGTGGAATTGGCCCTGCCATTGATGTTGCCATGAGAATCACACAGGACAGCCCTCTTCCTCCTGTCCTCTTCTCCAACCAGCATGCAGCATCAACACCAGACACGCCCTCGCACCCAATGGGTATGAAAGGTGTAGTTCCAGATCGGGATGCATAAGGTGGTGATGAACTAGTAGCAGAATGCTAGCTTTAATATCTGGCCCTCTATTGTTGAATCCGGCAGTTGGTGCTGAGAACTAGCTTGCTATTAGAGATTAGAGTAGCGAGCCAGCAAGAATTTGAGACTGTAAATCTCCTTTGGGTGGTGCGTTCACAGTCCCTAAGGAATACATAAGCTGCACAACTTCCCAGGCATCAACTGCATGGTACAATTTGGCCAACATGGCATTTCTGGTGTGCAATGCATTGAAGCAAACTGGCAGAATTTTTAAAACCGCAATGGGTTAGTCTGGTTGCAAATGTGCATGCATACCGTTATGAGGCTTGCTAGAGCAACAGACCATGCGGAGGTCTTAAAGTATTGGCTGGTAAGTTCGTTTTGGCTGGGCCTTTTGTGTAGCCGGGCACAGGAGAAGAACCGTGTTTTGGGCCTGGTGTGGGTCCTGATGATTCGGACAACTGTCTCGTCACTCTTTCAAGTTGCAACGGACTTGACTCGTCACTCAGCTCCCTTTGCCAGAAAATCAAAGCGACGATGGTGTTTACCGCCTACACTCCATTTCTGTCTCATTCGGTCGAGAGTGCTGTGGCTTGAGGTACACCGGTAGATCTGGCTACTACTCTGGTGCATGTACAAGGAAAGGGGGATAGATAGTATAGCAACTCCCCGCTGAGCACGTTGATTGATGCTCACCCTTTCGTCATTGCCATCAGGCACAACTGTTTACAGAACTCTCCTTCTATTCCAGCGCAGCAAAACGTTGAAGTTGGATGAAACAATAATCCCCAAACATGTTCCTGTGGTGGCTCTAACAGCTGCTGCCTATCGGGAAGACCGAGACGCCTGTCTGGATGCGACCATTTTTCTGTCTAGGCAGCAGAAGCAGGTCCAAGGACTTGAGGGCAGGCTGCAGAGCATGACCTTTGTATCAAGGCATCATGGTTGCTCGGACGAGTTGGTCCTTATTGAACAATCTAGGTTCTGGTTGTGGCGCTATTTCTTGCTCTGTCGTTTTGTTTAAGTCATTGTTCTCAAGCTATAGACTTAAAATACATATTGCCCAATCTATGTATCATAATTCTAATGACATAATGTCAAACGAACTCTCCATCCACAACCAGCGGCAGGCGCCCCCATTTTGAAAATAGAGGAAGCTTCCTTTTGTGTCACGGTACCAAATGATAAAACTAACCTGAACTGCCACGTTCTTCTTGACGGTAGATCAAGGTTTGTTCTTGCACAATGCACAGATCTTCGCCTTCTGGAAACGTCACACGGATGCAGTCGTTGGGACACAAGCTCCGGATTTGCAGACGAGGAACCTGACGAAACTCGCGATCCTCATTTTCTGGCCCTGCTTTCTTGAGATAAAGGTCATTGCACATCGAGTGATTCTTGACGACACAGTAGGACGCATGGACATCGAAACAAATGTCAGTGTCGCCTCTGGTAGGATTTGTTGACCCTCGTTCTTCGTGAAATACCCCATACATCATATTAAACCAGTTTTCACCTTCCATGAGCTCAACCTTGGTTGTCCCTGCCATCAGGGAGTGCTTGAGTTGACCCGAAGGGGAAGGATCCGCCATCGTTGCTTTCAAAGAGTCAATACAAACGTTTTAGCTGGCGATTATCTTTCGGCATTTATTTGTTGTGAGGAACGTCTGTCGGCATTGGTTCTGTGGAAATGGTGCAAAAGTGCGTGCCAGCGTGAGGCTCCAAGCTAGCAAGCAGATGTCTCCAATGCAGTCAGCGCGCTCCCTGTTTTTTCTATTTTAGGAAAGGAAAAAATGTGATGCCAATTAGACAGTTTTCAATTTTAAAAAACATTTCCCTGTAATACGAGAACCAGTAGAGATTTTACTAGTTTCTATTTTCTATTCTAAACATTTCTATTTAGAAAGCAAAAAGTCAAAACGCGTCCAACGAAAAGCCGAACTCTATTTGAGACGTGGCTGCAGGTACCGGTAGCAGGCTGCAACGCAGGCGTCATTTTTTGTTTGTCTTGGGATGTTTGCCTTCGCAAACGATGAGACAAAACACCGAGGTACCGGTACCCTACTAGCTAGTACTTGGAAGAAGATAAAGATGCAGTTGATGCACAGTACCGGTACCACTCTGAACCACAGAAGGCCAGCCAAGAGCAGCACATATCCAATCAGTCAAGACCACAAGCCTACAAATCATCCGAGAATGAGCGACGACCTCTCCAGTCCCAACAGCGCTGCACATGGAGGTGTTGGCCACCGCCAGGACAACGACGATGATGACGATGTAGATCAAAACAAGAGCGGCAGCATCAGTGCCAGCACAACAAGCAAAAAGAGAAAGTGCGGCAAGACGGACACTGAATCGGAAGATGCCAAGATGAACAGCACTGTACACACCGAAGACAATACCTGCAGCAATAGCAATCAAACACGGCCCAATTGTCGCGTATTCATTAGTTATTCTCACAAGGACGAAGTCTACCGGGAGCGCCTGGAGAAACACTCAAACCACTCAAAGAGAATGGATACATTGAATGCTGGTCAGACAAACAAATTGTGGCGGCCACCCAATGGAATCCCAGCATTCGATCCGCCATGGAGCAATCCAATTTGTTCCTTTTGTTGGTCAGCCAAGATTTTGTTGCTTCCGAATTCATCATGAACGAAGAAGTTCCCTACGCGACACAACGGGCACAGGATGGCACGGCGCTTGTCATTCCCATCATTATAAGAAGTGTCAATTTGCAATGCTGCACCAAATCAACCACTGGCAAGCATTGCCTAGCAATGCTCTCCCCGTCAAACAGTGGAAGGACCCCGATGAGGCCTGGATGAATATCGAACAGGGTATTATTGAAGCCATTCGAAACCCAGCAAGGGAAAACTTAGTAGGAACCATTATTACTTTGGTGGATACCCCGGTCTCCGCCATCAAATCCCTTCAACGACGCGAAAGTCACTCGCGTCGCTATCATCGGGAGTCTCTCATGAGTTCCATTACGCCGGCTGGATTGGCCAGCCTCGAAATGGAAACTCCCCTCGAGTTGGATCGCCTTACGGAGTTTTGGAAGGCCGTCGATCTTGACGATGGTCAGTTGGTTTCTCTCAAGTGCACAGTGTCCCGATATGCTCCCATGGTGATTGGAGATCCATTCAAGAAACGCGACGCTCACCTCAAATGTCGCAACATGATGTCAAGCCAGGGGGAAATTTGAGCAGGCTGAAGTCACCATCAATTCGATGCTTTCCTTCACAGCCGCTCAAATGGTTTGGAGTCTAGACTTTCCTTCTCATTCCTTGAAATACTTTGGTCTCTACCAAGGCATTGTACGCAACTCGATTCCTCTGTTCGTGACGGACGACTATTACCAGAAAGTGTTGAAGAAACAATTTCATGAAATGGGCTCTACGTTTGATGCCGATGTCGTGGGTCGCGCCAAGATTTGGCCCAAAGATTTCACCTCCCTCTTCAATGCCAAACTCATGGGGACTCGGCTTGTGACACCCAGGATTACAGGACAAGATCGCCCCGTCTACGGAATTGTCATTGGGGAGGATGAAGATACCGGCATTGCTTCTCCTCGGATCACTCCGTATCTGGATGGAGACATTTGGTGCGCGTTGAAAGTCAATGGCATCACGTCCTTTTATTCTAGGTTTTGCAATATTGCAGACGATCAGGATGAATCCTATCTGATCAGCGATCTTCAAAATGAGATTCAGAAGCTGCCGAGCTATGAAGTTGTCTTTCAGTTCGACCAAAAACTAACACCGTTTAAAGGAAAGCAGGCAGTGGAAGTCAAGGATCTCTATGAGACCTTTTTTGATTTCTGAAGAACAAGCCAGCACCAAGGAGGAGGAAGGTGACTCCAAACACAGCCACTGTCAAGAGTGGCGCAAACCACAGCTACCAGCAGAAGAAATGGCCCTGCTGCTGCTACCATGATTGTCTCTCAGGACAGCCCTCTCCCGACTTGAAAGTAATGCGCTCTCACACCCAACCGGTACGGTACGAGAGCAGGATTCTTTAGTTTCACCAATGATCGGTAAATAAATATAGAGCAGTGAGCCAAGCATGAACCCAATACAGTCAATCGAATCAGATCTTTTACTCTACAACTATAGTAATGCATCCACAGCCCCAAAGGTATACATGGTGCTGTTCCAACATGAAGGACGATAGTTTGCCAACAGACTTCATCTAGACAAAAGCCCTTTTTGCCAGCATTTCCAAGCCGCGCACTTTCAGCAAGCTTAGTCTTCACAGATCCATATGTTCAGCCCGTATTTGATGGGCGGCTGCAGCTTGTCTTGCTGCTGTTTTTTCTTGGTACCCATCTTTTTGTTGCTTGTATTAATAGTATCCAACACAGCCTCCCCTGCATGGATCGTTCGTGGATCCGGCAACCCATCCGATTTGACATTGCAAAAGACCACTGCCCTACCCGCCCGCGGTTGCACCTTCAAATCATTGCAATGTGGAAACCCTGTACACCCGCCTGCATTGGCTGGTAGATCATTGAGGTAGCAAAAGATGGTGACCAATCGACGCTTGACCAGCACTGATTTGGGTGGCAAGGCCACCTCACCGGTTTCTTCATTGTAGTCTCCCATATCATGGTGAACTCCAAAGAATTGTCCTGGAATAAAATAGTACATGAATTCATAATATACTGGTGTGTTAGCCTGGGCAATCCATGCCATCTTGTCCACCCAGCTTTTATCATAACGGCAGTGGACTTGTTCATTGCCATATTACGGTACTTACCTGGCATGTACCGTACCAACTGCAACGGTTCAATATTGTCATTGGTGTAGCATCCCATGAGCTGTGCCGCTCGCCGTTCAATGGCGGCCACTTTGGCATTTTCTTGTTTGGCAAAGCTGACAAAGGTGGACGTCCGATGGTTATCATCGAGCATGGTATCATCATTGTTTTGGTCGACAAAACTGCGTTGAAATTGTTTGCACTCAATGGTCCCATGTAGGAATTCCAAGTCGTTGGGTGTCAAAAAGTTGTCGATCGTGTAAATGCTGGGAGATTGAAAGACTGGTTGAAGCGTAAAGTTTCCCAAACGGAGTGGAGGTAAGATGGGTATGGTTGATTTCTTGCATTGCCGCCGACGGCGGGTTCGTCGCGCTCCATTATTGTCGTCGTTGTCTATCTCTTGAAAGAATAGCTGTTCCATACGTTGGAATTGCAACTGTCCCGTGCGATCTGCCGATATTCGAATGCGATTGGTATCTCGATTGGATCGTCGTCTCTTGGGAGGGGCCAATGATGAAGACTGTACGGAGGAGTCCTCTTCTTGTGAGGAAGAGGGAATGACAGCAGCTACTCCTACAACACCATTTTCAGGTTCCTCTGTAGTCACCACGGGAGACACAGGTCCACTACCAGTAGTAGTCGTCGTACTATTAGTAGTAGTAGGGCCGGCCACGGATGTTGCTGCCATCATGGTCGAGGATCGACAGAAGTGTGGGATGGCATTGGGTGTTGGGGATTGGCGCATGCGAAGGAGGGAAGGATCGAATCAATCGAATATTGAATTGAATCGACTCAATTCGATTCAATCGAGTCAGTCAGGGGAAACACAAAACGGCGGGCCCGACTGCTGGCGCACGTGCGACCCTCGAGGGATGACGACGGCAGCTTTTCCTTTGGGCCATTCAAAGCATTTTGCCTTGCTTCTCTTGCAGGTGGTTGTGGTTGGTGTTGTTGGCTTTTTTCTTTCTAATTTTGGTCGTTGTTGTTATCTGTCTGTTGGTGGTTGTGAGTGATTCAAGTCAAGTCAGCCTCACTAGTTTAGTTAGTCTAGTTGTTAGGTAGTTTGTGCGGCAATTATTTGGATTTTGGGACCATGGCTGAAGGAAGCGCTGCAGTCGCCTGTGAAGTGCAGCCGGAGCCTACAGGCAGTAGGATTTCTACGGGAGCTACCGTAGGAGCGGTTTCCGATGTGACAAACGCACGGAACAACCAACAAGGAGGCCACAGACCCATGATGAACCCTTACGCTCCACAGCAGCAGCAACAACAACAGTACATGCAGTACAACAACAACTTTAACAAGTACCATCAGCAGCAACAGCAACCTCAGTATGGCTACACTCCTCAGTATCAGCAGCAGCAACAGCAGCAGCAGCAGCACTATGGCTACAATCAGTACAACAGCAACAATTACTACGGTTACAACAACAACGGTAACGGCAACAACAACAGCAATAGCTACAATCGAGACTATGGTGGCTACAACAGCAATAGCAACAACAACAGCAACAACGTCAATCCAAACGGCACTTATGGCATTCCTCCTGCTCAGGACACGGCCAACAATGATGGGTCCGTCGTTGACTCGGCGCTTCTTGCGGCGATGCGTGATCAACGGGAACGAGTGGCTCTGCTGCGACTCGAACAAGTCATGATTGACTTTATGAACGCTCCTGAAGGATACCTAGAAGTGGGAGGACCCTACAATTCCGTCGTCGTATCACCCAACACGAGCAGCAAGCGCTTTCAGAGTGCCGCTTCCGTCAACGACACTGGAGGACGACAAACCAGCTTTCAGCGGTGTCTACTCCATCGATTGGCCGATCGATTCGGCATTGTACGAGAAAGTGGAACCATCCTAGAGGGATCCATTCGACTCATCAAGCAAAAGGACTCCAAAATACCGCAAGTGCTCCTCTTGGATCATATGGAAGAAACCAACAACACGAGTAGCAGCTCGAATAATAGCAACAATGCCCAGTCAGGAGGAGACCAGACAGACGCATCGAGCAAGAATGCCCCAGACGAACCAAAGTCGGCGTCTTCCTCCCAACAGCAAGCTGCCCCAACAGCCACCACCAAGGACAAATCCAAACGCAAAATGAAAATCATGAAGCGAAACTCATCCGTTGACAGCAACAATGGACAAGCCAAGAGCACTCCCCGTTCACGGAAGAACAAGAACTTTAGTGACAAGGAAAAGGCATATGCGGAAGCAAGAGCCAGAATCTTTGCCGATGAAGCAAACAGTAACAACCAGTCTGCCACGGCCAGTCAATCCTCCTCCACGGCACCCTCTCCGTCCGCCACACCTCCTCCAAGCAACAATAACAGCAACACTGCACCTGTGCATCGCAGCAGCAGCAATGCCAGTTTGACCAAGCGCATGTCCTCGTCCTCACTGGGCGGTGCGGCGGATGGTCTCCTTGTGGATGACCCCCAGCAACCCACACCGGCGGCAGCGTCCAGTGGAGTCAGCAAGGCGACTTGGAGGAATCGACGGGAAGAAGAAAACGATCCGGATTTTCAACGGGGACAATTGCAAGCCATGGCTCCGGCGTTTGCGCCCGCCGTCTACTATCAGGGGGCCGCTCCTCCTCCACAGGCGTACCACTACGGGGAGCAGCAGTATACCGCGGGACGTGGTGGTGGTGTTGGTGGGGGACAACAACAACGAATGCCGGGGCGGGGCTTTGTGTCACCAAGAGGTTACGGGTATCCTCAACAACAGCAGCAGCAAGGGTTTCGAGCGAGTAACAATAGTGGGAACGCCGCCATTGGAGGGGAACCGACCAACGTCAGTAACATGGAGGAATTTCCGGCGTTACGATAAACACACAAAACAAAAACAACATGATGATGAAGATGACGTCCACTTACTACTAGTCAAGGGATGGATCTACAGTATCTCATCTTTGCGCATCTTCATTCCTTTAATGAATACTATGTAAATACTTGCATTACTACTACTAGCTACCGTAGTTAGTACATGTTAGTTAGTTTTAGTTACTTACAGTTGTATAGCTTGAATGATTATCATTCAGTCTATGGCCCTGCCTGCATCCTTCGAAACAAGGAGGGATTCTTGGACAAGAGGTAAAAGACGCAGTCCAAATCATCTCCTTCGGATTCCAGCAATTCCAAGAACTCCTCATAGTGAGTGTTCACAGACAGCTGGACACGGCGAACTCCAGACTCGTTGAGCTTCAAGTAATACTCTATTTGATCAAACACTGGAGAATCATGGTCGAGGTCGTAGGTGGGTATGACCTCCACAATCTGATTCACTTTGAGCATTTCCAAAAGGGCCTTGTAGCCCTTGTCTTCGGTGACAGGATGACGACCAGCGGGGGTCTCGTAGGTGAGATCCAGCACCTTCAGTGTTTGGTTTTGGGTCAAGCATCGGGCCAAACAGCATGCTGATTGATCGTGAAAGAGACTTCTTGATAGTTGGAGCCATTCGAGGCAGGAATTGGTAACCAGCATTTCGGAAATGGACGCCATAATCGGAACGGAAGATTGCAAATTTTCCTCCACTTGAAGACTCAATTCCTTCAAGCCACGATGGTCTTGTTGTTGTGCTAGAACGTTGGCTATCCGTCGCACTGCCTGTTGATTGCATGCATCCAATCGAATCTCCATTCTGTCCAGGGCCGATCGGGATGGGTCTAGTGATGCAAGTATATCAGATATTGCATGGATAGCAACGCCAGATACATCGACCCCTGATACTTTGATATTGGTCCAACGATCACTGTTGTATCGAAAACACCTTGGGATCATGACGGCTGAGTAGTGATCAAAGGCCCCCACTTCCCAAAGGATGCCCTCATTGCTACGAAACTCCACATTGACCGATGACTCTATGGTATATCCTTCGGGGGCAATCAAGAGTAAATTGACGGCTTGTAATGTAGGAACATTGGATAGTGCTTCAATCAGTAGCTCCAAACCGGTAGTGGAAGAAGTGCTACCGGTAGAAGAGAATGTGGGCGCCAAAGCTAGTCCAATAATCCAAAGGCGTGTCAAAGGCGGTGGGTGAGGAGACTGACGAATTGCTTTTACGAGTGCAGTAAAGGATCGATCCCTGAGGCCACAGCACTTTAAGCTTTCCAAGGCGGGACGACGAACAAGGGCCCTGAAGATGTTCTGAAGTTTTGCCTCTGAAAGCCGCTCCAGGAAGCGTTCTTCGACAAATCCACGGCTGATTCTTCGACAGGAAAGGATCGACCTGATCAAGGTGTCTATTCCATCATCACTTGGATCCAGTGGTTCCCCATGCAGCGATACAGCAGTGTTCAAATCGTCAATCTCCAACAAGCTCATCGAAGCCTGTTGTGTGGGGAAGAATGAGAAATGAGCACTGCAGCCTTCTTCAAACCCTTTGCGCGAAAAGGTTAAGGCGAGTGTGCGTCCGACTTCAAGCCCTCCCTCCTTTGTCCACAAACACGGTTGTCGCAACACCAACAGCCAATCCTCTCGACCTTGACCACTCGTCTCTCGATTGAGTAGAAGGAAGAGAAGAGGGACGTGCAACGTTGCTGTTGATAGATAGCGTCTTTGACATTGCAGAGAGCGAAGATCGTATTGCTAGCTTGTCATCTTGGGCGGTATTCGTGCGTACTGTAACCATGCAGGCCACCACTGTCCTCCACATGGCTCGAGGCAAGGGAGCCACCATTCCCATCAAGATGTTGAGCGCGGCCGGAACGGGCTTTTTCTATACTACCCGCAAGAATGTCAACAAAACCCAAGGAAAGCTCAGGCTTGTCAAATTCGATCCCATTGTCAGGCGACGGGTGCTCTTCAAGGAAGCCAAGATAAAATAATAGTAGTCACCATATCAAGAGTCACTATTCAATCTCAACTAATAGGAAGGCATTAATCAGCATGTAGCCAACACCAGCTAGTACGTAGCTAGTCAGGTCAGGTCAGTTCATTTCTCCTTTAGATTAATAGTAGCGACATAACTGTACATGTACACCTCCGATTTAGTTGCATTTGGGGTTGATTTCTCATAGCTTCAAGGGGTATCTTCCCTCTTACAGACCCAAAGATCCAATAGCAGCACTAGCTATTAGCCCAATTGCATTCTCGTAGCGGGCAAAAGGACGCCCATGGTTATTCGTAGCTGAACAGAAATGGATCCAAAGTGTGCTGAAACTGGTACAGTCGTACCTGCCCTGATGATCATACAGAGACGGAAGATAGATGTTTGCGACTCCCTCATGGCAATACCCGGAAAGATTCCACAGCCTTCATAATCTCTGCTTCTTTGGCATTGTAATCACTCTCTAGAACTTGCGCTGTCAAGGCATATAATCGTTGGTTTTGAATGCAAAACTTGGCCACAAATCGCTTGTCGCCTCGTTTGCCCTGTGAGAGATAATTGAGAATGTAGGAAAGTATCCCATCTTCTTCCACGGCTACTGGATCCTTCACAAGTGTCACTTCAAAAATCCCATCACGGTTGACTTCTGCAAGAACTACCTTGGCAGCTACTTCTTCAGGAGTTCCAAACTAGAGGCAACCAAAAAATAAACAACAAAAAAGAACACATCAGTAGGTGATTATTGCAATGGAGCAAAGACGAGGCAATCATTCACACATTCCATATCAGAATGCTCATTGCATCAATGACATGCATGCATCATCATCATCATCAAGTCCACTCACTCACCTCCTTTAGATTTTGGATTCTGACTGGATCCACAGTGACCCCAAAGGTGTATCTTGCAGTTGTGGGAGACTTCCAGTTGATTTCAAACAAATGTGTCTTGACTGGTTTGGCTCCTGGTTCCATTTCCGGGGGTGGTACAAATTTGTAAGCAAACCCGTTGCCTCTCTGAATGGTAGCATCGTCGTCATTATCCGCCAGGGCTAAATTGGTTGGTATCAGCAACATGGATCCTGCCACTGCTGCAAAATTATCCAGAGCTCTTCGACGTCCCATGGGTGCTTCCGAAACGGCACGGACGTCTTCATTTTGTGCTTCGGGTCCAGATACAGAGAAGAGAGACGATGGAATTTCTGCTTTTCGGGGTGTTGATTGCTGTGTTTGGAAGGACTCTTGAAACATTACAAAGGCATGGCTGCTCTTGACCCACGAAAGGATACATACCAGCAGAAAACGCCACGGTCCTTGGCCGTGGTTAATCTGATAGCGACATGATCCTGCCAGTGACATGGTGCAATAATTATTCAGTTCAATTTTTCTTCCCTTTGGTTGTTCGACTGTAGACTAGATTGTTTCGATAGATTTGTTTTTGGCTTTCCAACAGCCATCAACATCAACACAATCGAGGTGGTGTCACTGGATGAGACGATGAGTCACTGCGGCCGATTGGCAGCAGTGGGACTGACGTACCAGTTTCAGTCATGTTAATATTTGAAAGATATCCAAGTTGAAGTTCCATTTTGTCGCGAAAACAACACGAGCAAAGGGAATCTTGAACATCATTGTTGTCTTAGAGGTTTCTTCCTCTGACGTGCAAAGGGAAAGCTCGGACTCATCAAAAGCAACGGCTCTGCGGTGTTGTGTATGCTTGTTGTGATGGGTTGTTGAACATCATGCCTTGGAGCCCACCTTGCAGTTTCCGACTGTTAGTCTCTTCTAAAGGTTGCTTTAATTAAACGAGAACAGAGGTAGCAATACGAGTATAGCTTATAATACTGTACTCTTCAGGTATCAACAAACAAGCAAACAATGTTTCGTCTTTCCACGGCTCTGATGGCCCTTTTGGCCTCCAGCACTGTCGCCTTTGCCCCCCACACTCCCGTAGTTTCCAGAAAAGCAGCCAGTGCTTCGACCGGGATGAAGAGCAACCTGGTCATGAAGGATTTCCCCAAACCCAATTTAGAAGACACGGACAACTATCGCAACTACGAAAGGCTTTCGCAATCCTTTGGAACTACCCTCAAAGCCGATGGCGGCGAGAAGAAAAAGGTTGCCATTATCGGAGGTGGACTCTCAGGATTGGCATGTGCCAAGTACCTTTCCGATGCTGGACATGAACCCGTTGTCTACGAAGCTCGGGATGTCCTGGGTGGAAAGGTTTCGGCGTGGCAAGATGCCGATGGCGATTGGATCGAAACTGGATTGCACATTTTCTTTGGAGCTTATCCCAACATGATGAACATGTTTGCCGAACTCGATATTCATGATCGATTGCAGTGGAAGGTTCACAAGATGATCTTTGCTATGCAACAACTCCCTGGAGAATTCACAACCTTTGACTTTATCCCAGGTATTCCTGCTCCCTTCAATTTTGGTCTCGCCATTTTGATGAACCAAAAGATGTTGACATTGCAGGAAAAGCTTCAGACGGCTCCTCCACTCTTGCCCATGTTAATTCAAGGTCAAGACTTTATTGATGCTCAGGATGAACTTTCTGTCACACAATTCATGCGCAAATACGGTATGCCAGAACGAATCAACGAAGAGGTCTTTATTGCCATGGCAAAGGCATTGGATTTCATTGACCCCGACAAGCTCAGTATGACGGTCGTCTTGACTGCCATGAACCGATTCCTCAACGAAGACAACGGATTGCAAATGGCTTTCTTGGACGGAAACCAACCGGACCGTCTCTGTGCTCCCATGAAGGAACACATCGAAGCCAGAGGTGGAAAGATCGTCATGAATGCCCCCGTCAAGGAGATTGTCACCAACGAGGATGGATCTATCAAACACTTGGAAATGAGGTCGGGTGAGAAAGTCGTCGCAGATGAATACGTATCCGCCATGCCCGTCGACATTATGCGTCGATACGTGCCAGAAAAGTGGCAAAACATGCCCTACTTTCGACAGTTTGATGAACTGGAAGGAATCCCTGTCATCAACTTGCACATGTGGTTCGATCGCAAGCTCAAGGCCGTCGATCACTTGTGCTTCTCACGATCGCCTCTTCTCAGTGTTTACGCCGATATGAGTGTCACCTGCAAGGAATATGCCGATGACGATGCCAGTATGCTCGAGTTGGTCTTTGCTCCCTGCTCGCCATTGGCCGGTGGAAACGTCAACTGGATCGCCAAGACTGACGAAGAAATCATTGATGCTACCATGGGAGAACTGGCTCGTTTGTTCCCTACCGAAATTGCCGCGGATCCCGAGTGGCCTGCCACCAAGGATCAAGGTCCAAATGGACAAGCCAAGCTTCGCAAGTACGCAGTCGTCAAGGTCCCACGAAGTGTCTACGCTGCCATTCCAGGCCGTAACAAGTACCGTCCCAGTCAGAGAAGCCCCATTGATAACTTTACCTTGGCAGGAGACTGGACTTCTCAAAAGTATCTGGGATCCATGGAAGGTGCTGTCTTTGGAGGTAAGTTGGCTGCAGAAGTTGTGGCGAAGAAGGCCAAGGGTATGGAACTGCCTCCCGTCAAGGAGGTTCAGGCAGACATTGTGGAAGCTGCCAAGGACTACAAGCCCAGGCCACCAGCGGGTGTCAAGGGCGAGGGTGCCATTGCATGGGGTGCCGGTGCACAATTGACAACGAAGAACGAAAAACTTCTGCGAGAGGTTGACCCCAGCCAATTCGTGGCAGCCTAAATAAACAGTATAATAGGTTCTACTATAACTAAAAGTAGCAGGCTATTGATTATTCCTACATTTTAGTATCACGGAAGCAGTTAAAGTATCGGAAAAGAGAGGTTCAAGCGAAGCCTTGAAGATGGTTCGACCACCCTTCGGGATACCGGTACCGAACCCGTACGCACGAAGCATCCTGACAGACAAAGCATCCATGTTGATCTTATTCCCCTCGCGAAACAACTGAGGACAAAAAGATTGGATTCATTTCAGGACAAGAAAATAGGCACTAGGAGATATTGTGTACAGCATTTTTTAGCAGGTAGCAATCATAGCAAGCAGCCAGTCGAACCCACCGATTGTCAAGTGTCTTTTTGGTCTTTCTACAGAAACAGCTTGCCTCCCAGAATAGCCAAACCACCACCAATCAATGTATTCAAAAAGTTGATCACCTCATTGGTAATCCATTCCAATCCTTCCTTATCCTGCAGAATTGCACCTAACAAGCTTTCCGCATTGGTGGCCAGAAAAGCGGCAGCGGTTGAAATAGCAACACCCTTGGCAGATATCATTCCCAGTGACCACCCATAGGCTGACAGAATGAATCCTCCCAGGGCAGCAGCAGCAGTCCCTTCAGCGGAAACAGCACCTTCAGTACCCGGTTCGACGCGTTGAAAGGTGGTGATGAGAAAGGTTGTCTTGCCAAATGCCTTGCCAATTTCAGAAGCAAAAGTATCGGCGAGTTTGGTAGCCAAAGAAGCAACATAGGCCAGAATGTAGAGATTGGATGGGATCCCCAGAAAGGAGGATCCTCGTCGTGAACAAATGGCACAAGCAAGCCCGGTTGCCGCCGAGCCCCTTTGTCAATCAGATTTGTGTGGGTGGCAAGTCAGTTAGTTAGAAGGCAAATTTGATTTCATGACACTAATAAGAAAGACACATGATATACCGTAGCCAGGTGGTAGCTGGACTCGACTCACCACAAGTTTTCAGGGCCTCGCTTCCCTCCTCTCGATTCGGCTATTCCCATCTTTTCCTTTTCACTGAATCGAATTTTGGTGACCAGCACTCCCAGGAAGAGATATGCCACACAAACTGACCATCCCTTCCAGCCCAACGTTTGCCAGAGCGAAGTGCCCAAGATCAAAGCATTGAGTAATCCGGCTCCTGTGAGCATCTTGGAGAGTGGCTTTTGCAGGATGCTGATTCCCACGGCATTAATAGTGAAGGCTTGTGCAAAGGGAACACCACCTGTGCAACGAAACATGGATGTCAAGTATTGGATCACTGGTTCCTGCAATGCCAGATGCAGTTGCTGATTGTGACGGCTTCTCTTGTGAATTGTCGTCGAGTGTTTGCGAAGCTGTGACAATGGATACAAAGGTTGTTTTGGAGTTATCCTCATGGATGGATCAGCCCCTATACCCACAGGCCGCCGACCAACGCTCATCGGTTGCGTTGGTACCACAAAAGCATTGCTTTGACATATTGCTGCCAAAAACAGGGTCAACAGGAGGATAAAGGAATGATTTCTTCTGATAGCCATTGTCTCGGGAAGCTCGCTGCCTTTCATTGTCATCATCGTCGAAGCAGATCTAGCTAGAGATGATAATAGGGGTGAATGCCTTCGTGTGATCCCTTCATCTATCCGCTGTAAGGGTGTCAAGTGTCAAGTGATGATCTTTGACCCAAGAGATCAACCTGATGGATCTACAGCAACACACCTGGGCTTTCCTAAGTAATTTTCACCGGGACTTGACCCTTAAGTAAACGAAAAAAGAGAAAAACGATTTTGGCTAAATGTAAAGCTATTTTATGCTTTTTCTCCAAAATTCAACACAAACCAACAGCTCCTGGGTTTGTTTACTGGTCGCCTTATTTGTTGTTGCATCTGTCGCTCGCCGCGAGGGCTTTGTTGTTGTGGGTGTGTCGCTCGCCGAGAGGGCTTCTGTTGTTGGTGTGTTGTCGCTCAAACGCCGCAAGGGCTTGCAGTCGTCCTGTCGCTATCTGTCGCTCGCTGCGAGGGCTTTGTTGTTGTGGTTGTGTCGCTCGCCGCGATGGCTTCTGTTGTTGGTGTGCAGTGTTGCAGTCGTCCTGTCGCTCGCTGCGAGGGTCTTGTTGTTGTGGGTGGATTCGCTCGCCGCGAGGGCCTTGTTCTTGTGGTGTTGTCGCTCTCCGCGAGGGCTTTTCTTGTTGTGGGTATGTCGCTCGCCGCGAGGGCTTGGATGTTGTGATGGACCCGCTGCTTCTACCGTACTGGTGTCGCTCAAACGCCGCGAGGGCTTGTCATTGTGAGTGTGTGGTCAACCTGCTGCTTCTACTGGTACTGGTGTCGATCAAACGCCGCTTGATTGTATGGTGTGGTTGTCTGTTGGTTGTTGTTGTTGTTGTTGTTGTTGATGATGATTGTATGATTGTTGGGGTGTTGTTGATGATTGTTGGCGTGTGGTTGCTTCATTTTGATGATTTCAGTTCTTTTTTATGATTCTCAAGTAGTGCCGTTTGTCACAGTGAACACCTGCTTAAACAGTAATTTTCACCTCCTTAAATATAATTTTAACCGGTAATATCATTGAATAACCACATTAATTACTGTCAGAACCGCCCAACGGTGCATTGCCTCTAAAACACACCACTCACTTAAGGGACCTGCCCCCACGGTTTAACCATCGCTTCGCTCCGGTTAAACCTTGGGCCAACGGTCCCATAAGTGAGAGGGTGTGTTTTTAGAAATAGCGTTAAGGTTTGAACCGCTAGGCCCTTCGTTGCGCTTCCACGAAAAGAGCCGAGCTCTCCTTTAGAAAACAACCTCATTTCTCACCAGCATTCTTCTTTTTCTTTGTGTTGTCATGGCGTCCACTAACGATGCTTTCTTTTTAAAATCGAAAGGATATCTGGGTTGGCTGGATATTTCCTTTTGTAGGAATGGGACTCTGCGCCTTTGTGGGAGCTGTCAACAAACAATTCAATCACCTCTACAAAAATTATGCTGACAGTGAGGAGAATCCCGCTAAGGCTAAGATGGGTCATCAGACTGGTATCGTTGAGGCAAAAACAAGCCCAGCAGCCAGCACTGATACATACTATAGTGCCGTCTTCTGTAATGTTGCAACTGCTGAATACTGGGAATCAGATACTTCAAAAGAGAAAACTCCACGGAAGGACTATGTCTGTCAGGCAATTGCCACCGTTGGGACTCTTGCTGTTATCCAGTGGGCTCGAGAGAGAGGATATCCATGGGGTCATGAAACATGTGCTTTTGCTGCTCAAGGTGGCCATCTGGATTTGCTCAAATGGGCACATGAAAATGGATGCCCCTGGAATTCATGGGCTTGTGCCAATGCTGCCGGGCATGGTCATTTGGAAGTGCTCAAATGGTTGCGTAAAAATGGATGCCCCTGGGATTATTTTACATGCCACGGTGCTGCTGCTAGGGGCCATCTGGAAATTCTCCAATTTGCTCATGAAAATGGATGCCGATGGGAAGCAGGGACATGTGCATGGGCTGCCAAAAATGGCCATCTGGATGTCCTGAAATATGCTTGTGAAAAGGGATGTCCATGGAATGCCAAAACATGTGCAGCAGCAGCCGAGGGTGGACATCTAGTAATACTGCAATGGGCCCGAGACAACAACTGTCCATGGGATGCCGGGACATGTGAGAGTGCTGCTAAAAATGGTCATGGATTCCTCAAATCCATGAAAATGGCTGTCCATGGAACGAATTGGTATGCAGAGGTGCTGCCAGTGCTGGAAATCTGGAAATCTTGAAATACGCCCATGGAAATGGTTGCCCATGGAACCTTCGGACGTGTGCGAATGCCGCTGAGCAGGGGCATTTGGAGATCCTCAAGTACGCTCGTTCGCATGGTTGTCCATGGAATCAGCTACATGCCGTCAAGCTGCTGCACATGGCCACTTTGAAGTCTTGAAGTATGCCCATGAGAATGGCTGTCAGTGGGATGAATCTACTTGCAGCTATGCTGCGCTGAATGGCTTTGGATTGCCTCAAATATGCCCATGAAAATGGGTGTCAATGGATGAAAGCACATGCAAGAATGCTGCGACAAATGGCCATTTGGAAATATTGAAGTACGCCCATGAAAGTGGATGCCCATGGGATACATCGACTTGCCAGAATGCTGCTAGAAATGGCCACTTGAAAATACTAGAGTATGCCCACCATAGTGGATGCCCATGGGATACATGGATAAGCCGTGTTGCTGCTGCAAAGGACCAAGTGGAAGTAATGAAATATCTGCATGAGAATGGCTGTCCAGGTTCAGAAGACTTTGATGTGAGCATCTAGCTATTAATGCTTAAAAATAAAAGTGCGGCCACTATGTTACGCAGTACGGTAGCGTGGACCAATGTGCTATGCTACTCAATCATGCGATGGCACCAGTAAACCTTGTTACGTTAACTGCTTTGAAAGTAGCTCGCAACATGTCCCTGTATCGATGTGGTCAGAGAGGCTCGTCGCCACGATTTCAAATTGTGGGTTTAATCTGGTGGTCCATTGTACAGGCGAACACATGGATGCTGGTAGACTGTTGGTTGGCAAGCTCTGTGTTCTCGATTATTCCCTTCTGCCAGCCAACGAGCAATCCAGCAAGAGAAAAGGCTCAAATACTAATCAATGATGATCGAATCAATCATCGCCTTTGTTTTCCTCAAATGGATTGTATGGTTTGAATGGTGCAGACGATGGCAGCCAGAATGGAAACAATCAGTACAATCCATGCCAGTATCTTGGACGGCAACGACACCATAGGTTCTTGCTGTTCTGCTTCTCGCCGATGTATCATTTGCAAATAGCATGCTGCCGGGAGTATAAAGGCAATAGTAAACGCCATGGAAGATCCACACAAACTCCAAACAATTTGCACGCCGGGAACTTTCACGGCAGTAACGTAACAGACCGCCACGATGAGAACTGTTGCCGTGTAGTGAACCCATTCATTGTCGGACAGAGATGGTGGGGGTGTTTTGCTACAGTCGTTGTCCGGGAATACCAATGGGGACATTTCATGGGGGTGGTCCTTATTCGTATTATTGTCGGCTGTCGGCGGATTGTCGTTTCTAAAAAAGAAAATATCCAAGACTTCCAAAAGTGAATCTCGACAGGGCAGCAGCATCATGGCCATGGCCAGCATAATGGTGGTTCCACACCCCAGTCGACCCAACAGTAATATGACATCGACTTGCCCGATCCGTTCTTGCTGTTCTTCGCAGTTGAGTAGGATATTGCCTTGCACGACGGCATTCTCGGCGTTATCCGCCCCCAGAACATAGGCATAACCGGCAATTCCAAAAACAGTCATGAGCACACCACAAGCGAGCATGGCTCCATGAATGACCTGATGCACCCGTGCGGGTGTTGGATCGACGAGCGCCTTTTGTACTGGATTGACATTGAAATGGCACAGGTAACTCAACATGATGATGGGAAAGGCAATGATGACATCTCGCGCCGATTCTGGTGGCCTGGTCCAAAAGTCTCTTGTGAGGAGTATATTATTGTGTGTGCTGGATGTTTCTTGTTGGAGTGCATGCTGTACCAATGCAATGCAAAGTATCGAGACAGAGGCAAACCCAATGTAGCAGTTGAATCGTAGCGCGTGGAGTGTTCGCTGTACCAGGAAGGGTGTCATGAATAGGACAATGGCCAAGAGTACGTAAGGACCCCAGTAGGCATCTCGTTGAGCTTGTGATACTGTTGCTGATTGAATATCTGTTTGTTGGCTGTGCAGAAATAGTCTTATTATCAGAGGAGTCCAAATGTCCTTGACCAGTACCATGTAGGCAATGAGGACAAATACCAAAAATACAAATAGTAGGGCACTAATGGCAACTTCGAGAATATCCCCAAAAGCAGCCTTTCCCACTTGTCCATAAGATGACAACATGAGTCTGTGTTGTAAATCTGGATCATCACTGGTGGTGGTAATGACAGGTCGGGCACACCAACAGAGCCAGACACAGGATTGATCGGTACAAATGGCAGCCAGTAGCATCCACGCCAAGCCATAGAGTGCTCCCCCGCATTTGGAAAAGGCAAATGGAAGACTCAAGACTCCACCGCCGACAATGGTGGCTACCAGATTAAAGGTTGCCACAGTGATGTTGGAACTCCCATGAGCAGGATCGGGTTGATGAGAATAGTCGACCACACTGACGGAATCTCGTCGTATTCTGTCGTCGTTATCTTTATCTGTCGCCGTCATCATGTCTGTTTTTAAAATGGTCCTTCTACCAGCTAGTTAGCTGGCTAGTAGCTACTTGATAGCTGGAAGGGTTTGATAAGAGCTGCTACTGGTAGCTAGTAATAATGGTGGGTGCATTGAAGGTGGTGGTGTGACATGTGACAGCCAACTTCAGTGTGATCATGAGTGGCCGGAAGGAGAAAATGAAAAAATGAGTGGGCTGACGAATGATGAATCCGCCCAATCATGTCACGAGTCAACGGCCGAAAAGATCCAATCCATCAAAAGCGAGGTTCAATTTTTCGTTGATGTCCCCCATCATCAAGCCCATCAACCAATTGCAACCACTGTCTGTAGACAAGCTTGAAGCACAGCCATCTATTATCCAATCCGTACAATACTAATCCTTCTGCTGGTGCTGAAGAGACTAGGAGTGTACCGTTTCGTTTGACCCCAAGACAGTTGAAATACTGTACCATAGCTGAATGGAAGACGCAACAGAGAACAAAGACACAAGAATCGCGATCACTTGAGGAACCTTACCTTACAGACCGAACGAGAAGCCATTGAGCTCTTTCGTTATCGGCATTTCAACACGATCCAATAAATAATTATACAATATCCCAGCACCAGCTAGCTAGATCTAGCTAGCTGCGCCCACTTTAACAAGACCAGGATAGACCGACAGAGAAAGAGAAAGAAGGATGGCGGACGCTTCTTCGGAACCTCCGCCCACTCTGGGAGAAATGTTCATTACGTCGGTGGATACCTTGGAGGGAAAACAAATTGATCTCAGGGTAGCACTGGGATGGAATGACAGGCCTCCCTTGCTAGTGGAAAAGGGGAGCTGGCGGAAACGAGAGCGACCCGAAGATCCTGCGTTGCTCAAAGGGGTGAGTACTTACTTACTTGTTCTTCTACAGTATTATCTATCTATCGTGTCTTCCTTCCTTCCTGACTCACTTAACCCATCCTCATCATCTTCACACAGATGCTCCGAAAGGGTATTCCACCAGTTCTTCGATGCGCTGTCTGGCTTTCCAACATTATTGCAACCGTGCATCCCCATCAACCACCGGAATACAGCCAGGAATACAGAACCCTTGCCAAAGTCAGAGCCCTCGATCTGGCATACCAAAATCTACTACAACGAACTATCTCATCCAAAGACAGCAATATTCACGACGAAACCACTTGGAAAGACTTGAATACACCCAACTTTGGAAACAATCTAGAAAAATTCCTAGAGCCGACCATCACCGTCAAGAGAGTCATGATTGGAGTCGATCAAGTCTTGGGCGTCATTGAATACAGTCCCATCCTTCCCACACTCTGCGAATTGCTACTCTCGCACATGAGCGAATCATACGTATTTTGTGCCTTGAGAGAAATGGCACATGCACCCAATTGGTACTTTCCTACCTATCGCAGAGAATATGCCGCATGGGTCAATGCCTTTTGCGATATCCTGGAACGCCTACATCCTACCACGGCCAACTTTTACAAACTGCATGGAGTCTGGAACGTACCCGGCATGGCACCGATATTCCGCGATTTCTTTACCGACCTATTGCCCAAGGAATACGTCCTGCGAATTCTGGATATTTATACCTTGGAAGGAAGCAAGGTCATTTTTCGATTCGGTGTGGCGCTCTTGGTCTTGTTCAAAATGGATCAGAGCAGTAACGGCAGCAACAATCGATTGGACAGTAGTGATGTCTTTGACAGTACGCGAAGTGTTCCCGAAATTGAATTGACTGGACTGGACAGCAACAAAGATGGCGACAACAACAACAATGACGACGAAAAGGAGGAAGACGTGGAGGATCAGCAACAAGAGCAAGAAGACGAGGACTTTGATGTCTGGGAGGCTCTGAAACTGTGGACACATGACGAACGCTTCAACTTTGAGTTTCTCGTCAAAAAGGCATACGGTGTGCATGGACAACGACGTCCCCGACGCTTTCCACGACGCAACATTATGGCCCGCATTATCAAAATGGAGGAAGAACGTCTCCTCAATGACCCTTCCTTGGATACATCCGATGTGGCTCCGTCCAGGCCTTTGGGGATCACGGAGCCATTTGTGCATCCCGAGTTGGATCGAGACGAACTCGGCAATTACGACAAAAAACCACCCGATGTGGTCATGGCCCAACCCACCGTGAATCGTGTTCTGTTGGCATCTTGGTTGCCGTTGTCCTTGCGAATGACCAAACTCGAGTTGCTCTTTTCCACCAATCATCATGGCAGAACGCTGGATATGTTTTATACCAGAGTCAAGGACTTTAAGCACACAGTGTTGCTGGCCGAAGTCTTTGTACCAGGTTCACATACCGGTACGAGCAATGGTGGCAGTAATGGCAACAGCAACGATGGCAAGACCATTATTGGGTGCTACGCATCACAGGCTTGGAGGGCATCGAACCAAGTCTATGGTGATGGTGAATGCATTCTCTTCCGTCTCGCACCTGACCCCAAGTCATGGAAGTGGAATCCTCGCAACAAGGAAATCACGTTGGAGGAAGATGGAGGAAAAACTAACGGCAGTGCTTCCGGTGCTGGCTTGAACAACAATAGTAGTCACAACAACACTGCCTTGCTGGAACAATTCATGGTTGGCACCCAGAGCTACATTAGTATGGGAGGCAATCCGGATGGTTCCTGTGGTCTTCGTTTCAATGAAGACTTTACGCGTGCCGAGTCGTCTCCAGCGGTAGGCTTTGACAATGAACCCTTGGCGGGTATCAAGGGGGACTTGGACATTGGCCTGGTGGAGGTGTATGGGTTGAAGAGGCCTACATAAGAAGAAGAATGAAGCATGCCTATTAGCTAATGGCAAACGTAATGATGTTTTTTTTTGGCCAGGAGTGTGCCTTCCACACTTCCTCTGAACTGGCAACGATGAGATCATGAAAAACGACAACCTGCACACATTAACAACCGCAACCACCTGAGTACCATCGATAAATGACAAGCACTTGACAACCATTTCCGTCCATTGTTTTTATATGGCTAGCAACATGACGAAAGGTACAGTAGTAGCTAGCTAGAACGTTCTAAGTAAGAAGTAGTTGTTTCTATTCGTTTAGATGTTTGAAAGCTCTCTCCCAACGCTACTGGTTTTTTGCTGAGCAGTAGGGAGGGGCTTGTGTGGGGATCAGCTGGTCCTCATTTCGGGCCCAGTGTGTCAGGGATCCCTTCTATTCTTTTAATTAAAAAATAAGAAATAAAAGGCAGCTACCCACTCAACAGTCGATCTGCTGCTCGTTCGACATTGTTGTTTGTGGCCTGCAAGGCATCCATGACCCGCTGTCGATCGAAACCCATGGAAGTTAATTGTTCAATGGCCGCCGGATCGGGTGGTGCTGGTGGAGCGGCTGCTGCCGGTCTTTGCGGTGGTTGTGCCGGTGGTAGGTTGTTTCTCATGAGTCGCTGCAAGGCATCTGCGCCAGCTCCTCCAGCTCCCGCTGCAGCTCGTCGCCCCGAGGGTGCCACCATCCGTGGAGGTGGATCAGACAAGTGTGCTCCTAGCGACGCCAATGGTTTGGCAATGGCATCGGGTATATCGACGGTTTGATGCAAGTTTGTGAGGATGTAGATGTATCCTGTGGCGACTCCCAATGCTGTTGCGAGAATGGTGGAGGTTCCTCCGTATCCGACGACTTGAGAGAACCAAAAGTAGTAGAATGACTTTTCGGAAAAAGTGAATCCCAAAATGGCAAAGAATCTCGGATGCAATCTGGGCGTATACCGATGAAACAGATACATGAGTGCTCCCAATACGGCGTAGGGTCCTTGGTATCGGTATCCCTGACTTTTTTCCATCAAGGTGGACACTCCCACGACAAAGGCCATTTCCATCATCATGGCACTGATAGTGGTGACTAATAGAAAGACTCCAAATTTGCGGGACCCCATTTCTCGTTCGAATTGTCGCGACAGATAGGTCAATAGCATTCCGCCCATGACGAGTTCCCCCGTGCTGCCAAATGTCAGCTTGCTGGACCAGTACCGATGCCATTCGCTGCTGCTGTTGCCGTACTGAGAGGCACGTAGCATGCGAAAGGAATCCATCATCATGCTCTCATGAGCCGACTTGGAATGAAACAGTACGTAAAAGACCACTGTGGCAATGGCGTACAGACGCGAGATGGGGGCACCCACAAACCAAGAACTACTGCTCGCAGCGTTGTTGTTGTTATTGTTATTCGGACCGCCAATCAGTTGGGCGTTGCGCTGCATCATCTCGTCGACTCTTCTGGCTGTGGGTCAATGATATCTGCTGGGAATGCCGAAGGTAGCCACGGCAGTTGGCTGGACTCGACTCCTCAGTCTCCTCTCTTCAAAGCTTTGTCGTGGTCAGGCACGATCGATTTGACAGGTAACACAAAGATCAATTGATAAGAGATAGATAACTAGCTGCAGGGAGTAAGGATGGGTCCAAAAGTAGTAGCCCAGATGCTTCTTTCTTGATATGTCTCCAAGGATACTACTAGTACCAGAAAAACAAAGCCGTTGTCTGTGGCTTTTGTGAGGCCGTCATGGTCAGTCTTTTGTTGCGCGCAGTCACGCAGGTCTGAGATTCACGAGCTTTCAAAAGTAAAACCTTTTGCGGTTAGCTCGCAATCTTCCTTCATTTCTCAAGGATAAGGTTATCACTGTCATCAAGTTGTTGGCCCGAGAGCGGGAGAGCAAGAGAAAAGTCTTCCTGTTGCCGGCCTTTCTATTGCTAGCAAGTCGCTCTCTTGAAGGCAGGGCAACCATCGATCTCCTGACTCTTTCTGCGAGAGGCGTCTCACTGAGCGTAACCGCTCGAAGAGCGGGGATAGTGCCGGTGTCCGATTCGATTCTATCTGGACCGACGATGTAGACTACTACAACCAGGAAGCCTTTCTTCCCGTCCTTAAAACACAGGCGGTTTCATCCTGCGTAGCTACCGTACCAAGATCCTCGACCGCACGTGCCTGGAAACAGTGCTCATGTATCGCATTCTCCTGTATCAGCTTCATGGCAGCTTTCAGCGCTTCTCTCTTAGTCGACTGCGGTAATCTACTGCTTTCTATACCTGGCATCGATCGCAACCCCCGCGGGAGTTGGGAAAGGAAACCTTTTTCGATCCATATAAGTCTGGGGCATTTCTGATTCTGTGGCAACCAAGACTACATAAGACGTCGATGGTCTGCGGGGTCATTACTTTCATGTGATTGGTACCGTACTCGAGCCTCAAGTATCGACTACTAGTAGCCATTGGCGGCATGGAATTGCCAAGTTGAACCTCGGGAGTCCGCGCTCAACTTCAACCGCGGGAGTTGCTGCTGGACCAGGCAAATAATACGCAGACGATATTTGCTGTCGTTGACACTCAAGGCGACAGAAGCGACCCAGTCAAGGGAAAGCCAAAAGTCCACAAGAGTCGAGTTTCGCTTCCTCGCAATTTGATGGAGACTTCACCGTGACGACTAGCGTAGCCGCAAACCTCGGGAGTCGAAAACTCACGACCAGTGCAGAGAGATTGTCGGTTGCCAACAGAGGGAACTGGGACCGGCGCAAAACCGTGGGGTGCGAAAGGATACCCCTCGTGGCATTCTACAGTGATTGGTAGGCAAAAGCACGGGAAAGCTTCGAAAGCTCTCGGCCTGGCGGAAAAGTTTGGCAAGTCAAAACCTGATCAGTTTCAGCTCACAAAAACCACTTCGACTCAAAGCAAAAGCCTTGAACCGAAACTCGAAGCATCCAACTCTATTTAGCTACCCAAGTTGCATCAACCATGAAGATCTCGATTACCTCTGTCCTCGCCGTCCTCAGCCTTCTGGCCATTGCCAGTGCCAAGGGTGCTGCTGTGGAGGCTGACAAGGATTTTCCCATCACCAACGCAGTCCTCACTGTCTCCATCATCAGTCCTTATGGCACTCCCTCCACCCCTGATGAGATCAAGTTCATGGAGGCTGCCCTGGTCAGTTCCTACAAGAAGAGCCATGACAAGACTGACATCTTTGTGCTCAAAGGAGCCAAGTATGCTGGTGAGAGCCATGAGCCCTACATGACCTCAGCTGCTGATGAAGATGCCTCCTTGGGATTGCAAGGTAGCAGCTATGTTGACATCTATCAGTACTTTCCCCAGCTCTTCTGTCCCCGTCGTTCCCCCTGCCGTGTTGCTTCTTTTGAAGAACTTGCCATTGCTACTGAAGTGACTGATGGTGCTACTGCTGGTGTTGGACATCCAAGTACTCATCATGAAGTCTGGGAGAAGAAGCTGTGCAAGATCATGTCCAAGAGCAACTACGATGTCTTCAAGGGAGCTACCGACTGCAAGATCACCTTTGAAGAAGCCCCTGATGACTCCACTGCTGCTGCCATCACCACTGCCAAGGATGCTGCTACTCTGGAGGTCACTGCTGATACTGCCATGGAGGATGTTGCCTTGGATGCCTCTGATGACAACGATTTTCCCATCACCAACGCAGTCCTCACCATCTCCATCATCAGTCCCTATGGCACTCCCTCCACCCCTGATGAGATCAAGTTCATGGAGGCAGCCCTGGTCAGTTCCTACAAGAAGAGCCATGACAAGACTGACATCTTTGTGCTCAAAGGAGCCAAGTATGCCGGTGAGAGCCATGAGCCCTACATGACCTCAGCTGCTGATGAAGATGCCTCCTTGGGATTGCAAGGTAGCAGCTATGTTGACATCTATCAGTACTTTCCCCAGCTCTTCTGTCCCCGTCGCTCCCCCTGCCGTGTTGCTTCTTTTGAAGAACTTGCCATTGCTACTGAAGTGACTGATGGTGCTACTGCTGGTGTTGGGCATCAATTTACTCATCATGAAGTCTGGGAGAAGAAGCTGTGCAAGATCATGTCCAAGAGCAACTATGATGTCTTCAAGGGAGCTACCGACTGCAAGATCACCTTTGAAGAAGCCCCTGATGAATCTGCTGCTGCCATCACTACTGCCAAGGATGCTGCTACTCTGGAGGTCACTGCTGATACTGCCATGGAGGATGTTGCCTTGGATGCCTCTGATGACAACGATTTTCCCATCACCAACGCAGTCCTCACCGTCTCCATCATCAGTCCCTATGGCACTGTCTCCACCCCTGATGAGATCAAGTTCATGGAGGCAGCCCTGGTCAGTTCCTACAAGAAGAGCCATGACAAGACTGACATCTTTGTGCTCAAAGGAGCCAAGTATGCTGGTGAGAGCCATGAGCCCTACATGACCTCAGGTGCTGAAGAAGATGCCTCCTTGGGATTGCAAGGTAGCAGCTATGTTGACATCTATCAATACTTTCCCCAGCTCTTCTGTCCCCGTCGCTCCCCCTGCCGTGTTGCTTCTTTTGAAGAGCTTGCCATTGCTACTGAAGTGACTGATGGTGCTACTGCTGGTGTTGGACATCCAAGTACTCATCATGAAGTCTGGGAGAAGAAGCTGTGCAAGATCATGTCCAAGAGCAACTATGATGTCTTCAAGGGAGCTTCCGACTGCAAGATCACCTTTGAAGAAGCCCCTGATGACTCTACTGCTGCTGTCATCACCACTGCCAAGGATGCTGCTACTCTGGAGGTCACTGCTGATACTGCCATGGAGGATGTTGCCTTGGATGCCTCTGATGACAACGATTTTCCCATCACCAACGCAGTCCTCACCGTCTCCATCATCAGTCCATATGGCACTGTCTCCACCCCTGATGAGATCAAGTTCATGGAGGCAGCCCTGGTCAGTTCCTACAAGAAGAGCCATGACAAGACTGACATCTTTGTGCTCAAAGGAGCCAAGTATGCTGGTGAGAGCCATGGGCCCTCCATGACCTCAGCTGCTGAAGAAGATGCCTCCTTGGGATTGCAAGGTAGCAGCTATGTTGACATCTATCAATACTTTCCCCAGCTCTTCTGTCCCCGTCGCTCCCCCTGCCGTGTTGCTTCTTTTGAAGAACTTGCCATTGCTACTGAAGTGACTGATGGTGCTACTGCTGGTGTTGGGCATCCAAGTACTCATCATGAAGTCTGGGAGAAGAAGCTGTGCAAGATCATGTCCAAGAGCAACTATGATGTCTTCAAGGGAGCTACCAACTGCAAGATCACCTTTGAAGAAGCCCTGATGACTCTACTGCTGCTGTCATCACCACTGCCAAGGATGCTGCTACTCTGGAGGTCACTGCTGATACTGCCATGGAGGATGTTGCCTTGGATGCCTCTGATGACAACGATTTTCCCATCACCAACGCAGTCCTCACCGTCTCCATCATCAGTCCCTATGGCACTGTCTCCACCCCTGATGAGATCAAGTTCATGGAGGCAGCCCTGGTCAGTTCCTACAAGAAGAGCCATGACAAGACTGACATCTTTGTGCTCAAAGGAGCCAAGTATGCTGGTGAGAGCCATGAGCCCTACATGACCTCAGCGGCTGATGAAGATGCCTCCTTGGGATTGCAAGGTAGCAGCTATGTTGACATCTATCAGTACTTTCCCCAGCTCTTCTGTCCCCGTCGTTCCCCCTGCCGTGTTGCTTCTTTTGAAGAACTTTCCATTGCGACTGAAGTGACTGATGGTGCTACTGCTGGTGTTGGACATCCATTTACTCATCATGAAGTCTGGGAGAAGAAGCTGTGCAAGATCATGTCCAAGAGCAACTACAATGTCTTCAAGGGAGCTACGGACTGCAAGATCACCTTTGAAGAAGCCCCTGATGACTCTACTGCTGCTGTCATCACATCTGCGTCTGACCAGAAGTTCAATCTTCGTGGAGCTGTCTCGGTGTCTGCCTCTGCTGAAGAAGAGTAGAGATTCGATTGGTCGCGTTGATTGCGTCCCTTTCTATGTGTGAAACAACGAAGAGATTCGAGTACGAAGAAGTACGATGACAAGATAAACTAGTGATTGCGTTGAAAAGTTCTCGACTTCTTTCTCGTATCGTATTCATTCCCTTCGTGCTCTGCTGGCAGCTACTAGGAGCTAGCCAATAGGTATGCCACCAGCCATTGCACTTTGGTTTTGATTTCCGTCTCTTTGCGTCTGTCGAATGTGTTGTGCTGCAACAAAACACCGCAGAGCTGCAATTTCTATCGTACCGGAGCCCATGGCGATTCCAACCACCCGATTTCTCTCGATCAATCATTTTTTCGCCTTCAACCTTCAACCACCTTATTCCGTCATGTCCAAGTCTTCTGTGTTTCTCCCTCCTTCTCAGACGAGAATAGTAACGATTGTGGCTCATGTAGATCACGGCAAGACGACATTGGCTGACAATCTGGTGGAACACAATGGTATCATCAGCGAGCGGCTCGCTGGGACTATCCGCTATTTGGACTCGTTGGAAGAAGAACGACGTCGTGGGATTACCATGCGAGCATCGGCCATTGGTCTGAAGCACAGCTATGTGGCCCCAGGAGCCAAGAAGCAGCAACAAGCGCCTCAAGATATGATTATTCATCTGTTGGATTCTCCTGGACACACGGATTTCTCTTCTGAAGTCACCTCGTCTTTGCAGTGCTGTGATGGGGCCCTTCTGGTAGTCGATGCCGTAGAAGGAATGTGCGCTCGCACTCATCAAGTCTTGCGCGAAGCCCACGTCAATCAGCTCGTTCCTATCTTGGTCATCAACAAAGTGGATCGATTGTGTACTGACTTGTGCTTGACAGCCACTGAAGCCTACTTGAGACTGCGAACTCTCATTGAAACAGTGAATGCTGCCTCTTCGGCCATGCTAACATCATCCAGGCATCATCAAGACGACGAACAACCAACAGGGGAGGCAGATGAAACAGAAAAGGGGAAGAAACAAGAAAAACAGCAACAAGCAACTCAAGAACAAAAACAGCAAGAAGAGGAGGACAAAGAGGAACTTCTTTGGACATTTGATCCCATGAAGGGAAATGTTGTGTTTGCCAGTGCTCTGTTTGGTTGGGGGTTTACAGTTCCCTCCTTGGCACGAACCCTGTTTCGCAATAAAATTCTTCCACTGAAACCCATGGTTCTCAGGCAGTGTCTGTTTGGCGACTTCAAATACCGAAATGAAAAGGTCCTCGTTTGGAAGGCTGACGCCAGCACGGATGAAGTCCCACTCTTTGCCGAATATGCCTTGCAACCAATATGGAACATGTACGAAGGTGTGGCGGCTGCCACGTCCGCCCTTGGTTTGCAGAGTGAATTGTTTGCTGATGGACGGGCATCGTTACTGTCGTCCAGTACAGGACCAACCAGCACAAATGGATCCGGCAACAACAATGCCAGCGACAACCACAAAAAGATCACAAGCAGCACACCTGGAATGGACATGGTGATCCAGGCCATGCAGTCTGGTGGAACAGGGGCCAATATCCCAAAGTCTGCTGATGACATTCAAACAATTCTGAGTCAAACGGGCTCCAATACCGAAGAAGCAGTCTTGCGATCTCTTTTGAGGAGGTATCGGCCTCTCAGTGACGTGCTCTTGGACACTGTAGCAGAAATTTGTCCGTCGCCGATAGAAGCAGCATCCTCGGCACGACCCCGGGCTTTAGCGTTTGTGGCACCGCCAGAACCGTCCGAATACTTTCTCCGAATGCGCCAGGCTGCCCTGGTCTGCGATCCCTCATCTGAAGGACCCGATGTGGCTCATGTCTGTAAGTTCATGGGTGCTAGTCGCCGCCATGTGCGTGACCCGGAACTAAACAATACCAACAATGGGGAAGAAGAACAAGACGACAATGTCATCATGGGGTTGGCACGAGTCCTCTGTGGTACTCTACGCACTGGATCTGAATACTTTGTCATGGGCCCAAAACACAAAGCTGGAAATGTCCCTCCCAAACGAAAGATTCGCCTCTATCTGTTGATGGGATCAGATCTTGTGAGGGTCAATGAAGTACCTGCAGGTCATCTCTGCGCTATTCATAACTTGGAAGATTTACAACTGAAAACAGTCACTTTGTGTGATGAAGCAGATGGAATGCCGCTTCAGGGGTTTGACAGAGGCATTAGGCCGTTGGTGAAAGTCAACGTGGAGGCAGTCGATGCGGCTGACACAGAAATCCTGGAACGAGGACTGCTGCAGTTGAGTTTGGCTGATGCAGCAGTGGAAGTAACTGCAACATCCAAGGGAGAACGAATATTGGCTTGCCTAGGGGAAATTCACTTGGAACAATCAATTTTGGATCTGCAGCAAGTGTACTGCCGCAAAAAAGATATCCAGCTACGAGTTTCAGATCCCATTGTAGAGTTTGCAGAAACAACAGACTGGATGGCTGACAAACAAGAAGATAACGACTTTCAGGCGTTCTTTGACGATCAATCGCCACGAATGAGACAAACGACAATCCCTCCTTACAACGAAGAAGAAGGACTGGCAAACGCACGACATGGTCGAGCAAGGGCTGTTGTTTCAGGTCGATGCGCTGCGATTAGCGTGAGGGTCGTCCCATTGGCATCCTCCGTATATAAAGCCCTGAAACAGCAAAGCCTCGTTGGGTGCGACGATTGCGAAGAAGAACTCTTGCGCCTCGCCCGGGCACTGCAGGTTTTTGATAAGAACGAAAACGATGCTGATACCAAACTGACAACAGACTCGGTGTTTTCGATTCTGTGCGATTCTCTTTGTTCCATTGACGGTAACGGCAACGCTATGATTGAGAGCCGTAACCTTTCAAATGGAAAGACAGTCAAAGGCGTCGTGTCTGAGGCAAACGAGGTGTACATAGCAAAGACTTCAGATGCAGATTCAGATAGAAAGGAAAGGGGTGAGAATGATGAAGAAAACGAGGAGGAAGAGGCCGTCGAGGAAAAGCACAACGAAGACGGATTGGTTCTCAATCAATGCTCTGATGAACATGACATTGTGCGCGGACGAATCCGACAATGTGGCTTTTATTATTCTCCAGATGCTGCTGGTACAACAGAAAAGTCAAGCGCTGACGCCGCGGCCCTGCAGATTTGGAAGGCGAACTTGAGTTCTGCGGTCGCCGGTTTTCAGCTTGCCGTGAGAGCAGGACCAGTGTGCGAGGAACCAATTCGCGACATCCTGGTGGTGCTGGAAGGCTTTGAGGTGGCCGTGGTCCCAAAGAAAGATGCCGATGGAAAGAACACTGCAGACTTCGAAAGCGCGACCTCCCTCAGCAGTGGGATGATCATGTCAGCTATTCTGTCCGGTGTGCGTTGTTCCATGCTGTAAGTTTCGTCTCTGGCCTTTGTTTCTGGTGTGTTTTCTGGTGTAACTGACACGTTCCCAATTTGCTCCAGAACACGGCCTCCGCGTTTGATCGAAGGACATCTTTCGCTGACCATGCATGCAACTCTAACTGGACTCGGTCCACTCTACGCCATTTTATCACGTCGACGGGGGAAGGTCGTCAAAGATGACATGGTTGAAGGCACCGACTTGATTGAGATCACGGCAACTTTACCTCAGGCTGAAGCTTTTGGCCTTGCTCCAGAACTGTTCAAGAAAACGAGCGGTCAAGTGACAGCCCCTGAACTGAACTTCTCGCATTTCAGCAGACTAGACGAAGATCCTTTTTGGATTCCAGCAACACAAGAGGAGAGAGAAGACTTTGGAGAAATCCAACAGAATGGAGATGTCTCGACAGGACTCGACAACACGGCGCTGAACCTCATTCGAAAGGTGAGGACCCGCAAAGGCTTACTCGTGGACTCAAACCGAACGGTTGTGGCGGCTGAAAAGCAACGTACGCGAAAGCGATAGATTGAGTAAAGAAATACTTTTAGACTGAAATTATAGATTACAACGGTTCGGTACAGAGTGTGGGAAACTCATATATCCTTCGTAGTGAGGACTAGTTAGAGAAGCTTAGATGGCTCTGCTTGCTTAGCAGTGCCTCATCAGTAGGTATCATGATCGAGTGCACAGCAAACAGCAGATACTCTAATAGGGATGGCTGCTACCGGACATTGGACTGAAAGAGTAGTCGAATTCGGCCCCTTCCTCGTCGTTTCCAGGCGCACTCATCCGAGAGTTGTCTGCTTCGTAGCCATCAACCTGCCAACCAAAGTAGCCAGCTTGTTCGTAGGCCTCCTGGTTCTGGTCCTCCTGGCGATAGCAATTTTCTTCGTTTGAGTACAGCGCGATTCCTTGTTGTTCTTCCCATGACGTTGGTTCCTCCAAATCGTCTTCCTGGTAGAAACCGGTATCGTCGTATTCCTGGTCCAAATATTGTTCATCTCCGTCGTTGTAATCTCCCTGGTCCAAGTATTGTTCATCTCCGTCTTGCATCACAGCCGTGAAGGATTCCCCCACATCTTGCGACTCATGCAATGTCTCGTTGTACGTGAGATCTCGAATCGCTTCGGGAGAACCATTCGTTGGAAAGCCATTCGTGACGTAGGGATCGGTATAGGCGTAGGTCGAGATGGTCTCGAAAGAATCATCTGGCACCTTGGTTTCTTCGTCATCTTCCTCGCCATCTGGGTACGGCGTGACCGTGGCGGCAGCGACGTTTTCAGCTGGCGGAAACGGAACTTGGTTGTTGTCGCGGTGCACCGGGATGACGGGAGAAAGAAACGCTGGGGCCTCACCAATACGATGTCGATGGGCATAATAATGGCGATGCTGCTGGTGATTGTTGTCTCCTTCGACGCCAACCATGACGGCCGGAATTTGTTCGACGTGTCCTCGCTCTGCCAGCTCCAACCTGTCTGGAACTTTGTCGCCGACAGCCTCCTTCGATGTCTCTGCTTCCAATTCGGACGACGTGCTGTCTTCATCGCGATTGGGCCGAATCTTCGATAGAAGAGGCATGAAGAAGACGACTGCAACGAAGATGGCCGCGCATGTGCCGGCAGCGATTTTTTGATTGCGATTCAAACCTCCTCGACCACGGCCAGGTCCATTGTCCTGTGCCGATGGCGACAAGGTAGGACTCTCGGTTGTCCATGGAATGTCAGTCGTCGAAGGGAGAAGTGTTTGCGAAGCGGCGCCATTGTCGTTGGTCGGTGCAGTCGTTGAAATCGCAGTCGGAAGAGTGGTGGTTGGATCATGGGTCGGTGGAAGAGACATGGACGGCATCATCGAAGGACTGAATGAGGGTGAGATACTGTATGAAGGAGAGCTGGAAGGCCATGGAGTGGGACGTTTGGTGCAGAGAAACTCTCCATCTGGATCCGTGATTACCGAGTCCGAGCCGAGGCCATCAAAGATGGTTGTCATGCATGGGAAACAAGTAGTCTGGCCAACATCCAGCTGGTAGTGACCAGAAGGGCACGGTGTACACTCTGCAGAAGCAACTTCTCGACTGAACGATCCAGGAGGACAAGGGAGACACGACGACGCGCGATGAGAGTCTTGATAGTAGCCAACTTCGCAAGCTTTGCGCTCGTAGTGTCCGTCCAAGCTAAAGTACCCAGGAGACGTCACCGTACAGTCTACTCCATCCGTAATACCAGGCACCCATTGAGCGTAGCATCCTTCGGGACAAAAGTCTCCACTGTCAAAGCGGCTAAATCCACAGCTGGTCGAATCAGAGTCGTTGGCATTGGCATGGGAGACCAATGACGCGGTGCAAAGCCAGAAGAAGCCGAGCGACTGGCAACCAGCGCGTAGAAGGCGAAGAGTAGAGACATTCGATTTCCTCATGGCTTACAAAGAAGACGAAAGGTAGAGAAAGGTGCTTGTGGTGTTCCTTTGCTTGCTGTGTTGTTCAATGACAAGAAGAGAAAAAGTAGGATGCTTTGTGAGATGTGGACGCTTCGAAAAAGATGGGGGATCGTTCGGCGGGTCGTTTGCGTGGACTGACTCGACTCGAGTCCCGGACCATCCAACAACGGTTCTTGAGTGAACAATGAGCAAAATAATGCAAAGATGAGCACCCCAACTCCATCCCCACCGCCACCACCAACAGAAAGAAGAGAAGTTGCTGCTTTGATGGTTCACATGTTGCACTGGAATTCTCCCGAGAGAAAAGGAGTTTCATTTTCTGCTAGGCTACTTTCTGCCAGACAGCATGCTACATGTATCTATGCTCTCTTGATTGCAACCCTACGAGCTAAAGAAGCCTAAGCGTATGTGTAAACACTCCTTTCAAATATTTTTATACCTTTCTAATGACTACCGGTATCCATCCACTCTCTCCTCACCTGGCTATTCCACCAATCTAGCTAGAAGACCAGAATGAACAATAATTTACGAGACTTCCATTTCGGTGACCGTGACATCCGCCAAGGTGGCACCCTTGTGCGGAACAAACTTGGAATCCAAGATGGGAGTGGTTCCTGGCTTCATGTCCATACGCGAAGAACGCGTAATGGCAGCCCGGAAGGGAGCAGTGTTATTGGGTGTCAAGGATGGACGCTGGTAATCGACGGCACCATCATTCTTGATGACACAAATGTCGCAGTTGGATCCAGATCCCAAATCGTTAAAGATACCAGCGGTGATGGCTCGCTGGACCAACGTGACGGCATCGGCTTCTTCCATGTCGGGTTCCCAGGCCGATTCCAGGACGGAAATGGCGGCGAGACTTCCCGAGCCCATGGCCGTGTAGGCGAATCGCATGCTGGATCCATGTGGATGGATGGAATACAACTGGGCCCCTTCAGCCTTGTCGACTCCTCCCAAAATGAGGGCCGCCGAGACATGTCCCTGGTAGCGGAATAAGAGACGGGAGATGCGGGTGACGGCCGTCTTCATGCGCAAGGAAGTGGCATGAGGCAAATGCAAGTCCATGCGCAAGAGTTCCAACTGACTGGCCACCAAGGCCGTCGTCTGGTCGGTGTCGGCGGCCGTTCCAGCACCACAGCAGTACATGTTGTCGGCCACGTAGTGGATCTTTCGGCAGTTCTTTTCGGCTACCTCATCGCCGTTGGTAGCACGCGTATCGGCGCCAAGGACCACGCCTCCCTTGAAGACGATACCGGCAATGGTGGTTCCCGTCTTTTTCGCCAAGGGCATGTGGTTGGGATACCCGCCACCTGCCATCATGGGAGCAACGTCCATGCCGTGCTGGGCGTGGTGCTTTCGCATCGCTTCCGCCTGTTCCTTGGCGTTGGTCCATGCTTCCATCAAACGGGCATTTCGGCTGACATTTTCAAAGTTAAAGCCAGCGGGAGGAATCTCCGTAGCGCCTTCCATAGGACGAGTGAACTCCGACATGATGATGATCTAGTAGCTAGAACGATACGGTAGAGAGGCAGGTGATGCAGCGGCGTCTTCTTCTGGTTGTGAGTGAGAGGCTGCCACTGAACTGATCTTTGTTGGTTTGACTTGACGAAGGAAGGATGCCGAAGCTGAGCGAATCTTTCTAAAAAGGCAAAATGCGGAAAATTAAAATTAAATATTTTTTGTCAAATTAGCAAATGCAAAAAGCAGTCCAATTTCACAAAAAGATTTCCCAGGCTTCACCGCACAAACACTCACCGAACAAACACTCACCGAACACCTAACACCACCAAAGCATCCACTCAGTCGAGCTGCAGAGACTATCTATCTTGCAAGCTGCTACTGTCCTTTCGTTGCTCTTGGGGACTGTTTCCAAGAGATTTCCTTCGCCAAGGTTTCCCGAGGACGAAAGATTGGTGGAAGTGCTCCAGTTCACTACAAAAACAAAAAGTACTTCTCAGCTCCGGTATCATAATAGCATAGCACGGGATGAGCGCCCTTTTCAACTTCTCGAGTCTCTTGACTGTGATCCTCTTGATGATTTGTACTTGTACATATCTAAGAGAAATGAGGCCAACTATATTTGATCCAAATTTGCAACCTCAGGTAGGTCAGCATCGAAAATGATACCATACGTATTGCCAATTTCTTGATGCTTTTTTCGTGAACCAATGCTGCCCGATGTTAACTGCCTACTTGCCTACATTTATGTCTCGGTCTGACCATCTTAACCTTTTAAAAAATCAGGCGAATGGACAGCCTCCTGGTCCGATTCCACATACCAAGAGAGAGGGAATGGTGGGATTTCTATGGAAGTTGAGTCGAATAGGTGAACGTCTTTCGCCATACGTTGGAGCCAGCTGTCTGCTCATGGGGCTTCATGTCCTCTTCTTCAAATAAATAAACACTCGTATACTTGAGGGCAAGAGCTGTTCATCCCATGGAAAATGATGGAGGAAATAGATGGTGCAATCTGTAGATCTTCTTTTCGGAGGGTATGGTCCACACCAATATGAATATTGAGTCTACAATTCACAACCAGTTTGCCCGTATTGGAGTGACAAGGATACCGGTACATTAGAAGGAGACATAGAGCTTCTATCTGAACAACATCAGTCCCAATTGCTTGGTTTGGGGACCTTTGAGTAGGTCTAGTTCCTCATTTAGTAAGAATCCTAACGACGTCTTTCACACAAACAAGGCAACACCCCAATCCTTTCTTTTCCAGCCCTTCGTTCATTTGTACGATACGCGGGCTTTTGCCAAACAAACACAGCCTTCCAGCTAGCTTATAGACGTTATGAAAACGATCCCCAATGCTCTTGGTTTGATGACCTTGAGTACTAGCTAGTACTAGTAGTTCCATTGATTAAGAATTCTAAAGTCTTTCCCACAGAACTACTAATAGCCGCACCCCCAATCCTTTCTTTTTTCAGTCCTTCTCTCATTCTACGATACCATACGAGTACACAGGCTTTTACCAAACGAACACAGCCTTAGTAGCATAGACGTGATCTAAACGAACAGTCGAGGCGAAAGTAGATTCTGGTGAAGGCTGACCCTGAAACTGCACTATGGGCCATATAAACTCTTAGCGAAGACTAGACTACCGGTACCATATCCGTTCCGTCTTTTCACTTCCAAGCTCTCGTTTCCAGTGTGAGTTGATATCACGGTCATTCCACTGGAAAGGGTCAACTCATTACGGTACATGTACACGCGTTTAACCACCATGATCTATTTTGATGTTGTCACTTCTGGCTGGCCCCTAGCTAGCTATCACGAACGTTTCTCTACCCGACGAAATACATTGCAAGAATCAAGTCAATCAAGGAACTTCCCATGCCTCAACAGACCAGATCGATTTAGTGATTTCCATTCTGCAAAGTTAATAAATGAAATCAGAAAGGGAAGAGAACAGTGAGAAGGACATCGCACAAGAAACAGAACGCCAGAATACATCTATTCAACAAAATGAAGCAGATTGAGATGTGATGATTGCTTGCTTGATTGAATGAGTGCCTTTCGGATATGGGTTAGGTGATATGTCTTAAAGACTAATGGTCCTCAACGCTTTTTTAGTTGGAACAGATTCGCACGGTGATGCAGGCCCCACTCCTTTCGGAGAGCAGCACAAACAGCTCCATTCGGAAAGCTCTTGTTCTTCATTAAGGCAACATCCAATCAATCAATCAACCAACTCATCCATGCAATAGCTATCCAAACGAACAACAGCTCTGAACTTGATTTGACTTACCTTTTTTGTTAGAGAAACTACCAGTACGTGATGCTTGATTGTTGGACTTCCACTGAAGATCGGGCTGACGGATCCAGAGTCTCCCCCCAAATTATTGATTGACTTTGCTCTGGCTGAATTGATTAAAATATTCATGGAGTTGTAGGGAGGTTACTCTTCCATTTTCTCTGAGGCCTTGCCCTTCTCGTCTTCCTCGTCATCGTCATCTGGTGGTGGGGCTGCCTTGATGTATAGTATATTGTTGCAACGAATCAACACCTCCCCCAAGAAGCCAGCAAACTGGCCATCCACGTACTCTTGTGTGCTCTCCAAGTGGACGTTCATGTAACTATCCACACTGGTAAGGACGCCTTCGTATTCCATACCCCATTTCAGCTTGACTCGCACTGTCTTGCCCGTCAGATCTGCCAGAAACGGTTTCGGATTCACAATAAACTGAGCCTAAGAAGATAATAAGGAGAGGCAGATGTCGCATCGTTAGGTATAACACTGAAGATAAGGGATCGACAGGACAAGCCGCGCTCTGCAAAAGCTGTGGGTATCATTGCGTCAGTCTTCTCTCTTTCAATTTCAGCTCTTCACCTTTCACAAATGGACACGTACCATTCTTTTCTCTAGCTAGCTAGAACGCAATGAATGAGGATCCTCGAACCTAGCTACTAGTAGCGTAGAGGTAGTTGTGGTCAGCAAAAGCACGGAGAGTGTCTTCAGTCGACGTCGTTTTGCCGTTGTGGATTGTGGATGATCACCATCGTCGGTGGCTGCTGCTTGCCCCCGAACGGACGCCGGACGCACCGTCAAAAAACTTAATCGAGTCATTTGAGGTCCCGTATAATGATACTCGTGATTAACGTATTTCGTCTCCCGGAGACGATTTGCTTTTAGGGGTAAGGGTACTTTTGGGGAGTGGAGGTTTGAATTATACCCCGCGTGCATTACTTAGAGGCCTCTGTAGAAGTCTACGTATTCGACTAGTATTGTATTGACGGGATACAGTCAACGCATGTACATGCACATGAAAGTCGCCTTGCGTTCTTCACATTTTTCGCATGAATGAGGGATCACATGTTTTGCATGAATGACGAGGGAGCAGTTTCGGGGCTCGGGGCGAAGCTGAAAGGGATGAGCGCGCGGAGCGCGCGAATACTGTTTCAATAAAGGGAGTTAGGTGTTGGTAATAAAAGATTTATGGAAACGGAGACGACCCAGGGGGCGTATGAATCTTTACTAAGGATAAGGCTTCTAATTTGGCACGTATCTTGCACTTCAACTGCGGGTATCAATCGGGCTGCACTTGAAGGCTCGTTGTTCTCTGGGCAGCCTTGGCTTTGTGGTACGAAGCCCCGGAATTCTCACATTCTTGTCTGAAGAAACGAAACCATGAAGTACACTGTCCTTGCATCCCTTTTGGCTTCGGCCACGGCTTTCGCCCCCTCCAACACTGCCTCCACAAAGAGTTCCACCTCTTTGTGCGAGTCTAAGGCTGACTTGGAAGCCCTTGCCGCCAAGTGCAACCCTGTCGTCAAGTACTTCGACCCCCTGAATATCGGAGATGGCGATGAAGCCACCATCGCCTGGTACAGACATTCTGAGATCAAGCACGGCCGAGTTGCCATGGCTGCTTTCGTTGGATACTGCGTCCAATCGAACTTTGTCTTCCCTTGGGCACAAACCATGGCTGGTGATGCCCACCCATCCATTGATCTTACACCAGAAGCTCAATGGGACGCCATCCCATTCCTTGCCAAGGCCCAGATCCTTGCTTTCGTTGGATTCCTTGAAATGTGGGACGAATCCGGAGCTGGTGGTCTCCTTCCTCACTACACTGCTGGACGCAAGCCCGGACAGTTCCCCGAGTTCAAGAGTGACGGAAAGGACAGCTTCCTTCACCCTGTTCTGAACTTGTACGACCCCTTTGGTTTCCGCAAGAACCTTTCAGCAGAAAAGAAGGAAAGGGGATTGGTTGCTGAGATCAACAACGGCCGCCTTGCCATGCTTGGAATCTTCGGTTTCATCTCTGCCAACAAGGTTGCTGGATCTGTCCCCATCGTTGCATCTCTTGGTGCCGCCCCTGGATACGATGGACAGTCTTTCGCTCCATTCGAGGCCCACTACCACTGGTTTTAAGTACGTAGTGAGCAGCTAGATGGCAGCACCCATGAGGTACAGGACTCTTGTGCCGCAGAACTGCACTCAAGTAACCATGTCATGCATATAGAGGGAGTAGTGTAAAGCTTATCTTTAGAACGGTTTAGTCACACACCCAAGCCCCAACCTTTCTACTCATCTATCCATAGCACGAGTCATATGTAGCATTCACTCCGCCTTGTCTTTGCCTGATCAGGTATGCAGGTTATGAGTGACGCAGTCCTACTAGATCAAGGGCGAAAGTCGACCTCAATCTCGTGTTCAGTCGATGTCTATCTGTCCCAGTTGAGATTATTTTTAAGGCTCTCGAGCCTTTGACCGGTCAACTGGGCAACGCTAACATCGCTTGCCAAGCTCGCTTTGAAGTGGCTCGAGCTAGAACACGTGTGCGAGTGCTGCCTGAAGCTCCAGAGATTGCTGATCCTCAACCGGGAAACACGAACAGTTTCTGCCAAGATCCCTTTTCAGAGGCAATGGAACAAGTAAGTGTGCTTGTGATCGTTTCAACAGGATAACCAACCACATTGTCACTACCAAAAGGACTTTTTGCCCTTGTCCAAAGGTGGACTGTCTTTGCAGGGAATGACGCTGGGCTTGTCTCGGTATGAGCAAGATACCAGGGGTTCTTTAGAGCAGCATGGCTCTGCAAGATAAGCGTGGGAATTGCTTCTTCGGATTTTCTTGTCCTTCCTTGTGATTTCTTCCACAGTGCTGGCAACGCATTTTTCCTCCAAGTACCAGTTTCCTTGAAGGTTGCGATGTTTAAACGTGACATCAGTTTGTATCAAGTACAAAGTACGCAATCACACTCTACTTCCTGGTAGACAATCCACTCACCCATTTGCTTAAAGAAGCTTTGCTTGTTTTTCTTGTTTTCTGTCCAGCCTGCGAGTAAGTGTGCATTGCGTCGCAGTGCAAAAAGGAAACCACTGATGAGTTCCCAATCCGCGGTCCTAATTGCTGCACTCTGAACATAATGCACTACTTACTCATGTGGAACAAGTATGGTTTCACTTTGCCCGCAAACAAGTTTCGCATGTAGTCGAAGCGCTTGTGATAAGTGAAGCCTCCTGGAAACTCGTCAGCATCCCTGGACAAAATCTTGACCTTTAGATTGTACCTTTAATTTGATAGCCAACAATGGAGAAGCGAATGTGAGATCGACGCAAGACCAAGACGAGAGAAAGTAAAGGCCAGCAGCCGTACGCACAGTGATGCATGTTCATTGAGCAGGGATATGAGGGCAATTTGATGACTGTGAGTTGCTGTGATCAAGTCACCAGACAGCAATAGACTGTTGATAAAGTATCGTGTCCTGTCATTGTTGCGTATATAGTACATGCCAGTGTTGGCAGAGTATGGAGCGTAGAACAGTCCTCTGGCACCGTCATCCTGAAAGTAAATATCATAGTTGCCCGAAGCCTCGTCGTGAAAGAACTCCAATGGATTCCTATATAGTGCAATGTCGACATCCAAAAAGAGCACATCATGGTCCAGCATGAGTGTCATTTGCACGCAGTAAACCTTTGCCATCATGACTGCTGTGAAAGTACGGTCAGCATATCTTCCGGCGGCTTTCTTTGGTATATGCCCATAGTTCTTCACCAACCACCAACGGACAGGCAGGGGTAAGGATTTGGTGTTGCGATCAATGTAGACTTTGACAATCAACAACACAACACATCAACTCACAGTTTCATCATAAAATGCATTGACTCCAAGCCCCAGAGCGAGGTCTCTGGTTTCTTCATCGGTTGCAAAGACCAGAACAGACGCGAGATCGACATTTCTGGCCCGAGCGACACAGACAAAATTCATGAGGATCTCGGATTGCCTGCGAAGAGAAAACAAGGTTGAGCGCACGGCAGAATGAAAGAAGTGAGAGAAAAAGCAAACATGCTAGTGCTGTGATGTAGTTGCTGACTCACCCATGATTGCAAACCAAGACAATCACAGCATTGTTTTTGTTGGCGGATGCTGCTTTGGAAGCAAATGGCTTTAACGTTTCCAATGTCGCATCCAGAGTTTGCAAATATGTCGTCAGCGTTTTCCAATAATCTTGCGTGTTCTCTTTGCGAGGGACCTTTACGGACAATCGTCCCGACGTTTGTGCTCCTCGATTGAGCAACCGCAGGGGTACATTTCGGTCCAAACGACCTCCATCAACGGGCAGTCTCAAGAATTTCTGAATATGATAACTTCGGTACTGTCCCATGAACGCAAAACATTGCTGTCGTTCATTGGGTTGTGTCAAGATCAGATTGAGCAAATCACAATTTTCCGTCGCCATTTCCACATCTTCGCCCAAATCGGGTATCTTGGTATTGCTGGTGGCTTCGGCCGCCTTGAAGGGATCGGATTTTGGCGCCGCATCCGGATGCGCGTACAGTAGAAGTACTTGTTCGTTGCCTTTGGAATTTTGGTCGAGTGCCACTCCCACGTCGAATTTCTTGGCAAATGCCAATCGGTCGACGGCCGCTAATCCACCCATGTAAGCTTGCATGCCTTGGGGAAATCGAGGTTGTGTGTCTTCGGCGGGTGACTCTTCTCTGGCTTGTCGGGCTTGTGGCTGCTCTTTTTGAGGATCACTCTTTGCTTTTTGTAATTTTTCTTGCAGACTTTTGATGCGGTGTTCTTGTCTCTTGATTTTATCCATCATTTTGTCTTCTTGTTCCTTGCAGCTGTCAATAGCCATTGGTGCTGATGCGGATGATTCGGACTCGGATGTGTGGATTGCCGTGTGTGCCCCAACGAAAATACCCGAATAAAAACAGGCTGCCCCAATCACAATGTAGGAGAGCAGCAGTTTTGGAGACAAGACGAAACGACCACCATTACTACTACTGGAGGATCGTTTGGGGAGACTGGAGCTGCTGGAGGCTCGTTTCGGCCGCTGTGCCACCAGCGGAGTCGATTGGACTATCTTCTGACTATTGTTCAAGCCCATCATGGTGATCTGCCAATATCTATACAGCTTCCTTTGTCAAGGTTGGTTTGGTTGTGTTTTGTGACCAAAAGATCTGTTGTGGGAAGGTCATCGGAGCTTTGTTAATTTTAGCCTCCTCCCTAATAATCGATAGTTCAGTCACGATATTCAAACCCAGCATTGCTAATCGCGTGCCCGCCCCGCCCTCCAAAGCTCCTTCCACGGCACACAACGTCCACGAGCGCAAAAGAAAGCAATCGCCACAAATTTCTGTGGCCGGAATTTGAAAAAGGCCCCTTGAGCTCTCATCGGATCATTGCTGTTGCTGTTGTCGATTCATTCCCATCTTCTAGTACGGTAGCTATTAATCGCTCACCCCACCAGTTTGCGTTGGTGGATAAGAGTGGAGTCGAGTCCCAAAGAGCAGCTGCGAACAACCAACTTGCGTGTATGCAAAGGAGCGCCTCATTATTTCTGTGAGTGAAACCGAGAAACGTGCCCCGTGCTTCTCTTCCCGGAAGGTTCAGCCATATCTTCTTTTGTGAAAATCACAACGCCAAAAGCAGAAGCACGCTGACCAGGACACGATCGAATTGAGACAAAACAATCAAAATAGATAAGCAAACAAAACAACAATGAGCGCCATGAAGTCTCTTCCTCACACTCCCGTCGCAAGTACCGCCAGCACCATCACAGCCACCATGATGGCCAAGGCTTTCCAGAAGAACCACCACAAGCGTGGGTTGGGAGAGATGATGGCTCCTCCGCCCACTCCTACGGCGTATCCCAGCAACAACAATTCCTCTTCTTCCTATTTGGATTGTCAATCGTTGCAGTCCTCGTTGAAGCGCGTGCGTCTCTCCTCCAGTCCAGGAGAATTGCGACTTCAGCGGGACTTGCGCCATATGGTCTCGTCAGGCACTTGGGTTCCTCAGCAAGACAACCGACACAAGAACAGCGAAGTCTGGATGTGGCATCCTCCGGCTCCTCCCGTCACGGTCAAGGCACACAATCAACCACCCCCTCCTCACATTGAATTGAAAAAGGTGGAGAGTCTGCGCTTACGCCTGACATTTCAGCACTCCGTCGTCGCGTGGATTCAAGTGCCACGCATGTACCCCCATCGACCACCTCTCATTAGTCGAATTGTCTACCAAGACAACTATGGAGGAAACAACAACAACACAAAACAGACCATTCAAACCATTGTCGTTCATGAAGCACCACCGGGACGATCCGATGGTGCCAGTGTCATTTCTCCAGAAGATCAGCCACACCAAATCAAAAACAATGCGAATCCCATTCATCAAGGAAACACGGTCGTTTACCACAATTGGTCGCCCGTACAGCGATTGGGAGATTTACTCGAATTTGTCATTGACACATTTCGAAAACAACACAATGAAATACACGGCACATACAACATCAACCTCAACAATCGCCGTCACTCTTGCGCCAATGATGTCTCCTTGACGTACTCGTCGTCCTCACTCTCGTCCAACTCCTCGTGGAGTAGACGATCCTCGGGCAGTAGCATCACCACGGCAGCATCCGCCAACACGGCGGGATATCGCACGTCCTCCTCGTCACTCTTTCCAGGGTGGAATAATAAAGAAGAACAACACTCTTCCGATGTATCCATGATCACCACAACACATTCAAATTTGGCGTCGGCCTTTTTGACACCCAACCGATTTGATATCGGGTACGACAGAGTTGTTCCTCCCGCCACGATGGATCTGGACACTGTGGGCATTCCACAGCAAGTATCCATGATGGACCTTTAGATTTGGAATCTACAGGATTCATTCATTCATTCCGCCCGTGCGACGAGGCGCTCTTGTGGTGACTTTTCCCCTTCTGGTGACAAGCAATTTTGTTCGGTCCCAGGATATTGGTTGGCAGGGTGGGTGGATGGATGGCTTGGTGCAATGCACTGCATGCACACGACAACTCCTAATAAATCTAATGAATAAAAATAATAAACCTCACACACATGAATTTCTAACTCTAGCAATGCTCTGGGGCTGATGGCGTGCAACCTAGCTCGCTATAGGGTACACAGCCTACTAGACCTAGCCATATAGGGTACATCCGTACGCCACAGTCTTCTTACTTAAAATCCGATCTTGTATGTTCGGTTCCACCAATGCAACTCGTCCAAGATTCGATTCGAAGGGCTTCCGTGATTTCCGTTCAGGCAGAAAAGGTGGTACCGGTACAGTACTCGAGCCCCCAAATGCTAAGGAAACTAAGACGGCTCTATCGGGCCCCGTGCTACGGTAGGAGAGAACAGATGATCGCATTCACTGGTGATGCTACCTGGTACATACTATGTTCAGATAGGTTTTATTTTTATTTATTTATTTCAGTTTCTCACTCACCTCACGTCCTGATGCCCAGCAAAGCCAGCTCCCCAGCAACAAATGATTCGATCCTTGGGGTCACCACGCTCAGTCAATCGTTCGTACTACGTAATGTGGCAAAGCCCACCTTATGCGGCTAGCTAGGCGGCTAGCTAGCTGGCTAGTCCGTCTTGGAGGACGAAGTCAGTTCTTGAGGGACCAGAAAACCTGCAGCCGAAGTCGTGCCCGATGATGATGCCTTGGTTGCTAAAATGGAACGAAGCACCTTCAAATCCTTGCGCACCAGATGAATCTCTTCCTGTAGGCTGGCACTTTGGACCTGCTCCTTAGCTGCTCGAGTGTTCTCTAGAACGGCTTGACCCTCGACGTCAGCAGCATCTTCGTCCTTGGCTTTGGGTCCGGTCGCGTCATCCGGGGATGGAGCCTTGTATTGGGAAAGCGCCGTTTGGATATCATTCAGGCAACTGGTACTTGTACTCGTATCAGTGTCCTTGTCGCTTGTCAAGTCCTGCACGAACAAACGTGCCAGAAGTGGACAAGCTGCAAGACAATCGACAAATCGTTGAAAGGATCGTAGGATCACTTGGTGCTGGAGTTTGTCTTCTTGTTGGGTGGTATTCTTTTCCTCGGACGAGGACGTGTTGAGATTTTCCTTCTTGTTTTCCTCCTCACAGGCAAGTTCCAGAACACGCACTACGGCACAGCACAGGTCCTGGTAGCCGACCGAAGCAGCTTTGTGGCAGTCCAGCCGGGACGGCAACGGTTTGACGGTGCTCGCTTTGTTCTTCCATTGAATTGTGGGAGCCGAAGCAGCGACGTTTCCTGCCAATTCCATCGCCAGCATGTTCCACAAGATCGCGTCGACATCTGGATCGTCCTTTTTTGATTTCTCGTAGTAAGACATGCCAATCTCAACAATCGAGCCAAAGTTTGGGAAACGCCAGGCGTACTTCCCAAGTGCTGATGTAGATGTCATGGACTGAGCAATCATGAACAGCAACGAGCGTCTCACGAATTGCAAGAGGACAAGAAGAGACGGTGAACCATCTTCTTCCTGTTGTTGTCCAAGTTCCTGGCACTTGAGCAGCCAATGCCGCAAAAGACCAGTTTGAAGCAACCCCGCAGACCATTGCTGACTGGCTTGTTGCTGATTGTGATGTTGCTGTGCCAATGACTCGGCCTTGGCGACAATGGTAGATCCCGTTTGCAACTTTTGGTTGGTCATGACTTCAAATAGCGGCAGCAGCGTCCACACAATCCAATTTTCGGACGATTTTTGGCTCGATGCTGCTGCTGTCTTTCGAATCTTTTCTTCCTGTTCCATGGCATGCGCCAAATCGTCGCAGGTTCCCCAAACACTGCGCCGCAAGATTCGAAATCGCTCCACGAGTTGTTGCTGACCTGTCGTCGTCGTCGATGCCTCTGTCATGAATTGCTGACAAAGTGCCGACAAGGATGCCAAGCCAACATATGTAGCAGGAGCCATTCCTTCGCTCGGAGGTTTGGCTGCGGCCGCGTCAATCGCAATCAATGTCTGCAACATGGTCAAGTATTCGGAGAGTGTGGTTGTACTGGTCGTGTTGGCAGCCGCAGCGTCTCGCATGACCCATAGTGGATGCCACGCCATGGCTTGCAACTGACGGTGTGGTTGCAGAGCATCTTCATCGTCGTCTGGAGAATCAAATACAGAAGGTTTGTTCGTTGTGATGGTTGGCGGTACCAACAGCGTCAGGGTGAATTGAGTGAGAATATTCGAAGGACCTCGAGTCCCCACGAGGCCCTGAAGATTATTGGTACTCGTCCACAACGAAGCCACTTGACGGAAATTGAGTTGCGAGGTCAAATCCATGACGGCATGTCTGACTTGTTTCCAGGAAGTCTTGGAGGATGGTGTGGACAGCTTGATGGGATCAGTGCGGTCAATCATCCATTCGGCAAAGGAGTCTTCGACCTCTGCAATTTGTTGTTCGTAAGAGAATCCAGACTCGAATTCGAAATCAGAGGGATCTGATTCGGCAGCCCACACTTCTTCCTCTTCGTCATTGGTGGCAATGTTATTGTTACCGTTGGTAGCATTATTATCCTCCTCTAGAGGTTGACTTAGCATGGCTGCCAATCGGTCAGCTTCTTCCCCCAATTTTTGTTTGGAACTGTTCTGGATTGCGTGGGATAAATTATGCTGGTCATTGTTGTTGGTGTCATTGGTTGTCAGTGGATTGGGTGGAGGTGAAGGTCGGTAGGATCCCAAAAGAGAGTCAACCTGCGAAAGATCCGATGCCTGGCAACAGAGCAGAGGTATCCGAACACCAATGGCCCAGGCCAGCATGGCGGATCCTTTGGCGGTATTGGATCCCGCACTGGCTGGAGAAGACAATGACGATTCTTGGGTGCTGGAAACGGCGGCACCTGAGTTTTCTTGCTGTTTGGCACAGAGTTGCCGGATACCCTCCACCAGAGGACCCGAAAGAGCATAGGGTGATTTTGGATCCACCATTGCCATGGCAAGATATTGACAGCCCAAATCAGACTCAACACGAGGATCGTCGTAGCATAATGCAATATAAGTGTCGTGTATCAGTTGTTCTCGTTGGGACTTGGTAGTTGTAGCACCGGTAGCATTGGAAAGAGCTTGTTCAGCAGCATCTCGTTGCTGGAGAGCTTCCGCTATTGATTTTGCGTGCAAACGCAGGAAATTAGCATCGTCATCAGAAGAAGAGGAAGACATTGGAAACGTGTTGATTTATCGCACAAACGCAGAAGTATACAATCCTTTGGCAGTGGCCATTGGCAATGGCAACAATGCAACGGCGACCAAAGCTTCGAACAGGAACGATGCGGTTCTTGGGGTTCGTGGCAGCAAAAGATTCGATTGAATCATTCATTTCGGTTGAAGGCAAGACGAATTTTTGAAAGCGGCAGTCGTGAGGCGCTCTTGACTTACCCAAAGATTCAATCATCACGAACTCTAGTCAACGTTTTGCACTGGTATTTGCCAGTCGGTTGCAGAGCCGCAAGGCTTCATGAACAGCACCTGGGAGAGCTTACTGTGAAAAGGACTGTACTGGTGCAGGTGTTGAGCCACAGTTTACATCTTTACCATTATCTTCAAACTTTGTATGAAGGAAATAAAGAGGTCGTCAAACAATACAACTGAATCGCATCAAACTCTATACCGGTACTGTTCTGAATTGCAGCCGAGGTTGTCAAAGCTAGCTAGCTAGCCAGCTCCAAGGCTGTTGTTGCGTTCTTAGCGGGGCAAGCAAGGTGAAGCACGGGCATGCAAAACCATCGGTACGTTACCGGTAGAATCAATTCCTATATTCATGTTGCTTCAGAAGTGTATCTGCTGCAGGCTTGCTTGTACCGGTAGGTTTGCTTTGGATGGATCAAAGGTGCGGATTCAGCCAGAGGTGCGGTCACAACGATGTTCACCACCGTTACAGTACCGGTACCTGGTAGGTACTGTAGAAGTGTAACCATTGGCAGCAATCGACGACAAAGCAGTTATCAAATTGAAAGCTTTATTAGAAACAATACACAATAAAGTACACGGTATTATTAGTGGACCAGCTGTGCTTGATGAGGGGATACAAGCCAAGTTGATTTGCTGCGAAGGAGTGGACAAATATTTTTTCCTTTCCAAAGGTTACATCCCGATACTCATCTATTTTCTGTTTAAGCCTTTCGCTTCCTCTTTACCAGGAAGATCCCACTGAAATCAGCTCGATATTCACAAAGAGCAGCTGAAAAGTGATTTGTTAGCAGTCCCAAAAACAGACCTTCTCATCTCACGCGAACAAATGGTGTTCCAATTTTTCGATTGGGTTCCTTGCTTATTTCATCTCTTGAATCACGTTAAGTCTTGGCGTGGTGGAAAATGTGACTTGACTAACTTGACTCGACACCACTCAACCATGGGAACCGTAAGTCCGGAGGTCAGGCCAGCAAACACAGTTCTCTTCTTTTAGCCGTTGTATGAGCACCGAACCAACAGGGGAAGCTTTCAAGGTCGCTTTTGACCTCTTTTCTACTACACGTCTCACAACGGCAGGAAGCCCATCACTGCTACTACGTACAGGTATCAATCAAGCTCACACAAACAACAATCCGGGCTGGTGAGCACTATTTTCCGTCGCTTTGTTACAAGGTACTAGTACACCCATAAAACAAAGTAACAGCGGCAAAGGCAGCATCAACATCAAGAGGATTATACCGTTTGCACAGAGGAAACAGATCACAATGAACCGGCGACAACAAGACGAATACCAACCACAAAGACTGCTGGAAGATCACAACTCTACTCACAGTGCAACTCAATCTTCCTCACGGCTTCTGAGAGATAAAGGATTCGACAGTCGACGTATCCATTACAGTGGCTCCCACGGAGCAAAGGATGCCAGGTTTCGAAGCCTCAAGAAGTGGCACTCTACCAACGCTCTTTCACAAAACGACGACAGAGGGTTCGGAACCCTTCAAAAAGGAACAGCCATGTCATTGTCTACAAGCGCAATAGGCGTTTTCCCTATCATTGAAGACGAGGAGTTGGGTTCTACAAGATGGGAGAGTGATCCGTCTCATGTCAAGTCGTGTCAAGGAGAGCAAGCCAAAATTGACCCCACGAAAGTCTCTCAAAGACCACACAAGAGGGCATCCATTCCAAAACCACCCAGAAGGCAAAGGAGTGTGGAATTCATAGGAGAGGCACAGATACCCACGCCTTCCAGCTAGACCATGACACGGTTCGATGATAGATGAGTAAAGTACAGGTAGCAGTTTTGTATCCCACTATGCAACACAGGTTGTTTTTCTTTGCTACGTTGTTTTTCTTTGCTACGTGCAAAATCCCAAGCTAGCAAGATACAGCAGCATTTTGTAGCCATCATTGTTCGCTGCTGATGACCAAAACCATTGCTAGCAGTGGCATAGCTACTCAGGCTGAGGTGCTCCGGTGCCTCCAATGAGTGGCGATGGTACCGCTACGGATATTGCTATTGGTTCGTTTCAGGCTGCTACGCAAAGATCACCGGTACTTCTTTGCGATCCCAGGCAAAGACAAAAGCTTGCTTCCAGGTCAACCTCCACATGTCCAATCCTATATCAAAGGCAGCTTGATAAGTTTGGTATTTGGGAAGGTTTGCTTGCTATGAGAGCGGCTTGCAGCATCCACGAAGCAGCAAGAAGCAGCAAGCTTCCAGGTCCGAGAGGCCTTGGAGCGGAGCCTGAAACGGATTGAATCATTCGATACGATCCAGTGGAATCTAGCCGATTGAATGGTTTTTCTTGGACTGATACAGTTGGACATGCACCGTTGCTTACTCTATGCACCACTCTTTATAGTCAGGATTCAACGTCGCTTCAACGTCGCTGCAGGTTGTGGTTCAGTAAAGGCAACGGACAAGGCCTTGAAAACCATCATCGTCATGTTTTGCTGCTTCCTTTCGCCATCGTGGTCGAACGGAGCCTTACAGCGTCGATGCAAACGAGGAAGGGGGGTGGAACGAAACATTGACAATACCAATACCCCACAGCACAGTTTCCGCAAACCAAACCAAACCAAACCAAACCACAAGAGCCTTTGATGACATGCATACTGCAGGCTACTAGTGCCCATAAATTACAAGAATAAGAGGTCTCAATGATTTGCTAAAATATTATGATGCTTTGGATTAGTGGTATTCCCCATAGTTACAAGCACCTCGCTGCACCAGAAGAGTACTTCAAGGTCGAGGACGCCGCGAAACGGGCTTTGCTTGCTTCCGAGTGGAAGGATCGTCGGAAACTGCGCAAAGTGTTTTCGTCCTTGGCGGCTTCGTTGAGTTTGTTCCTGCGCATCCTTTGGGGTTCTGTTTTTTCTTCGTTGGATGGATGTTCAATGGACTGTTGGCGTCTGGGAAGCGTGGGACGGCCACATCCCCTTTTGGGCGAGGACGCCGCGGCTGCCTCGGTCTTGGCAGCACTTTCCCATCGGCATTGTCCCATTTGAGGCGAGCATCGTTCTTGATTCATCGCAATCATTTCATTGACTTTGCTGCTACCGGTAGTAGTAGAGTTGCGGCTTCGCTTTTCTCGGTGGGTTTCGGGCAATGACTTGGAAGTGCCAGGCAAATGGCGCTTCTTCAGTCGGTGTACTCGGGAGTAGTGGGCCCACGAGGATCTGGCCTTGAGCAGTCTTCGCTCATCCGTCAATTCGACGATATCGGCGTGAAGATAAAGAGCCATGGTTGACTCCTGGAGGGACGCTGCTCTGAAATGCTGAGGTTGGGTCATGATGGCTGCAAGAGGAGAAATGAGAGCAATCACTTTGGCGATTGATTCAGAATTGTGAGGGAGCGCAAAACTTCACACATCATCAGAGCGGGCTTTACTCTCTCTTTTCAACTGCTTCTGGCCAGTCGTTTCTACGTTTGACCTGGATACCGCATGAAGGTCGGTACCAGTCTACTCGTAACTCGTATCACTTCCTTGGTTAGTCCCATCAGCACCCATCACAGATCACCAGAACCGTCACCAAACACAGTGCGGCTTCCCTTGGCAATTATCAGGAAGAAGACTGTCTCTTGAGTCTTTTGGGCAAACGTTTCCCTCCACCCGAAGCCTCTTATCGTGTTTGCCACTTTCCGTGACCACAAAATTGGGAACTGCCTCGCAAAAGCCAAGTGTAGTACGATAAAGATTTAAAGAGATTCGTTTTCGCAGACATGTCAAAGATCATCCTCATAAGTGGTACATTCGCGCAGAAGAAGGCATAATGTCTTTTTCACAGTAGACTTGTTGATTGGTTATTGACAAATTTGGGGAAGGAGAAAGTGGAAAAGCGAGGCTATTATCATTTATTATTGTCCACTTCAACGATCATCAACATGGTTTGGTAACAGTAAGATTATTGCCCTGTCTTGGACGAATCTTCAAGAATCGAGAACTTTCAGTCATCGAGGAGGTGAAGGGTGAAGTTCAGCAGTGCCAGGTTCCAGGAGAATGTCAATGCAGCACCTACTATAGGTCAATGGTTACTGAATGGTCACAAATCGCATCTTCCATGCTTCCCTAAAAGATTTATGTCCTAAATCATTAAATCTGAATGATCTGTCCGAAGTGAAGGAAAGAGAAGAGGGTCTTCACGGGATTGCATGAAGCTTTGGTACTCGCGCTGCCTCAGGATATATTATGATAGTGGATAGTAGGATCATGCTGAGGTCGTTCTATCTGGCGGTGGTGGGAGATAGCCCCCTTCGCCATCCAGCTAAACAAGTAAGTATTCGTGTACTTGCCGGCTCTAGTAGCCAGCTACACTGTGTACATGATAGTTTCTGGCGAGGGCAGGTAGCAACAAGTTGACAATTCCCACTCTGGCTGGGAGCCTGGAAACAAGCTCGATGCGATTCTTTTCGTGGGTGATCCTTCGCCTTTGTGCATGTCCGAAACCAAGCACCAACCCATGCGGATATTTTCAAGGGAGCAAGAAGGACAAGTAAGATGCACTTTGTTCGGGTACGAACAGTACGGTCAAGACCAATACCTGGTAGTGGCCACTGTGGTGACCAGGGAGATTTGGCAACAGGCAGTGGATTTTTAGTAGAGCAGCCACCAGCCCATCAAACAAGTTCAGGTGAGTTGACTTGAAAAGTGCCCTCCTTCGGCGAGAAGTCATACTTCGCTGCTTTGGCCGGACTGCTGCAACATCCGTCGCAGTATCGTTGGATAGCCTCGAAGCAGGCATTGAGCAATATAAAATCTACCCTCACTTTTGGAGGGGAATCCAAGGGAGAAGATGACTGCATGGCTGGAGCTCAGCCGAGGGATCTTTTGCAGGGACTGTTCAGATTGCAAGGCGACTTTGCCGCATACAACCTGGAAACGGGGGCACCACAAGAAGTGCTACTGTGGCTACAGTACCAGTGCGGTACATTAGGCGAAGACGTAAAAGTGGACATCTTTGGGGCTAAGGTCGGGATCCTGAGTGAGGATCATGTAGTTCGGCAACTGTACTAACCAAGCGAACTGGAAGTAAGCAAGCGGGCGATAGAGAAGTCATTGCTTCCAGAACTACTACATGATGTACAACTCACTGGCATTCTGTATGGATATCTCGCTACAGCACCTCGTAACGGGTCTACTGGCCAGGTGCGGGTTACAGAAAGCCAGAAACGAGGTTTGTATTCATTTCGCTTCTTTGAGCTCAGGTAGCTTCGCATGCCTGCTGGTCATGGGTACCGGTATGGTGCTGTTGCTGGCAGCAGTAGAAGCTGTGCATTACCATAGAGTTATGAAACGAGTTCCTTAAAATTCTTCTAGATCTATATGCCAATCAGTGCTGCAAGTTCGTCTAACCCTTTGATACACCGTTTGATTTCAATCTTGGCATCACCAAAGTATTTGGAGGGAGGAGTTTGAGAGGTTGAGGTGGTGACAAAAATGGCCATGTAGGAAGATCCATCCGCTTGCTGTATGGACTTGAGGATTTCATTGGACAATTCCGTGTATTCGACGAAATCATCGGCCTTGTCGGCCAAGACTGTCATGACCTTGGAAATGCCGAACAATCCCGAGGTGGTGCCGACGGTTCCGAGGTATCTTCGAACATTGTCACCGCCTCCCTGACAGATTTCATCGTAGTGGTCTAGTAAGTACTTGGCACTCTTTTGTCCTTCTTTGAACCTGGCTTCTGCTTCAGCCATGGATAGACTCTGTCCCACCTTGAACACGTTTTGAGAGTTCGCCATGACTGCATGAGCGATGGTTGGTGGTAGCAAAAGTGGAACGGCCATGCTTGTCAGCAGTGTGCGGCGATCACATGAAGATATCCTCTTATCCATTGTTGTTGTGTCAATGCTACCACCGGAGCATCTGTGTCCATTCAAAACTGATCCTTTACATCTCGTCATTTGTTGGTTTTCACTAATAAGACTTGTTGGTCTGAGGGTCAAGGCTCGGCTCCATGGCAACGTGAAAGTGATGGCAAATACCCAGAATACACTGGGAGCTCTCGTCATGTTAGAATGTTGATCTCTCCACTCTACTTTCTATAGGTATATCCTGCTGATTGCTGATGCTACCGTATGGTGTTATGCTGTTCGACGGCAACAAAGGGCTCAGCCGCGTTGTTGGGGCGACCAACGTCACCGGAATCGGCACTAATCAAAATGTAAGTCACGAGTGATCCCGAGGATCGAAGCAGAATACACGCACACAATGTAGACAACCTCGATCTCAGCTTCATCTGTAGTATCAATCATTCCATTCTGCACTACACTTGTGCAATAGTAGCCATGATTAGACGAACGTTGGCATTATTATCCAAACGAATGACGATCCCACGTCTTTCACCCACGCATACTCAAGCGAGAATAACCGAATTTTTGGTCAAACAAGGCGATTCGGTGGAGCCCTATGACACGGTCTTCATTGTGGACTGTTCTCCTGACTTTATCACTCCAGGGTTTCGAGATAGTCCTGACCAGATAGTGTCCATGATCATTGAGAACCAGGAAGATGGCGTCATTCAAGAATTGCAGACGAAACTCATTGGACAATGGCTGGATGTCGATACCCCCATTGGAATCATTCATGACGGGGATGACGACACGGATGGTGATTGGACGTGGCAAGCATACAAAAATGAATGATTGACTACTAGATCTACTAGCAAATTATGAATGGCAAATCTCATCGCATCATCATGTCCATTCCTTTGACAAGAATGATTGATGTTTTTTACTACAATGTCATGTGTTGTCTCCACTCACTTTCTCTGCTCTTCACGAATCACTCGCTTTTCCATCAATGTCAAAAACCTCACTGGAGTCTTGACAACCCGAAGTCGAAATCGTTCAAAGTACCCTACACTTTCACCCGAATGCTGTACTGGAAATCCCTTTGTCTCCTCTGTTTCGGTCGAGTTGTTGGTTGTAACGGTAGATGTAATGAAAATATCAAAGTCTCCGCCAATATAGTCTAGACAACCAAACGAAGACAAGCTCTTGTCCCGAAAGGAGCCTTCAAAGATCTGGGGAATATTAAAGAATCCTCGCAATGGATGAATCCGTCCCAATCGCAAATGCATCTTATCCTTGGTGATGCGGGCAAAGGGGAACAACCGGAGGCCTCCACCGTAAAAGGGAGATGTTCCGGCTGCCAGAATACCCGTGGTACCTTCGTACAGTACCGTGTCATCATCATCGGCGTTGTTACTCTTGGTAGTAGTAGGTCCCACCGATTGCACCACATCCCCTCGTCGATGATCTACCCACAAACAATCGGGATCTCGGGTGGTGACCTTTACATGAATGTTGTGTTCTTGTCGCGCCACACATTTGGGGAGAGTCTTTACGACCAATGCCACGCAGTATCCAGCCACAGAACTGAGTGTCTTGGTCAAGAATTTTGTTCGAATGGCCCATTTCTTGATGGATTGAAAGTCCTGAAGCATTAACGAGTCAAACCCAGCACCGGCAAAGAAACACAGGGTATCATCATGTTTCTTTGAGTCGGGATAAGACACCTCCATCATGGGTAGATCCACCAAATCAAAGGTATTCTCTGTGGATTCTAGAAAATTGGGATCTTCATTGATTCTTTCCACCACTTGTTGATAGGCAGTCAACATTCTCCTCAATTGACGAAGTTTTCTTCGTTTTTGACCTAGTATTTGCCAGGGAGGATTGGAGAGCATTTCAGATCCCACCACTGATCCAACTCCATTTCCAGTTCCCAGTGGGACATAGGCTACCAGAGGAAGTGCTTGCATGGCTTGGTCCATTGACGTGAATTCGGGATTGTTTTTCATGATTTCACCACATAGAAAATTGATCATGCTGCTAAGAGTGCCGTCTCCTCCCACTGGAATAATCATGGAGATATTGCTGTCTGGTTGCATTATCTTGGCGGCGGCCACCTTGCCTTCCTCTTCCGTGTTGGTCACAAAAACATAAGCCTTGCCAAAAATCGATTCCGCCACAGGAACCAGGTCTTGGCTGACTCCACGGGCATTGGTATTCAACACAATGGCAGCATGTGTCTTCTTAGCAACCCCATTGGAATGTACTCCATTATTATTAGCTGTTTCTGATGGACCTTCCAGCTGGAAGGCTGATTTCTCCAGGCTCTGGAACTCTGATATCTCCTTTGGCACATTACTGTTGCTGTTGGCTGGAGGAGGCGACAAAGCACTTAACCCACTGGATACTGGAGCCCAAGCATAGGTCAGAAGGAGGGTTACCAAACAGGACCGCCGCCTCATCATTGTCATTACTTTTGATTTGAAAATTCGGTGCCCGTGCGATTGTCCAAAAAACAATGCGATTGTGAAAGAAACCCAAAAGACAACTTGCGCTCTCTCAAAAGCAGCTGGTCGAGGTGAGATGTTGTGGTTGGTTGGTGTGGGATCGACAATGACGCGTTTTCTTGTTTTGAGGGCTATCATCGACCTCTTCGAGAAGCCAGCAAGGGGGCTTAGAGATACCGGTACCGGTACCTAGCTGGTACCAGTACCGGTACCGGTACCAGGTACGACTGTAGTCTCAAAAGCAGAACAAAGATCACAACAACGCGAACATCCCTCATTTGTTTCACGGGAACCCATTGCGGTGTTTCCACGCTCCCACTACCCTCGCTGGATCCTGCCCTGCCATAGCTGCATGTACTGTAAACAGCGGAGAGATGATATCATGTCGACCTCAAAGATTGTCAACATTGCCATTAGAAACTCAAGCTCGGGAAAGACCCAATGGCAATGATGGCTGGTTTGGAAGCAACCAGACCTCCTTCCACAGAGGGCCACGGGATTTCACAAAAGAGATCAGAATCCGCTACCAAGATTCAATCAGCAATGAGAAAGACACTTGCCAGCAAGAAAAAGCTGCACATGAAGACAAGCCAACACATGGCACTGGAGTAATCAGAGACCCCTCTGAAGGGAGCAGGGAAACAGAATCCGCTACCAAGATTCAATTGGTAATGAGAAAGAAACTTGCAAGCAAGAAAATAGCTGCACATAAAGACCAGCCAGCACCTTGTGTTCAAGTAATCAGAGATCCCCCTGAAGGCAGCAGGGAAACAGAATCTACCAAGATTCAATTGGCAATGAGAGAGGCACTCACTGGCAAGAAAAAAGCTGCACACAAGGGTATTGAAGTAAACAGAGACCCTCCTGAAGGGAGCAGGGACACAGAATCCGCCACCAAGATTCAGTTGACAATGAGAAAGACACTTGCCAGAAAGGAAAAAGCTTCAACCAAAAACCAGAAGTCTACTAGTCAACAGAGGTAAGAAAGAAACCCTTCCAAGAAACGTTTCAAGCTCTTCTTCGGTAAGAGCTACCAAGTGCACCATCCCACCAAGTATGTGGTGTATCAGCTATCGTCAATTGATGCACCTGGATACAAAAGCATCCAGGATTTTTGGTGAACAGGAGTACCCCAGACAAACTATGCGCGATATTTGTAAGTGGATCATTGAACCTCTCTGTACCAGAACCAAGACTTCCTATGCTTTGAGTCTCAGCAAAGAGGGCCTTCCCGTTGACGTCTTTGTGTCTCACGCATGGGATTGCCACTTCGCCGCATTTGTTCAGTCCATTCGTGAGGCATTCCAGACAGCAATGCTGAAGCCAAACCTTTGGATTTGTGCACTTGCTTTGATACAATCATCCGACGAAGAGTTGGTTGCAAAGCAGATTGGGAACAGTGGTGATGCGCTTGAAAAGGCACCCTTTGTACAAGCAATACAATCTGCGTCGACCTATTGCGTGGTTCGAAACTTCAACATTGATATCTATTCGAGGTGCTGGGTAGTTTGCGAGACTATCTATGCCAACCACTATAGACTTCTCCCAGCAAAAAACCATGTGACTGGGCCAGATGTGTTTGCTCACTTGCAGACCAGTGTACTCGATGCCCAAGCATCCTGTTTGAAAGATCGGGATAGGATACTGAGAGTATTGCTGCTGACCGAATTCAACCGAGAAGAAATCGACAATAGAGTGCACGAGCTTCGAACTCAGGACGCGCCGAGGTCTTTCATACAGAATGGGCTTGATTTAGGAAGCAAGATGCGCTCTGTCGCTGACGGTAGCAAGGGGCTACTGGATTTCGACTAACTATAAACCGGTAGGTGCTAGTTAGATTAGCAATTTGAAAATCTCCCTCTTCTTACTCCAAGGCAAAAGACGCCGCGGCATTTAGCAGGGGCGATTGACTAATGCTGTCATCTGGATATCGGGATTTCACTGCCTCTACCAAACTTTCAACAGTCACCTCCTCTACATCGCTCTTCAACGCAGCTGTAGCCTGCTCGACCAAAGATTCTGCAGTGTCCAGCTTCATTGTCAGTATTCGAAGGACCTCTTCAATCTCTTCAGAGCAAATCGTTTCTCCCGCAGCAGCAACATCCATTTTCGCTCCACCCACAATCCATTGCGCCCATTTCGGATGAGAATCGACCAGGAACGGAGCCAATCGAGGCATCCACTGCAAATGCAAACGCCACAAGTCGTCCGGAGTGGTGGTTGGCAAAAGAGCCTCTGGGTTGGCTTCTTCCTCTGTTTTGTTCTTGCAAATGTTGACACCCAATTGTTCCAAGGCAGTGCCAAGGGTATACGTTGGTATCTGCAAGTGTCGCTCCGCGGCAGACAGTTGAAGATCTGACACAGTTGTCAATCGTAGGTGCTCCGATTGGATATGAGCAGCAACGGCATCAACGTCCGAGTTAGTATCCAGCGATGTTGGGACTCCAAAGGAAATTCGAACGTCTCCAAAGGACTGTGGGCGTTTTCCACATGCGCGTATTTTCCAATACAGTTTGAACATCTCGAGCAGACCAAGCTTACTTGTTTCGCGTGTTGCTACTTTCATAATCTTGTCGTGGTTGTCCACGCGGTCGTAGTCAATGCAAACTGGGATAAATGTGTAATCATGATCACCTCTACTTTCCACAAGGGCTTTGAGAAATTGAGTTCGTGGCTTTTGAAGCCTGCCATCTGGACTCGGTTTCCCCTCCAAAAACGCTGCCAGGGTTGCGTGACGGTCAAATCTTTGCTTTGTCACGTCAATCCGTTGTAGTAGGATGGGATCATTGAATTCGTGATCGGCGTAGATGGAGGGTACATCAATCCCCAAACCGACCATTGAAAAAGCAATGTACTTGGCAAGGATATAGTCCATCAGAGAACGATGAGTGGGCGCCAGCACGACGCAATGCTTCTGCTCTTTCATTGTTGCCTCGAGCTTCAGCAGTGTTCTTCCAGCATGAAAGAGAGTCACAAAATTGACCTCAGAGCTTTCGTAGGTTGCTCGGATAATTTTGCAGGCAAGGTAGCCAATGAGTCGGTTTTTGAAGGACCCACAGGGAAGCGTGAGTGACCACCAGAGATCAAATCTGCCCTTCGGCATGAGCTCCAATTCCGACAACTCTTCTATTGTTCCTGGAAAGAGTGTCGACCAAAAGGCGTGTGTTGCGGTGAACAAGCAGATGCAATACTGTGACTGATTCAGCGAAGGCGGGACATCCATGGAGCTCTCAAAGAAGTAAGGACGGGACACATATGGTCTGTAGAGCGTGAGCATGTCGCTAAAGTTCAACAACTTGACAACGGGAACTTGCTCTAGGACACTCCTTATGCCAAGCTTTCGTGCCGTCCAGCAGACAAATTGGAGCAGCTTCAGAGGGCCAAGATTGAATACTCGATGCAGGAAATGGTAGAGGAATGGGTAATTTGATGATGCATCAATCAGAGCAAACGTGACGGCGGCTTCTGTTGCTGTGAAGAGGTGCTTCAGCACACACACAGGGATACACTGCTTTGCTAATTGCATACCGGAAATGAATTTGTTTGGTGACTTGTGAGACCATGTGAGGTTTCGAATGGTCAATGGGAAAAGTGGATTGTCTGGTTTTGGTTCCGCGGATGCAGCAATCATGGCATCCAGTATCCCCACAGCAACCACATCAACGGGCACCATAGCCGTAGGTTGGTCCGTGAGTGGAGAGAACCGTAAAACTCTCGTCCCTAATAGCAGGAAAAGAGCAGTGATTGTGGATGGCTTGTCACCATTCCATCCAGGAGAAGGCAACACCCATGCGGGCCCAACAATTGCAGGTCTGACAATTCTCAATTCACTTCTCTTGTTGTAGCGTACCACCAAGTGTTCAGCGACGCACTTGGTAAACACATAGTTATTTGGAAAATGAAGCTCTGCTTTTGCTTCCAGTGCCAACCTCTGGTTGCCACGCATCGATTCGTAGAGCTGCTTTGGATCGTATTTACCGAGTGGAAAGAGTTCCTCCGCCATGGGAGCATCAGGAGATCCGCTACCTGGATTGACAAAGGCAGTGGAACAGTGCACAAATCTTTGGCAGGATGGCCATGTTGCCGCCAATCCCTGCAGCTGAAGAGCTGGAGAAATATTGATGCCTGCAGACTCTGCCAGTGGTCTGTTAAAGTTCACATCCGCCGCACAGTGGACCACATGAGTCAAATTGGAATCCGCCAGGGTTATCAGTGTTTCCTCTGTCATTCCGCAGTTTTCCTCCTGGAGGTCGCCGCATTCTACAGCCACAATGACATTGTCCCACTGTTCCTGAACGGCCGAGAACATTGGATCTCGCTTCATTTTGGCCAGTCGCTGTTGGGCGGATAAGTTTTTTCTCGCTTTGGGCCGAGCCATCACAAAGACTTTATGATCCAATGGAGGCGGTTGGTCTTCGCCCTCATCACTTCGCTCTGCTTCTGAAATCTCCCTCAACAACTGAAACAAAAATGCTCTTCCAACATACCCCGTGACGCCCGTCAGCAAAACCTTGCATGTAGCATTTTTATTCTGAATCTCTGTCTTCCACAGTTGACTGAGGCCTTCTGGACTGGCCACCCTATCGAGGTCTTTAATGCACTCGGAGGATTGAGTTTCTTCATTTACATAAGCCAAATGTTCATTCAGTGGAGAGCATTTACGTAGGTCCTTCCCAATATAAAAGTTGACAAAGGCAATCAGAAAGCCCAGAAAAGCAAAGGTGGACAAAAACAAACCAATGATCAGTGCAGGTGGCAGAATGGAAGAAAATAATCCATTTGGAATGGCTAGTGCCACCACCAGCGTTGCTAGCACTCCCTTCCACATACTGCGACTTGCTGCAGGAGAACCTGCTGCCGCTGCAGTGTCCGATGAACTTCCCATTGTCACAAGGGGAGACAAACCGTCGAGTGGAGGTGGAGGAGAAGGGCGGAGGAAAATTTGACAGCTCCGCTGTTCGCATTGAGTGATGATGCTTTTGTTGGCTGTCCTCCAACGGTCAACAGCCACGGTGCACCACAAAGTCTGGGGGCCTCCCCCTCCTCACAGAATTCCATTTCTAACTCTTAGCCAAGCACAACCCCGGGACGTCATGAACGACATGCAGTAAAACAAAAGAGCCCTACTAGCTAGGGCCCCTTCTCCTGAGCCAACACCTAGCTAGCTACCGGTAGCTGAGTAAGCAATGGAATTTCCTTTCTTTGAGAGAAAAGCTGGGATGAGAGTTGGTGGCAGGATACCGCTATGTCATACCGGTACCCGGTACCGGTATGAGAGACTGGGTTCTACAGCAATGAAGCTCGGCAATTGGCAAGAAATAGTAGCTCGGGGTGCCTTGGCGAAGCAATACCACGGTATAGTTCGTCCATCCAAACAATGCCCCGGACACCCAAGCAACAATCACAAGCAATCGAGCGCGTTGCTAAGTTCTAACAATGATGCAAACAGCTCGGAGATCTAGTCTTGTGGACACCGGCCAAAAGAAACAGGTTTTCAAACCCCTTCACTTCGGTCTTCGGAGACGATTTAGTGTGTTTGCCATACCGGTATGGCATGGCCTCCATCTTGAGCACGATACGACACGGGGACAGCTACAACTGGACATGAAAAACTCTATGCTATGTCATTTAGATTTCTTTCATTCGTTTTGACGTTGTGTTAATCCACCAAAGAAACTGAACAGTACGACTGTAGTAGCGTTTCTATCCTGGCCTCGTAGCAGGTAGGGAACGAGTGTACATACATGTAGTCAACAGGCTTTACATGTTCGTGTGTGCACATATATCTAGTAGCGAAGCGAATTTTGTCCAGGAGAGTAAACTTGACATTTCCCAGGGTTCTACGATTCCTTGCTCATCAATTTGTTGCAGTTGTCAGACGAGTTTGTTCCGAGTGCAACGTCTTGAGAGTTGCATCCACGCCCGAAACGTCCTTTACAGTGATTGGAGTTCCAAAAGACACTCGGATATCGCCAAGACTTGATGGCTTGGTTTTGTTTAAAACGCAGATTTCCCAGTACAAGGACAGCATCTCCACAAGTCCCAGGTCGCTGTTACTCTTTGTTGCCTGCAAGATAATTTCACTGTCGCTTGTTGCTTTGTACTCAATTCCCATGGGTACAACTGTGTAGTCGCTCTTGCTGTCCATCTGAACAATCTTTCCCAGTGCCTTGGCACTTGGCTTGCCAATGCTTCCATCAGTGCTTGGGGACCCTTCCAAAAAGGCAGCAACAGTCAGGTGACGGTCACATTGGGCCTTGGCCAGTTTTTGTGTCAGCTCGGAATCTTCCAATTCGTTCTTTGCAAGAACAACGGGAGCATCGATGCCAGCCAAAGACATGAAAAAGGCCACATACTTGATAAGAATGTAGTCCATGGCGGATTTGTGGTTGGGTGCAAGAACAACACAGTGCTTTTGTTCGGACATGGTCTCGTCCAGCTCCACCATTTTGTCAAAGAAATTGGCCGAACCAAGATAATCGACATTTGCCGTGAGACAAGCAGCACGCAAAATTTTGCACGCCAAGTATCCAACAAGACGGTTGTAGAAGCTGCTGCAAGGTTGCGTCAGGGCCCACCAAAGGTCGAGGCGTCCTTTTGGCAACATGTCCACCTCGTTAATTTCCTTGATCGTTCCGGGGAACATTTTACTCCAGAATGTCTGTGTAGCAACAAAAAGACTAGCACTGTATCTGTTGATGTCGAAAGATTCAGGGATGTGTAGGGAGCTGGTAAACTTGTAATCTCTTCCCATGTAGGGCTTGTAGAGAGTAAGCATGTCCGAGAACTTGAAAAGCTTCACAACAGGAACTTGTTCCAATACCGACTTGATACCAGCAGTCTTGACCGCCCAGCACACAAACTGAAGCAGGTATAGAGGTCCCAAGTTGAAGATGGAGTGAAGAAAGTCAAATGCAGCAGGGAATGCAGCGACAATATCCAAGAGCAGAAAGGACACGGCAGCCTCAGTGGCAGTGAAGTGATCCAGGTCCATTGCTGCTTGGATATTTTGCTTCGCCATTGTCACTCCATGCATGGGCTTCTTCTGCGACTTGTGCGACCAAATCAAGTTGCGGAACCGAATCGGAAACTCGTCATCTTTCTTTTCCGCGGCAGGATCAATCATAGAATGCAGAATTCCAGCTGCGACCACATCGACAGGAATGACTGGCATGGGTTTGTGGATGAGCGGAGCAAAACGGATGACACGGGTACCCCAAAGCAAAAAGACCCCCGAAATGGTCGAAGGCTTATCCCCGTTCCATCCTTGTTCTGGGAGCACCCAAGCAGGTCCTACCACGGCTGGACGGCAAATACGGAGTTCCATGGTCTTATTGTCATTGTGTCGGGTCACCAAATGCTCCGCCACGCACTTTGTCAAAACGTAGTTGTTGGGGAATCCGAATTCGGCCTTGACTTTGAGGGCCAGTTGTTGATCTCCCATCATGGAATCGTACAGGTCCTGTGGATCATACTTTCCAAGCGAAAACAATGCTTCTGGCATCGGATTTTCATCGGTTCCTGGCCCTGGATTGACGAATGCAGTCGAGCAATGTACAAAACGGGTGCAGGTGGACCATTTGGAAGCCAATGCTTGCAGTTGCAGAGCAGGAGAGATGTTGATCCCCGCCGACTCGGGAAGAGGTCTGTTGAAGTTGACATCTGCGGCACAGTGTACCACGTGAGTAATCTGCGCATCCGCTAGCATCTGTACAGTGTCATCGGACATTCCACAGTTTTCGTCTTGCAAATCTCCAGATTGAGCTGCCATGACAACATCATCCCATTGCTTTTTGTAGGGCGCAAACATGGGTTCATCACGAATCTTTTCCAGGCGTTCGGCTGCTGTCAGATTTTTGCGAGCTTTGCCTCTCGCCATAACGTAGACCTTGTGGGGCAATGCTGTTTTGCCATCTTCCTCTGCCTGAGCAATTTCTCGTAGTAGCTGAAAGAGAAAGGCTCTACCAACATAGCCAGTGACCCCCGTCAAGAGAAGTTTGAAAGCCTTTTCATTGTCGTGGATTTCTCTTTTCCAAAGCTGTGTCAAGCCTTCCGGGTTTGTGATTTTATTCAAGTCGGAAATGAGGTCTGCTAGGGATTCCTCCTTCTTGACAATATTGGCAATGTGGGAGGCGGAGGTTGTAGCCTTTCGGAGTGTAGGTCCAGCGTAGACGTCCACAAAAAGGGCAAAGCAGGCCAGGAAACCAACCACAGAGGCCCCGAGGACAGCAACGGAAGCCGCGAAGGCTGCTGTCGATGGAATCAATCTCCACAGCAACGCAACAATGAGCGCAACAATACTGCCCAGCACGAGGGGAGGCACCGACACACGGTTGTTGAGTTCACCTCGCGAAGCGGCCGAGTCATTGGAAATGCTACACATGCTTTTCTCCTGCTTCCTTCCTTCTCTTTCTCTATGTACCTAGCAGTTGCTTGTTGTTGCGTAAGTCTTGGTGATATCTTGTTATGCGTGTTGTTTTGCAAAGATGAGGACAATAATCAAAGACCAACAAAGCCGACACCGAGAATTCTGTGGGATGGTGAAAATGGTGGGGCCGTCAAGAAGACGAGCCACATCCTATTTTTGGCTGTTGAAGTGAAGGTGCATTGTTTATCGCTATCTTTTCTGACACGTCACTAAAGCCACCAAGCAAATGCCTATTTTTCAACATGACTCGTCTGTTTGGCGACGAGGAGCAGCTCCTTGGAAATGACGTTGCCCGTGTCCACTACTGCTCGCTTCCGTGGCAGTTTGGATTTAGACCATAATCCGTCTTCCGTGGAAGCCCACCTCGCTCACCTCATTCCCTCAAATCCTTACCGTACTAGTACGGACTACCGTAGCCAGTGGGATTGCTCTAATCTTCTGTAAAACCTGTTGCGTATCTTATTTTTATTGTTAGGGGGGCTTACACTAGGCCCGTCCTAAGTGGGCGTACTCGTGCGCCTGAGGTATATGGGTTCGTCACGGCACCGTTCAGCGGATCGTCTGACGAGGTGCAGCCTTTAAAATAAAATTTCGTTATTTTTTTAAATCTTATTTTTATTGTTATTCATCATCTTCCAAGCCACCCGTTTTCGTTGGCATCTTTCCTGTTTTCATTTTCTCTTCAGCCATTGCGAGTTTGGATTCATTCCTTTCCTCCTCGTTCTCCTCTCAGAGGACATACATCGTCCCGACAAATAAATAAAGATGAGTGGACGTCGTCGTGAAACCATCAAGCTTTCTCTGGGCCAACGGCCAACTGTGTGTCTGCCCATTTGATGAATCTGGAGGGTCTTGCCGCCACAAGTGCGAGTGGAGGTGGCCAACCCATTTGCGATCCTCTCGTCACTCATCGAAGAGATTTCGCAAATCAGGTTTGGGTACCACGGGTCTTGCTGGTGGATGAATCTCATCGGATACAACGACAGCCAAGAGCAACACAAGATGCTGCTGCTGTCAGTGATGCATCAACCACCCTACAACAACAAACGCGGCTCCCACGTGGAATGGACCGTTTCAACAGGTCAACCTGGATGCATTTTCCTTTGATATGGGGACAATGATGACGGGGTCGGCTGCGGAAGACATGGTAGTTACCAACTTTAGCTTGAACTCAAATTCTTTGGGGGTACCACAGAATCCGACACAGCCGTCGCCTTCGTGGGTATCCTCCTGGCAACAAACGGCCAATCAATTGGCGTATGCACCTTATTCGCAATATCGAGTGTCGGAGCAAGAATACCAGTCTTCTTTGAATTATCAGCAGCAGCAACAACAATCATCGTCAACGCAGGCAGATACGACTTCTTCTCGGCATTTCAATTGGGACGATCTAGGGGAGGAACCAAAGGAAGACGAGGAAGAAATGGAGGCACTTCGAGAGCGACAACGACGGGAACAACACAAACAATGGGAAGGGGAACGACGGCAACACGAAGAGCAGTTATCGAATCTGTGGCAATCGCAGCCATCCAACGATGCTGCTGCTGAAGGTGATAACAAAGGGGATCAAGCTGGGGAATTGGATTCCAGGCCAACAGAAGCTGATTTGTCGAAATTGTCTTGGATGGACTATTGGATGCCACCGCATCCGTCTCCATTGACAGAGTGTACGTATGGATTGCCGTCGACATCGGCGGCATCATCTCTGGAAGCACCTCCTCTCCACGCGTTCAACATTGCCAGTCACAGTGGCTACTCCAAAACTATATTGGAAGACTTTTGGGAAAAGATTCGACATGAACTAGAACGCATGGACGCCTGCCAGGGGTTTTCTATTCTTACGGAGGGGAGCGGTATCTATGCGGGTATGACGGACTGGGTACTGCAAGAACTACAGCAAGAGTGTCGTGCCGCTGGTCGATGGGTCTTTCATGTCGCAGAGGGAGATGACCATGACCAGCAAGAAGAAGCGTCTTTGGATGCAGGCAACCAAGAAAACGCCTCTCCACGACGACGCAGCACGGAATTATCACGTGCGCAAGCGCGAGTTCGAGGCAGTGTCCAAGGAGGTTTGGCTCTGGCGGGTTTATCCGATCATTCACACGTAATGGTGCCGTTGACCTTGCCCTCCAGGCAAACTTCAGTGTTCCGTGCAACTGCCGAATTGGCCATGGCGTTGGAAACGGTAACGCTTCCCTATCGTTGCCAGTCCTCTTCAGACAAGACATTGGTCGGATGGAATTCAATGAGTGGATACGAGGAAGGAGCTAGTCCGGGTGGAATGACAATGGGAGATTATCTGACCTCGCTGCAACCGTCTCCACGTTATTCATTGTTGGAGTTAGACGCAGTCATGACATCTGAGAATCGACAAGGTCTTGGTCAATCGCTGGTGGCGGGGACTAGTGTGGAACGAGATCCCCGAATGCGTCGACCTCAAAGCTCAATGTCAACGGAGTATCCTGGTGTCTGGTTGTTTGATGCACAATATCCAGCATCTCCTGGACTTCTAACCAGTCTGTCTCCCAGGCACGTCGCCAAACAGGACAGATCTCTTCATCACCATTATGGTCTCTCTACCTGTTTGAGGCGTGCACAGAGCTCGGGAAGTCCTTCGTTGAATGACAACCAGCAGCATTTGACATGCCTGATGGAAGGTATGGGAATTCGATACAGACCTGAAACAGCGTTTGGGCTGGTTTGTCACCAGGACTTGAACAAGTTGACCTGCGCTAGTCATCGCTATGGCGCTGGCTCTTACTGGCAGTATCTGATGGGGGCGGGTGTCGAAATTCCAGTTCTAAGTGTGCTGGGCAACACAACTCGAATGTATCCACATTTGCACGCTGTTGCCAGCCAAATGAAGTCAGCCTTGAGATCGTCAAAGACCAAGGGGTTTTATCAGCGCGAAGTCATGACTGGTACCTTGCCAGAGGTCGATGATTGCGACGAGGCACTGGAGCAATGTTGGGACTTGCGTGATGTCTACGAACCGCCAAATGGGAGTGGTCTAGATGAAGGGGAAGGCGGTCAATATCTGGACGAATGAGGGGGAAATCGAGGTAGGTCACCCGTTCGCTCATTCGTTGTCTGGCTGGGTTTGGCAAGCGCAAAAGTCGATGAATTCCCTATGACGATAGTTCCGTCGGGCGGTCTGAGCAACCTCTGGTTGCTTTGTTGATTCGACGTGAATGTGTACAAAAATTCAATTCCGAGGGATTCATGTAACTTTGCAGCCACCTTCCTGGCTTTTGACAGCTCCTTTGACCAAGGTTGTGCCACCATCCATATGACGATGATTTTTTTATTTTATCTACATTCTCTGACACAACTGTGCTTGAAGAGTGAAATCATTACGGATGGATAGTTGGCAGAACAGCTCCTGTTCATCGTGAAGTTGCATTCATATGATGTTGTTCACTGACTCAATTTGTCACTATTGCTTGTTTTGTAGGTTCTGTCTCGGTTTGCTTGGGAAGTCCAATTTTGTCTATGGTAGCTAGAGTAAACGGGAGCCTTTGGTACTATAATAACTATAGTTCCTTACTATTCAGTCAGTCCAATGATTTAGCTAGCTAGTATCCATGCTGGAGGATTCCTCCTGAACCAAGCGCAAAGACATGCCAGGCAAAGTAGCAAGCAAGAATGACGCAACAGATCAGCAAGATCTTTTTCGTGAAGGCATCGGCGGCTTGGTCCCACGCCTGGGTGCCTTTCACCGTTGACACAAGCGCATTATTGAGTCTGAATACCTCTTTACCTTCTTGAATCAGCGCTTGCTTTGATTCTGCAGATAACTCGAGTTCCTCGTTGAAGATAGACTTGACCTTTTGGAACACCCCCTTATTGCTCATGCTTGCTTCATCCTTGACTTTGAAGACCATTACTCCCTCTTCTTGATTGTTGGGGAGGCCCATTGCTTTTCGCACCATTCGGGAAATTATTTGCCCCCCTGCCAATACGCCTCCATTCAAGTGATAGGCGTACGCCAATACTCGCACAGGATCCTCCTTTTCGAGTTTCTCCAGGTGTTCCACGTATTCTTTGATCACGGCGTTTTCACCATTTTTCCACGCCTTTTCTAATTCTTGACGGCGATCCCCAGGGAGATAGTATTCCAAATCGGAACGGAAGCCAGGGGTTCGACGGAGAATATCCATCATGGGATGCAGCTTACCAATCTGTGGGTGCTTGGAGTTGCGATCAATGATGCTCTCCATTGTCTCGAAAACCGGAAGGAAGAGACCCAAAGCCTCCCCATAGAGAGCAGGGGAAGTGAGAACCAGCGCCAGTTTCAGATTGACGAGTTTATCAGACTTGTCATGATCGCTTTTGGTTGCAGCGCGCATTTGATCTGTTAGCAGCGGAGTTGCCGACATGGTGATGGATTTGAGGATTGTATAAGAAGAAGAAGAAGAAGCAGATGATGTGAGACCACGAGATTTTGAGAAAGATCCTTGGATTGCAATAATTTTACCCCCATACCAGGTAGTCTAGTCCACTCCCCCAGAACCCATTTTGACCCCCCAAAAGACACTCACAAGGAGCCGAGTGACAGTGTGACAATCTCCAAAGCCGAGCCGAGCGAGACAAGCTTCTTTGTCATCCATGCGAGAGATACACACGGCTCCGAGAAAGTCCGAAATTCATTTTCGGAAACGAGCGCCTGACAGTTCGTCAATCCGGCGCTCGCCCTCCTCGCCATTTTGACCGTTATCGTCTTTTTCCCTTGGAATTGATCCTCCCGAGCATTCCACCCCACTGGGCTCAGCTTGGCGGCAGAACGACTCAGGAAAGGCGCGAACAGCAGGTTTTGAAGCTGGCTGTTGGGTGGTGCCCGTGAAGATCTACTACGACGCTAGCTGGCTAGCAGCCTAACAAAAGTGAATGCAAGAGGAACAAATATACCCTTGCTAGCTTGCCTCCACCGCCATTAAAAATTGAATTACACTCCAGCCAACACACCTGCCTCCGCTACTGCTTGGTCCTCACAATTTCAGTGTTATCCGTGGTCCTCTACACTCACAATACAAGCGCGAGCGTCGAGTTTCTTCCCTGAAGATAACACTGTCTCATCAATCTCATTGCAATCGTACTTTTCTTCGTCCCAACGACCGCACTTCTCATTAGCAACAACAAGATGGATGACAAAGACGCAACACCTCGTTCTTGGCAACTCGCTGGAAGGATGGATGAAGAAAGCACACCAGCACGCACTACTAGTAGAAGCAAAAGTCAGAAAGCCAAGCTTCCACAAGCGGCAAAAGAGGGGACGGCAGCAAAGAAGCGTTCGTCCGATGGTGATGGATTATCCTGCGCCGGATCCATAACCGCAAGACGGAAAAAGGCCCGTAGGCACCGCAGCAATAGCAAGGAAAACCTCTTGGCGGCGGATGACAAGAAAACCAGCGGCGGCAGCCCACTCAGATCCAAAAAGTCTATTGCCATTTCACCAGACTCCCTGTTTACTCCAAACACCGCCGCTTCCACACCCGCATCTTCCAGCAGCAACAAGCTGTGCGAAGAAGATGACAGCTCATTATCCAGATCCGAGATTCTTGCAACAGTGGGTTTTCCTCCCAAAGTCCCTGATCTCTTTGCGTTCCCGAAGCATGAACCTACTTCTTGCCAATGTCATCATTTCATGACAGTCAACAAGCCGGTCTGCTTGGGTCGATGCAATACTGTCGCGCATCTCCATAACTATGGATGGGAATACAAGGCGCTCTTGAAGAATGTGGAAGACAAGGAGTACCAGGATGTGGAGCCGCAACAACTGGATGACAAGGATCCTTACCACCTCTTGACCCTCTCGGATATTGTACCCCCTCCCGAGTTCCGCACTCGACAACGGACGAAATGGGCTGTAGCTATGGACTGGACACTGGATGGTTACATGGATCGACAGCCCGACATGGAGAATCGCATGCGGGGTATTCTCATGGATTGGATTATTGAATTATCGGAGGAGTACAAGCTGTCTCCCATGACCTTCCATCTTGCCGTTACTCTGATTGACAAGAGCATGGCGTGTACACCCACAGAGGAGGAGGCAGAAGGCAAGGGAATGATTGGGCACGGCATGACCATTCCTAGAGACATGTTGCAGTGTTTGGGATGGTACGTTCAGAACGCGACCGCACAAACACTTGATACATTGCTTCCTTGAATGCTTACTCACTCGTTCCTTTCGTTTCTGTTTCGTTGATTCCACAGCGCCTGTACCTGGATTGCTGCCAAGATGGAGGAAACCCATCCCCCTTCGGTTGATGACTTTGTCTACATTTCGGACAATATCTATCGAAGGGGGCAGATTCTGGACATGGAACTGGATGTTTGTTCGGCACTCAAGTTTCATTTGCAGCATGTGACTCCCGTGCATTATGCCCATGAGTATCTCCTGGCCAGTCAAGGAGGACCCTGTCGACCCAATAGCCCCACAGGGCCTGCCTTTCACTCTCTTTTGCGCAACATGGTCCACTATCTCTTGGAGCTTTCGCGGGTAGCCTACGAGCTTGTGCCTGTCAAGCCAAGCCTCGTGGCGGCTGCCACAGTGTTCCTTGCGAGGGCGACCTTGGGGATCTGCAATGATAGCGTCGAAGAAGACTGTGACGAACGGGAGCAGAACAAATTCTGGAACAAAACGCTACAATGCTACACAGGGTACTCCGTCGAAGAACTTAAAGATACTGTCCAGGTGCTTCACAGATACCATCAAAAGGCCGAATCATCACAGCTAAAGGCGGCCTTCACGAAGTACAGCAAAAGCAAATATATGCACGTGGCCCACAAGACAGTCCTGCGAGAGGAAGACTTGGAGCTTGAGGTTTAGTGGAAGCGGAAGTCGATACAATTATTGAGGTTCCAATATTGCTGGCAGTGCGTGATATGGCCTGTAGATGATAAGAGAAAGAATTGAACTCAGCAATGATCAAAGGAAACTACTACATGTAGCTAGCAAGCCACGGTTCGTTCCGGTGACTGAGCAGCCAGATCTACTATGATGTACTAGTATAGCGGTGCACAGCGTATCAAGTGCTGCGCGTCTTCTCTCTATCAAGCACAAGAACCCGGTACGGTAGTCCCCTCACCAACTCTTGGAGGGTCTCTACATGTAACATCGACCCAAGTTCGCTCGTTGCGAAAGCAGCCAAAGTAGTACAGTATTCTTGGATAGATCTTTGCTTACGATCGGCCTTGGCGAGAGAGGCTCGGCGAGAGGCAAGTCTTGTGGTACAGCACTATTCATGAATACGGAGAAGGAATGGCACCGTACCTCCACGGTCAGGTCATGGGAAATGGGAAGCTATTAATAATAGGTACATGTGTAGTACCAGTAGGGAATGTGGCGTGGCATGTTCAGTAAACCGGTGGAAATCAGAAAACTGTGACCGAGAGCCATCAAAGATAAGTGTTAACCTACTGCACAAGCTACTAGCTAGCCATCAATATTACCCAGTAGCGGAGCAAAGCGGCCAACCAAAAGACTTAGTGAGCCACATGCGGGTGGAGACCCGCCATGTGAAGGGATGAAGGAGATCCGTGATGAAATGACGATGGCGCCTCTGAGGCAAAAGGATCTCCTGCGGCCCCACCAAATCCTTTCGCGCTGATGATTGATGAAATCGGCGCAGCTTTTAACACGGAAATCTCCAGATCTGCCACCAGAAGCCAGCACTTGGGCACTTCGGGTATCGGTCACGGATGATGCTTTAATCGTGCCTAAACTAACAAGCAGGGAACCAGAACAAGCAAAGACAGAGAATGTCCGCAAAGCCAAGTGGGATCGCAGCAGTCCAAGTTGTTCTTCCAGGAGTGCCAAAGCTTTGCTGCAGCGGTCCTTGTTACCACAATCCCAAAGAAAGAAAAACGATCTCATAAATTGGACAATCGAAGCAAACATGTGCAGCATCACCCAAACTTCTTCTACCCCCGAGAAAACTCGCCAGGGGAAAAGCATTTCGACGGCTCTCATCGTAGCTGGGCTGATTCTAGGAGCGCTATGGTCTCGTGGTCTCCCTCTTGGATCATTGCCGGTTACCTACATGAGCACTGCCTTTGCAATGGTACTTGGCTTTTTGACCTCGCTGGTCTGGTTTGTCAACTACTACAACGGACAGAAACTCCGAGAATGTTCCCCAATGACGAAACACTTGGCGGCAATGTCCAGAAAGACAGCCCCTGCCGAATGGGTTGTTGACTTGGACAAGATTGCAAACCCTGAAGGCTTGAGCCAAATGTGGAAGGAGGAAATTCTTAGCAAAGATGAAAGCTACAACATACTACTTACTGGCGTGACAGGATACGTTGGCCGGGCTTTTCTATTCCAGCTTCTTCGTGAGATTGCGAATGGCGAAGCGGCAACTGGAAAGAAAGTTCAGCACAAGGTGTATGTCATGGCCCGTGCAAAGGCCCGAAAGAACCTCAGTGCAGCTCAACGACTGCTGAAGCTCAGAGATGAACCGATGTTCGCACCGTACACCAAGGAATGGGACGAGGTGGTTATCGCAGCACAATCGGGTGACCTCCAGGAAGTCAACTGTGGAATGTCAGAGGAAACGCTGGAGATGCTTGCTGGTGCCAAGATCACTCATGTAGTCCATTGTGCTGCTGATGTGAACTTCAACCGCCCACTTGCTGACTCGGCTGGAATCAATATTTCACCTGCGCTTCAGCTGCAGGGTCTGGCTCAACAGTGGCCTTCTTGCAGGCGCTTTGTTCACTGTTCCACCGCCTTTGTGAACCCAGGACACGGTTCCGATGAAGCACCAATGGCAGAGCAGCTCTTCTCTCTCGGGAAGTATGACCCTCAGGCTCTCTACGATTCTATGCGCGGGGACCAGAAGCTTGCTTTGGCCGTCAAGGAGGAGATGGCCTTTCCTAACAACTACGTCTTCACCAAGTGTGTTGCAGAGCACCTTGTTGTTCGCAACAACAAGCAGATGGAGCTCAAGATTGTTCGTCCTGCTATTGTAGGTCCTGCTTGGGCGCTCCCCGAACCAGGTAAGTCAACAGCCGATACCACAACACTTTCCCATCAGTTTGTTCTCACACCATTCTGCATCTTTTCTGACCACCGTACAATATACAGGCTGGAATGGCGAGAAACCTTCTACCATTACTGCTTTGCTCCTTCTCTGGGGCACACGTGTCATCCGATTCGCCCCATTGACAAAGCGGGGTATCCCCATGGTTCCCGTTGATGTTGTCGCTGTTGCTATCATTCACGCCATGATCACACCTTCACCCGCAACAGTCAAGCCGAGTGGTGAGACCCCAGTCAGTATCCGGAACCTGATCTGGTCGCACAAGTCCCCACGTCAATGCATTGATGGAATGCTTATGGCCAACGTGTGTCTTCCCTCGGCTGTGATGAAACACCACTTCTCCGCTACGGAAAATGCCATTTCCTTCGCCCTCATCAATACTGTGTACAAGATCCCCCAACTGTTCCCAATCCTGCACCTGATCTTCAACCTTGGTCCACTCTATGTCTTGCAGCTGGTTTGCTGGACCGTGAAGACCCTGGGCATCAAATCTATCCTGGAGCAAGTTCCAGTTGTCAAGCTCCTTCGATTCTCTGACATGCTCGCACTCTACAAGCCTTACATGGGACGAGAATACTACTTTGAAAGCAGTTTTGATGTGCCAGAAACCTTTGAGAATTACCAGTACTGTGCTAGCTTGTTCAAGGCCACGCATTCATTTTGGGAGTCGCTCTTCCCAAACACCGTGGAAGGCCTTGGAGAGACGGAGCTTCTCCCACAAGGTAGATTTGATCTTTGGTGGGCATTGACTTTCCCGAGCAAGGACTTTGCCAATAGGATGAAAGCCTACCTCAGTTGCAAGATCCTCAGGGAAACCCATGGAAGCGCCTCTGTTGACATTACTACATTGGGACCTGTCTCAACCACCATGATGGAACTTGAACCAACTGCTACGGAAAGGAAACATTGCGTGTTGCTTGCTTCCAAGAATGAGTCTCCAATTGACGATGTCTTGACCAAGTTTGTAGCCTTCTCCACGGCAGCCCTCGGAATCGATGTCCCTGCTACCGTTGGTCAGTCTGACTTTGAAGACGAAAGGCTTGGCGACAAGCTCGCGGAGATCAAGTCTCAATACGACCGTCACGTGACTCTGGCCGCAACGCTTCAAGACTCACCTGCATCGGAGACTTTCCTTCGTTCCCTCGTGAACAGTGCTGGCAAGCAAGACTACACAGTGGTTCCTCTTTGCATGGATTACGACCGAGTCAAGGAAAGTGATCTCAAGAAGCAAGACTTTGGAAATGCAACCGACCTTGGAATCTGGGATATGTTGTCGCTCTACTGGAAGGTCTGCATCGAAGGCAAGCACTGCAAAGCATTCAGTGGTGTCAAGATCTCCTTTGGTGAACCCAGCAAGCTGAGTGTCCAATCGGACTTCCAATCTCTGATTCGCAACGTTGAGCGTGAGCACTGCCGTCTGTCGTCGATTTCCAGCACTCATCTTGCAGCTGCTGAGGCTGATTTGAAAATTCCAACTGAGACACTCATAGGTGCTGCCAAGACACTTGGTGTTAGCGTCAGTGACTGCAGTTCCGACGACGAGGATTCTCAGTCCCAGCCTTTGACGCCTCCGCCAAGCCCAGGCAACTGGAACCTTCACAAGCAATGGATCCCCAACTTTGCCCCCTACCTGAATGAGTCGCATCCCGACTGGGCTAGCTATATGGCCGGTGGCCAAGTTGTCCCAAGCAGCGCCCCCCGAAACGGCGAGATAGAAGCTGTCCTAAAGGCAATCTGCTCTGTGTTTGATTCAGCCGACTATTTGGCCACCAGGGCCAAGCTCTCACTGCACGAGAAGAACAAAGTCAATCCCACCAGGGAGGAGCTGGTCAAGGAAATGGAATCTCTCGACGGCGAATTGAAAGAAGCAGCAAGTTCCTTTATCTTTGAAGCAGCTGCCTCCATTGCCCTTGGTAAGACTTTGGCTTCTGTTGGAACTGGGACCTGTGAAGAGAAGAAGGACTACTACAGCTACTAGAGAGGAATCTTGCTTGCCGTGATGGGGCTCTAATTGGACCATCGAAGGAACAGGCTTGCCAATGATTGACAGCTGATGCTAGTATGTGTGTATGTGCTTTGTGAAATGAAGAAAGATAGGACTAGTAGAAGAATAACTTAGAAAGAATAGCAACTTCGAATATTCTTGCGACTGCCTTTTGCACTGTATGGATGGAGTTGCTCTCGTGCCCCTCATTGCGTTCTTCAATGGCACATGTACTCTGGAGAATGGCGCTCAGCCTGGCTTCATCATGTGCATGAACAACTAACTGCTGGTTTATTTTTTCTTGTTGTACTTGGCCAATGCGGGGACTGTGAATTTGTAGGGGACGCCAAAGTTGCTGACGGCTCGAATGACATAGTCTGGGCTACTCCAAGATCCCTTCTTGCTGATGGGGTATCCTTGGCCAATACGGATCCTCTCCTCTTTATCTTTCTTTCCTTTGAAGGTAGCGTAGGCCACATCTCCACTGGGCGCCATGAACTCAACAAAAGCTACCTCACCGTTTTTTAACTTTTCACCAAATTCACTGAATGGAACACTTGGCTCATTCAGCTTTGACGCATCGAGACCTCCTCCGAGATCGATGTTCTTGAGGTTGTCGATTAGTGAGTTGAAAGTGCCAATTTCTCTTCCGACAGGTGTGCCTGCTCCCAGTGCAGCATTGGCAGGTTGTGGGTTGGCGGCGGTGACAGTTGCAGCAGATATCAAAGCAGCAGCTCCTCCGAGCAGCAAGGAACGACGGTCCGTTCCCGCGGTGGTTGTTGGCTGTGGTGCCTTGCTATCCAATAGAGAGAATCCAGAGGAAGCCGTCACGAAGGTGGCGATGATAAGACTCTTGAGTTGAACCATTTTGTGCTGTTGATTGGATCTTTAGAAAATCGAGAAAATGAGAAAGAAACTATGCTGTAGCTATTCTAGTAGAGATTAATTGTGAGGCCGAGGAAGATGATGGGGCCTGGCATATCATTCAACAGGTCCTCTTTGCTTTTTGATTTGTCAGATCGGGTGTCAAGGTAGCCAAGTGCGGTAGTGGGTTGAAGTGCCAGGATCTTTGGTTCAGCCGTGCCTTGTGGAGATCTTTGAGTACCGTACCACTTCAGAGGCACTACGGGTACCGCTCGACACCAAATCTATCTTTTGACGCTCAAGATTCAATCCCTTCAATCCATGCAAGCATTCCTCCTTCAGCTCCTCCTTCCCAGCAACATGTACCACCTGGAGCGATTGTATTCTTGCCCCTGGCCACAAAACAACTAGCTGGCTAGAGCTGTGTGCGCGAAGGCGATTTTTGAGGTTTTGCTTTGACTACCAATAGATTGGTAGTTTTAAAAGGAGCCTTCGTTTCCACTATTTTAATTTATTGCACGCACAGCTCGTACGGTACCTACCGGTACCGGTAGCTGTGGTGATTGAGTCTCTTCTCCAGCCGAGCTACACACAGCAGGAATCTTGGTCATTTCGGGCCGGGAAGGGGGCCTACTAGATGGATCCAGGGTGAAGTCCAGGAGTTTGGTCTCCTGTGGGTCCGTCCTGCCAAAGTGTATGGTACCTAGACAGTGCTTGGTCGTAACGAAACGGACGCTCATTTTGTATGAATGATTCGATTTAATCAAGAGTATCTGATGTCTTCAATTCTATCTTTTTAACGAAACAACTTTCACTCAGATCCCTTTTTGTGTTTGAGGTCGGCATGTTACAAGCAGTTGCATTCTTTAACTTGCACTACAAAGCCGGCATTCCCAACAACTGTGCCATTTTTCGCAACTGATCTTCATTTTGAAATATGACTTCCCCATCCTGTAATCGCTTCATTACGAGGACGTCTTCTTTCATGTGTTTGGCACTTTTGGTTCCCGACAAGGGAGTTCCATATCCGAGCGACATCAAAAAGGCATACAAGAGTGTTTGTGGAGTGAGGTCACGTTTTTGTGCCATGTCCTTGATTTCCGGGCTTTGCAGTGCCTTGCCATTTGCCGTGAGCGTCCAAAAGGATTGATATTTGATTCCGTTCTTGGCACAAAATTGTCGCAGGTCGGTATCGAAATTGCTGTCGGCATAGAACCGATTCTGCAATGCCCATGGTTTGTGTTTGGCTTGACGGAAAATGGTTTCAAATTTTTCTAGATTGTAGCAATTGGAGACTCCTAGCATTTTGACGGTTCCATCGTCGACCAATTCTTCCATGGCTTTCCACACCGTGAGTGTCTCGGCCATGGTCCGCAGCGGCGAATGCAGGACGAGTGAATCGATATAGTCTGTTTTGAGGTTTTTCAAACTGGATTCTACGGATTGTTGTACTTGTTCTCGCAGTTCTGCATTGGGATCATACGGCAGCGTGGCACCATTTTGGTTGCTGTCATCTGGTTTTTGATGCGGCGAGAATTTGGTTTGCAAAAAGAGTTCGGCTCGATCCAGTTTCAACTCGGCGGCTGCCGTCGTCCATCCTTCTCCAACTCCAGCTTCTCGGTAATGCTTGGGCTGAGCAGCCGTATCAATGTAGCGAAAGCCGGCGCGAATGGCTTCTTGGACGTAATAGGCCGTCTTGTCTTCTTTCCACGCTGTTCCATACAACAGGAATGGTTTGTCTTGTTGTAACAGACGAAAGGCCGCCTTTGGGTTTTGAAAAGGGTGAGCCACTTTGACTTCGTGTTGCTGCACCAAGACAAAGGCCACCACGATCGAACCAATCACCGCCACGGCCAACAGGTTCCAAAAATGCTGCGCAATATTCATTTCCAGGCCCGATGTGCGACGCACACGTTTGCGAGTTGCTCTCTTCATTGCATTCACTTCTACCATGGCTTTGGAACTAGTCAAACTGAAAGGCAAGCACGCACGCACACACACACAATCAGATATAAAGTACAGTAGATCCGTGTACAAGACGCTGCTAAGTATTGGCAAGCTTTGTTTGTGGACCGTCGACTGCAACACGATGCTTTTATGCTTTTGCCCGTTGGAGGTTGGAGGAGCCCTCGAAGCTTGTGGAAAGATTTTGGATCTTTTCAAAAAGCCAGCAAGGTGGCGAACAAATATAGCGCCAGGCCCTGGAGACCGACCGGGTAGTACCGGTACCTACTCGAGTGAGTTGGTTGGTGGCATCGGTGCAGGACGTGGTCCAGGACTTGGTCCAGGAGTTGAGATGGGCCTGGAGTGGGCTCTGGTGTTGGTCTAATAGTAGGTGTGGGGAACTGGATGGAGTGGGTTCTGGTGTTCGTTCAGGTGTGGTTTTTTTGAGATGCCAGTAGATCCTGGAGGAAACATTCAACAATCAGCTGGGTTGTAGCTGTGATGCAGCCTTTTCTGTTTTTTTACATATTATAGGTGCTTGCAAACAATGAGAATAGCGGGGCTCATACTGCCTCTGAGCGACCAGCCAGGTAGTCACAGATCCATGGTTCCGTGGGTGCTTGCTTTGCGTGCAGCTTTCCACAATGATTCTCTAAAACCACCTGACTCATGGCCAGAGCTTGCCCTACGGTACCGGTAGTCTGAATTGGGGTGTACATGTAGGTTGGGACCCCTCGGCTGAGACCTGCTTTAAGAATCCACATCCAAGGCACAAGAAACATCGAGGAGGAAAGTCTGCATCCCGTTTCCAGTGGCAGGACCATTGAAACACTTACATGTGTACTTTGATGACGTCCACAGCAGTGTTTCGGTATCTGGACTTTGGGTCCTCCGGTGACGTGTCCTGTTGATGTCATCAAACGTCAACGGAGCCGCTCCTGGAAGACAACTTTGGAGATTCGGTAGATGCGGTAAATTATAGTTTTTATACAAAAATAAAGAGTAAAATATAACCTTAATCCTACCTTTACCTAAGCTACCCTTCTAAACCTGTCTTACTGGTGAGAACTCCAACGCACTTTGACACCACTGAGATGGGCGGACCTCAAATTCTCGCAATGCAAAGAGTTCTGTTTTTTGCTAAAGAAGTCATTGATCTCATTTTTCTTTTGCTTCCGGCTTCCGGCAATCATACTCCGCCTCCTTCTGGCTTCTCTCACGTCAAGCTCTACAAGGTGCATTTGCAGTTTTTGTTGAGCTGAGTTGAACGGACTTCTGCTGCGAAAGATCTTTGCCTTTAGGCTCTCTGTGGAGGACAAGGAAGAGTCACTCACCTGCCTTTGCCTGCAGACAAAAGGGTCTTTTCTACAAGTGCCTCTAATAGTCACAAGAAACCCACAACAAACTACATGTACCTTGGATCAGACTTGTCCAGTCCATCCAATATCTGTTATTGAGGCCAAGATAAAGCGAAGGAAGACGGACCAAAGATGGTAGAGTTTGGCCTGAAGCTACAAGATAACCGAGTCTCTGAATGGAGCAATCATTACATCAACTATGATCTCCTAAAGGCGCTACTGAAAAAGGGCAAGCAAGCCTCTAAGAGATACCAAGAACAAGCCGAAAAGAAACCAGAATTAGCGAAGGAAATCAAGGCCAATTTTGATAAGGGAGTCCATACCTTTATTACCAAAACACCGCCCATGTCTTCGGAAAAACTAAGTGGATTGGTCAAGGAAAGCATCTCAGGAAACAGTCTCGATATCAACAACAACAACAACAGTAAGGTCGATGAAAAGACCAAATTGCTCGCACAATCCACTCCCGACAAGCACCAAAAACGCGTTGATTCCGAAGGTAACATGTCCTATGGATCGCGAGGATCACTCAGCAGCGATAGATCTCCTCGAAATTCCGTTCATGGAGTGCTCAGCTTGGCCGTGTCCAGTGTGTCCAAGTACTTTGAAAAGCAATACGAAACTCAATTGCGAGATGCTCTGGCAGAAATTGGAGCCACAGAACAGGAATTTGATACCCAAGTCATGCAGGAGGTAAGAATGAATCCAAAAGCTACAGAGTTGTATCAAGGAGAAAGTCTTAGCGCTTGAATGTTTCTTACTTGGGCTGGTTATTACCTCTGGATCTTGGATGGTGACAGGTAGCCAAAGTCAATGGTTTTTACGATTCCAAAGTGGAAGAACTGGAAAAAAGATTGGCCCTACTCACGGAAAACGTTGTCACATCATTGCGAGACCAGTATGAAGGCGACAAGCATAAGGATGGTGAAGACGAAGACCAGCATGGATTGGTAGATGATACGCTTTCACCGTTGCCACCCTCTTCCCGAAAACAGAGACATTCAAAATTGCCATCCTTGGATTGGAGAGATCTGGTAGCTCGTATCAAGCGCACTGGCTCGAGACCGGAAGAACCGGTCCCAAAAAAAGAAAAACCACAAAAAGTACTCGATGTCGATGAACTTGATGATGACCCAGATTCGTTGGTCCGCGACAAGAAATTGGTCAAAAAGATTGCCGAAGCAGATTCCATTCAACGAGCACTGGTCGATCAATACCGCACGGCCAAACTATTGCATAACTTTGCTATTATGAATTACACTGGATTCGTCAAAATTATCAAGAAGCACGACAAATCATTGCCGCACGCAAAGGGAAGATTCAAGGAACTCACCAAAGCAACGGCCATTTGCAACGAGGGCAAAGCAGTGGAACAAATGGCCGAACGATTGGAGCTACGATATGCCAATTGGTTCTGCGATGGCAATCATCGAGAAGCCTACGCGCAGCTCTTGCCCAAGCGAGGTGATGGATTGGAGACGGATTGGTCACAGTTGCGGTGAGTTTTAATCAACAGCGAGTGATCGCATGTTGAAACTTGAAAACTCACAGACACACACGGTCTCTACACTGATGATGCATTACAGACTTGGATATCGGATGGGAATGTGTGCAGTCTTGGGACTGTGGGTCTGCTGGGACTGCATATGGGGGTTCGTGGCGAGCGGACACTCGACCATCGGTGGACGAACCGCATTCCCAGTTTTCCGTGCCTGTGGAGGATTGTTGCTATTGCAATGGTTCTGGGGTTGTAGTGTCTTTGTATGGACACGACACAGGTAAGTCGGTTACGGAGTTCGCGGCTTGGTCGCCCTCTGGTGTTTCTGCGTTTAGATTTCCCTCACGGCGGTTTCGGGGTCATTTTTGCTTTTGTTTCTCCCCCCGAAAGAGTGAACTACATTTATCTGTTTGATTTCGACCCAAGAATTGTATCCAGTCCCATTGCAATCTTCAATGAAGCAGTCGACAACACACTCATCTTTCTTTGGTGTATGCTACTCTATTACAAGGTACGCGTTATCCTATGTGGCAACCTGCATAAGGTCACAGTCTGAGTCGCATATTTTCCCTCTTTTTCTCCTTCAGGCTGGAGCCCACGACATTCCCGCCGTTGTTCCGTCGGGTGCGTTTCCGCTGATTTTGGTGCTGTACACTGTGTACAACCTGGTCTTCCCTTTACGCACAAGAGGCCCAATGTGGAAATCTATTTGGGCCCTGGTTTCTGCGCCATCAACGTCGCCGTCGTTCTATCATGGTTACGTTGGGGATATCTTCACCTCGATGGTAAAAGTGTTCCAGGACATTGCGTGGACCATATGCTTTCTCTTTTCCGGTGACTGGCTCATAAGTGAAGACCTCCATGCTTCAACAAAACATGAATGGGCTCACTCGTTTTGGTACAAGAACGTGCTCATGCCTCTGCTGTGCCTCCTACCACTTTTGTTCCGTTTCAACCAATGTTTGCGGAAGTTCCATGATACTGGTACGTTTTGAATATAATGTCAGGAGGTGATCAACGCTTGAAAGGAAAGGTGCTCATCACTATCTCTGTGACTGTTTGCACGACGCAGGAAAGCGGTGGCCTCATCTCGCAAACGCTTCAAAATATGCCTTGTCCCAGACAGTGACTCTGTTTGGTGCATTCCATCCACTGTATCTCATGCACAAATCCCCGGAGCACCGCAGCATAAATATGTTCCAAATCTTTTGGATGGCGGTGTTTGTTGCGTCGTCGCTCTACTCGTTCACTTGGGACGTTTTTATGGATTGGGGACTTGGCGTGCCGAAGTATCAATTCCTAGGTCCGAGGCTGATGTATCCAAGGCGAATCTACTACTATTATGTCATCGCGCTGGATCTAGGTGAGTGCCAGCCAGTTGCACGTTACGAACTTCTGACATCGAAATTTGCATCTCAATTTTTGTTACTCCTCGGTCTCCTCGGTATGCGCTTGGAAGTCCTTCGTTTTATGTGGGTTCTGACACTCCTGCCCCCACAATCAGGCGCCAGGTTTGAAGTACCTGCCTACTTGACCGCATTGGTAATGATGCTCGAACTGTTTCGGCGAACCATTTGGGGATTTCTGCGCCTTGAGAACGAGCACCGAAGCAACACAGCAGACTTCAGGCGTGTCAGCTTTGTCCCGCTGCACTTCAATACCGGGCACAACCACAAATACAACAAACAAGAAAAGCAACATAGAGGAGCGAGTGTATTGGCAGAGGTTGCCGTTGTGGCCGCAGTGGTGTTTGCTGTTTGCGTGTACAGCGTCGTGGCCGCCCAACATGCAACGCGCAGTCTGGACAATGCAGTGGATCTGTAACCTGCTTTCACAAAATAATAGACCATTACTGGAACATTCCAACTGGACGAGATCTGCTTGGAGTTCCCCTTGCAACGCCAGGTCTATTCTCCAGTGTGCTTCTCTTGATGTGTAGTTCCTTGTCTTTCAAGGCAACTTTATCGTCGTTTTGAAAGATAATTTGACGAGGCGATCTGTTTTGCCATTTGATCGTTCAACGTGCTACTGTACGCAACGCAACCCCCGAGGACAGAATCGGGAGGGAAACAACGGGCAGGTACATGTAGCTATTGCTGGTTGTTGTGCTCAAATTGTACATTCATCTTTTTGAGTGGATGACCTCCATTTCGACAGTGAGCGAGGTACGGAGGACGAGGATCCAGCAGACGCGAGACTATCGTACCGGTAGGTACGGACGGTTGGACAAAAGACTACTGTATCATTCTAACAAGTTTAGTTGCATAGAGCTGCTCTATGATACCGGTACGCCTGGCGTAATCATACAGCGCTCTCATCATTGCTCCCATTGGTAGTACACTCAAAACCTTCTTCGATGATGGTCTCGCATCTGTGCTTTTCTGTGAATCTATGGAACCTGATAGTTTCGATATCATCTCTCTCAATTCGCAACAATATTGTCGACTGGATCCTTCTGAGCCCTTGATACATGGACCTGCAAACACACATACGATACCATGATTGAATCAAAACAGCCGAGTACACTCGCATTCTCTCGTGAAAATCATTGGGGACACCTAGAAACGGGCCATCCTCAATCTCACGACGACCAAGGTAGTCGCGAACAGCGCTCTGGATGAGAGTTGCAGCACGATAGCGACGACTGATCTCTTCGCGGAAGTAATTGCGTGGCCTCTGATTGAGTTCATTGGGAACTGGCCCTGGCTGGGGCTCATATTCGGGCTCGTGTTCATGTTCGTGTTCGTGCTCATGCGCAGGCTCATGTTCGTGCTCATGTTCAGTGTCATAATCGGGCTCATGTTCGTGCACATGTTCAGGCCTCTCATGTTCGGGCTCATAATGCTGTGCGGGCTGATGTGCAGGCTCATATTCGGGCTCACGTTCAGCCTCATATTGGGGCTCCCCATATTCGCGTTCAGCTTCATATTCGGGCTCACGTTCAGGAGCCTCATATTGGGGCTCCCCATATTCGCGTTCAGCTTCATATTCAGGCTCGGCTTTATTTGAAGGCTCACGTACAGGCTCGTGTTCAGGCTGATGTTCGGACTCATTTTCCGCCCGTCGTCTGGATAGAGATCTTTCAAACATGGAAGAGCGCCGTAGCTTCTGACGCTGATCGTCGCAGTACTTTTCGATTGAGGCCTTGACAAGAAGAGATTTCTTCTTCGCTTCGCTCCACGTGTCCAGAATATAGTTTTCATTGGCGGTGCAATGGACAGAGACGTTACAGTAAGTATCATCCGCTGGAAATTCATGGTCAGAAAAGTTTATCGGAACGAGCCCTTTCCATTGTACCATGACCAAGCCATTCTTCACAAGAACGAGACCCTCATGCCAGTGGTACCCAACGTTGCAGAATGCCGCGTCTAAAGCAAGAATATGCGCAGTCTGTCTCGCAATTCGGTCGGTCGAAATCGTTTCGGGAGCGAAATCGCATGAAACACTCCATGTTTGCAGTAATAACCCTGCCAGAACTATTTGATCTCGGTGGGTCCTCCAAGCACTCTGAATTTGTGTCGCGAAGTCGCCATCGATTCCGGTGGTAAAAACGGATAATAGCTTGCGCCGTTGAATTGTTTGTTTCGCCCACTGCTGGACGGCAACGTTAAGAAAATCTCGCTTTGTTTCTGTGTCTCTTGCCCTTGCAGCTGCATGTCCTTCCTTCTCTCTACTGGGTGGTGTGACGGGGGGCAGAGGTGGTTTGTTTCGCTTCTGAGTACGTTGTGTCCACTTCTGTACTTTCCGCGCTCTTGATTTTTGTTTAATCGCTGCCAATTTGTCGAAGATGGCCCGATCCGAGGAATCGTTTTCCTTCTTCACTCTAGGAAACATGATGTCGAGATTCCTGTTCTGAACAACCACCTGTTTCAGGGGATTTCCACTTGGCACTGGGGCAACATTGCTGGATCCATCAATGTTGATCTTTTGAGTCCTCTCTTCGTCTCTCGTTGGATTCATCCTGGGGTGCATTGTATCACTGTGCTTGTTGTGAATCATCTGCTTCAAGGGGCTGCCAGTTGAAGTTGAGCCGGTTCCTTCGACATAGGTCTTCTGGTGTTTGTCTTCGTCTCTCGTTGGACTCATCCTGGAATACATAATCTCACTATTCTTGTTTTGAACCATTTGCTTCAAGGGGTTGCTACTTGGAGAAATGAGATTGCTTGACCCACCTAGATCTCTTGTTTGATTTTCATAGCTGTTGGCATGCCTGGAAATGGATTGCTGTCGCGATGGTATTAGTGTCAAGTTTTCCTCTTCATCCGGGTCATTCTCTTTGGTTCCCTGCGAGTTCAGATCTTTCTTGGGCATGTAAAAGCTCGGATTGTCTGTAATGGATGGAATCGACGGATATTTGTTTGGAAAGAACCTCGAATCATGTTTTGGTGCTGACTTTCGCTTCCTCTCTCTCTTGAGTGTCTCTAGGATGGAAATTTTCCGTCCCTTCTTTGTTGACCAGTCATTCCCGGAATCGAAATCAGTCTTTGGGGGCTCTTGGGTACGAGGCCGAAGGCGTGGCTGCTGTTGAGCGCCTTGTTGATAGTGAAGGTGAAGATTTTGGGACTGATGGTGCAGCGGGATATCAGTGACGGGCTGCAACGCGTACAGCTGAGGGGATCCAGTTGGTCCTTCCCCCGATCCATTGGAAATGAAGAATAGAGGCTGCTGCGACGGCGACGTCTCAATTGGCGATAGCCTCGATATCATCTCGGGGGGAGCGGGTACCAGAGTATTTGGGAGTCCTTGAGGCGCTGGCAAGGTAGCTCCTCTACCTTGATATGGCGGCACCGGTGACCCTTTGAACGAAGGTGAATGGCCCTGATGACGTCCAACGGGAGGTGGTGCGACGTAATTGGTCTGCAATCCAACCCTACCTTGTGAGAATTCAGCGCCTGTTAGCGACGACAAGTCTTGCGATCGTCGCGATAGTCTGTAGGTCGGACTTGTACTGGCAACAGGCGGTGGCGGCATGTACCTAGCATTTGCATTGGTCTGCAAGCCTATGTATGAGAAATTCGGAGCTGATATAGAGGAGAGGTCCCTTGATCCTGGTAATAGTCCAGTCTTTGGATTTGGACCGGTATAGACAGGAAACTCAGGCTCTTCTTCGTGCTCTGGTGCTGGCACTGGTGCAGTTGCCGATGCCGGTGTAAGTGTTTCTTGTTGTTGGGACGGACTTTCTGGCCTAGTTGGCGGCTGCCGACTCATGTTATCCCCATTTGGCTCCAGCAGCGCGCCTTGTTGTTCTGACCCTTTGCTTCTGTAGTTCAGCCTCAAATGATGATTTCTCCTGTGATGTTCGGGGAGAGGCTGGCGCTTTCGATTGTTCTCTAGCGACTGCTCTTGAAGGGGACCACTCGGTGTTGGTTGATCCGGCTGTGCTCCATCAAGTTCCAGGTCATCGTCATGTCTGGTAGCGGGATCCTTTGTGGAATTCCTCGGCGACGATAGAGCTGTGGCTTTGTTCTTGCGCGATGCATTCGAAGGACTCTGCGATACAAAGGCCAACGCCGCTGAGACGACATCATCGTATCGTTGGAGATGCTGTACCCCATCTGTTGATCGAGAACTCTCATCGTCGTCGTCGTGATCAGCATTTTTCTCTGGCTGAGCACTTCGGGCATTTGGCTTCGACAATAGCTGAGAAGATAAGTGATCCGTCACTATGGTGGGCGTTTCAAAGATTTCGTCAGATTTATGATTGGAGGACAGGGTGCTGGTAACACTGGGACCCTGACTTTCATCATCCGATTCCGTCGGTGTGTCATTTGGCATAACGGTTGCTCCGCTTTCACTGGGCGTACTTGTGCTTTGAGGCGAAGGCGAATCATCGAAGCGAACCTCAAAACCATGATGACTTTCGATTGGATCTGGGTGTTTTTGGAGGTCTAGAGTGCCATTAGCTGGAACAAGAGCACCTTCAAATGTTGGTGTCTGCGAGTGACCCGGGTCTGGATCCGGGTGCCTTTTGAGATTCTGGAGGTCAGATCTAATCTCGTCTGGGTCGGGGCCATGGCACTGGTCCTGGTTATGCTCAATTAGTCTTCGAAGCTCTAGGTGCGAATCTTTGCGTACAATCCCCCCAGGACTAAACACAGGCTCATCGTCGTCGGTGCTTGGATCCAGTGGTATCCTAATCGATAGAGCCCGTTGTGTGGTCGCGATCAAATGTTCCATTTGCAGTTTCGCGACCCTCGCCCGACTTCTATGACTTCGAACTCTCTTTTGCACATCAATGGCAGCAAATCGCAGCAGAATGTATCTTACTTGAGCGATCGTGCCTCTGACAGACGCTTGAATCATAGTCGCGCAAATGCGTTGCTTCACATATTTCTGGTAGTCATTGAAACCCCGAAAACAAGCTTGAATCAACTTGGCACAAATCGTGTGTAGGACGAAACGTTCGCTGCTTTTTTGTCTCGCCCAACACTGCAAAACTATTGCCGCCCGTTGAATCCGGAGACCTGCACGAACAAATCGTTCACTGTTTGTCCGTCTCGCCCAACACTGCAACACTAAAACCGCCCTCAGAGACCGACCATAAACGATTCTCGCAATGTTTGCGCGTATCCATCGTTGTATCAGGTGTGCCGAGGTTTGCAGCTGATAGTAGGCTAGCTGACATGTATTTCTTCGGTATAAGTTTTGAATCATGACAGCTGCACCTTGCTCCAGAAGATCTTGTTTGATCTCGAGATAACTTTTTCGAGCCAACGCCATTCGCGTGCATGATTGCAACAAAACGACTGATTTTCGTAGATCCAGAAAGCACTTTCTCATGGAGAGCATTCGGGACCAACGTTGCACCATGATGGCTGCAGCTAGAGCGGCGCGCATTCGGGCATCGCGGATCGCTGTCATCTTCCTGTACCACCTTTGCAACGCTATTGCCGATATTCTCAATTCCAAGAATGCGACTCGGACCCAACGCATTCTGACCAGACTCTGAATCAGAAGCGCCGAGTATATCCTCAACCGTCCACCCTTCACTGTAGCTCGAGCAACATTCATCGTGGCACTACTAGTAGCCACTGGTGTTGATGGCGGTGATCGAAGGGAGCTTCGTCCCAGTAGCTTTTGTGAAGCACTTTGAAGTTCGCGGTAGGCCGACCGGCACGAGAACATTCGAACGGCCGATTGCACAATGATAACAGTGTCGCGCAACTGAATGTAAGACGACTGACAGCTTGCCATTCGAAAATTTCTCTGAATCACAAGACACGAAAAGTTCTGCAGCCGCGTGCCCTTGATCGCCTGCTTGAATGCTCTGACTTGAAGTCGACGCCGGAGCAACGATTGGAGTGACACCACGGCAGACCGGAGTCGAAGGAATCTACGTCGATCAGGTAGCATGCGCCAATACGACTGCAGCAGGATTGCAGATCGATTTTGCATGCGACTGATACGTCGCTGTTGTCGTCCTTGGGACCGAGGTGACGGAGGGTCTTGTTTTCCAGTCGAATTGGATGTCGACGCTAAATATCGAGGCGTTATTCCCGTGGTTCTTCCAGTAGGACTCTTTGGTTTTCTCTTTGGAGGATCCTTTGGCGACGCCAAGGAAGCCGCTGTTGGTGCCATGAATGATGATGGCCGCCTCGCAGCGCCCCGAGGCGATGTTGACTTTGTTGAGCTTAGTGGTGATGATGCAGCTGCTTGGTCTTGGGATTTCTTTTTAGGAGATGGAGACGGAGGCGCCTTTGATGGAGATGGTGCCTTCTTTGGTGGAGAAGCAGGACGCTGAGGAGACTCTGTGGTTTTGGCGCCATTGTTTCGGAAGGAGGGGAGCGGAGGCAGACGACTCTTTCTTCGCCTAGTCGTTGGTTTGGGAGGTTCAGGAGGCGACGGCGTTCGGGTGAAGGACTTGCGTGGTGAAGCCTTGTTGCGTTGATCTGGTCTGGCGGTCGTTGAATTTCTTGCTTTCGTTCGCGTGTTGCCGGAAGCACCAGTCCGTGTGGGTGTTGCGAATGATGGCACGGGCGGTTTCCTTGAGGGGGATCTTACTCTCTCCGGCGATGAGTTGTTGTCTCCTGTGGTTATACTGTTCCGTTTGCTATTTGTTGTAGCCCTGCCAGCCTGAGGTTTCCTCGTTGCAGGGGAGGCTCGTGCAGGGGAGGCTCGAGCAGGCGATCCTGGTTGTCGTGTCTGTGCTACACGAGGTAGTGCTTTCCTGTTGGGCGGAATCCTTGGTGTCGCGGGCTGGTTCCTTCGATTGGAATCCTTCTCTGGCATTTGTTTCGACGAACCTGATTGCGGTACTTGAGGGGAACCTTGAAAGTCGGACTCTCCCTGTTGCGGAACCGGACTTTCGAGTTCCCCCGGAGAGGACTCGGTTGGTTTCGGCTGAGGAGAGGGCGTTCGAAGATGTGCAGCAACCCTTGGTTGTGGAGAGGAACTGCGAAGGTGCGCAGCAACTCTTGGTTGTGGGGAAGCGCTTCGAAGATGCGGAGACGGGCTTCTTGGGATGGGGGAGGGCCTCCTTAATGGGGCCGAAGCACTCCTACCTGAAGCAGACATAGTCCTACTCGCGGGGGAGGGACTTCTCATCACACGTTTTCTTTGCTGTGACAATGTGTCTCCTTCAGGATCAGGCCGCGTCGATGGCGTTGGTCCTTCAGGGTCTGGTTTGGAAGGTGACGTGTCTGAGGCCACCTGCAGTCTGCTTCTTGGCGAAAGGATTCCGTCATCATGGCTAGGCTGATCCCGCCTCAGGTAATGATCTTCATCACCTACTTCTGTCGTATCGTGGGGAGACCTAGTTTCTGGACTCGTTGCAGCCATTTTCTTTGTCTTCGTGTTGGACGTGATAGAAGTCTTGGACTTTTCCTGAGATGCTTTCAAAGTGGATCTGGTGGTACGGACAGGGGGCTTGGTATTCCTGTTTGGTGGGATTGTTTGTCTCTGTTTTCGAAGCTGCGACTCTGTCATTTTGTGCAAGGGAGATGGGCGGCTTCGAATGTTGTTGTTTGCTGCCTTTCTGTTGGCAACTTGTGGCGACGAGCGTTGCTGCTGTTGTTGTCGTTGCTGTGGCGTTCTGTTGGGTGTGTTTAAAGCCGTCCGTGTCTGAGGACCGTTCCGTTTGAGCGGCGTGCTGCTGTTCCCTACTGTATTGTTCTTTCGATTATTATTTGCAGGAATAGCGCCACCTGCCTTGACTGGAGTGGATCTACTGTTGCGGGGTGGTCCTGTGGTGGTGATTGGTTTTTTCTTCATTACAGGAGCGGTGGAAGGCTTGTTATTGTTGTTCCGTACGGGCGTGTTACGGTTTGGCGGAAACTTGGTCTTGATAGTCATGGGCTTGCCTTGATTTAACTTTTGCGCTCTTTGCTTGGCCGTAGTCGTAACCGATTGCGTCTCCATGGTTGGCGTTGAAGCAAAAGTGGTTTCATCAATCTCTACGTGTATACTTCTCGTTATGGACATGTTAGCACTCTGCATGAAGCGCGGTATTCCAAGGTTGTCTGGGATGATTGCATTGGCGATTGTCGTGATGGTTCTTGGAGGCCTGTTCATCAATTTCGGTCGCCGTCGTTCTAGGGACATGATGGAATCGGCTTTTTGATTAACCCATCTCTCCACAATTTGCTCAAACTTGAAGTACAGGAACTCTGCTGGAAGACTGGCGCTTTCGTGTTGAAAGTTTTCAGATGGATCTGGTTCCCATCGACTTCGAGAGACGGTGGAGCCTCCCCCATCGAGCGACGTGCTGCTAGTTTCCAGGATATTGTTATTGTTGCTGTTGTTGTGATTGTGTTGACTGTACGACCGATTTCCAGCCATACTCGACTTCCGTGACTTGGACCCTCTCTTCCTCAGCATGTTTCGATCTTGCGAAAGTTCATTTTGAGACCCCATTTCCCGAGCGAGGAGTTCCCGAGCTTGCAATTCCCGTGCTAGAAGTTCCCTGGCCAGCAGTTGGCCGCTTTCGTTGCTGCTCCCGTACTTCATCACCATGGCCATACCTTCCCCCGCTGATGATGCCCCTTCATCAATGGCGTTGTTGTTATTATCAATGACATGGTGTTGATGATGATGATGATGATGATGGTTGTTGCCTCTGATGATACTGTTGTGGATGTCGTTGGTGCCCTGTGGGGGCATGCTCGACTGAATCTGTTGCTCGTAGCTACTAGTAATAGCCGTAGGGAAGGGACCAAATTCATCTATGGCTTCATATTCTTCGTCGCTGTACCCCATAGTAGTGTAGCCTCTCGCCAATCGGTTGCCCTGGAACTCTTGCGAGATGCAAGAGCTCCAAACTGTTGGGCGCCTTCTATGTTGGGCAAAACTACTACCTACAAGTTGAAGAGGGTATCAATGCAAAGTCTAAGATTGATCGATACTCGGAATGATGCTAACAGCAAGGGTGCTCGATGGTGGGTCATTTATCGTAGCGCAACACGCAACCGGCATCTCTTTATCTTGCTACTACTAGTAGTCCACGACGCAGCAAGGAGCTGTTCGAGGTGCGCAGCTTCGACCTGTTCGATTTGTCCTCTTTTGGCGAAGAACGTTGATCAATTGCTTTCCGTGGCCTGCTCTGCGTTTTGATACCCTCGTCTTGTGTGTCATGGGTCAGTTAATGCTTTAACGATCCAAAGAGATAAGCTGCAAGTGAACCTGGGGTGCTCCAGGTTCTGACACTTCTCCGGTTCGGCCCAGTTCATTCAAATCGGAAGATCGGAAGCCTTCGGGTCATTGCCAGTTATTACTGTAGATACGACAGCTGTAAAAACCTGACCACCTGCACTTTGTCCAGGTACCAGCACCAGGTAGACACCCATCAAAACAAACTCAAGCGGTGCTCTCATTCATTCATTTGGTGCAATTGTTGTATTGGACTGGACTACTAGCAATCAGGAAACCCACCTGAATATCATAACATAAGTTTGAAGTGTATATCGATTTTCAAGAGATAACAATGATGGTCGTAGACAAGCAGCACGCCCTGGATGATCAGATCATCCACTTAACCGAAGACAACATGACCTCCCTCCGCTATGAAGTGAGCTCGGTTCGTGGTGCTCTTCGTGCCAAATTCCCAGAAGATAAGTTCCAGCACATCCTACCCAACCTGGACCCTGATCGAATCATCCCCGAGGAAGCCAAGTTTGAGGAAGTGATTGGTCCTCCTCCGGAATCCAACATCTACGGGGCATACGGGTGGACCATGCGGGCTGACAGGATTCCGCACTGTATTTTCCTCACACAATTCATTGGTATCCAAGTGGAGGTGGAGACACCCTTTATCGAAGAACTTCTATTGTGGGTCCAAAAAATCAACAATAACGAGGATGTGCCATGCCGAAACAGTCAGTGGAGACACAATTTCTTTCAAAAACGAAGAGATCGACTCAAGCAAAAACTTGGCAGTATCTTGCAAAAGGAAATCATGGACCTCATCATGGTCACGCAACACTTCAAAAACGGATCGCTCGCTGAAGAAGCTGGATTCTTTTCCTTTTATGCCGCTCTCTTCCAAAGAAAAATGCTGGATAATGATGAGCTATGAGTGACTGTCTGTCACCTAGCTAAGCAATCTCTAGCTACGGTGGTTCCTTCACTTTGGGAATGGGATGCTTTCTGCTGCTTTCAATGCCTTGATGGGATAATTGTCTCTGTGCTTCCGTATTGCAAGAGGCGACCAAGAAGAAGATACGAGCAAGCTACATGTATGTCATACTAGAAAGGATTTCGTGGCAATCAAAAAAGAAGGTGCTGACCGTGACCTGATTCCGGAGTCGATTCCCAATCAGGCGAACAATCCGATTCGATTCATGCGAGAGATGTGACAAGACCGCATCTCGCCCAAAACACACGCAAAACGCCAGGGCAAGTCTTGCCTTTCGTTCTTTTGCGTGGAAAAGTGGAGTGAACGGTCGCCTGTGGTTGTTAGGCGGAGTTTTCAACTTTTTGGCGCAGCGCCAAACGACCCCAACGACAATCATTTATTGAGGTTCCACTTCAGCTAGCATCCCAACCATCAGGTAGATAAACAAAAGAGCCAATGCAACGTCTACACTAATTGCTAGCTAGGATCCTGTATTAGTAGTATGGTACAGTTGGTTTAGTAGCATGTTATGAGTTTGTTTGAGTGGCAACGATAGCGATCCGGTATCCCCGTGCTCGGATAAGCTTGCCCCCTCGAAGAGTACAAGAAGATAGGAAGAGACTTTAAGAAACTGATCTCCCTTGAATGCCCATAGTTGTCTCTTATCCACAGTGGTCTATGTTTCGTGGCGCTGGATGCATGCGCTCTTAGAAGAATGTCGAGACGCTGTCTTGCCATGTCGTTGATGCTGTCGTTGTCAGCGTAAGGTCCATACTATTGTCCATGTCCGAGTACTCCGACAAAATCTCGCAGTCTTGCAGGAGATGTTGGAACTGAGGTGGGAACTCAAACACAACGGGCGACTCGGAGGAACACTCGAGTCCTGGCCGCGTCTGGATGGTATGCATGCTGCTCGAAAGGTCGTTCAATGGCAGCCGGCTAAGCTCATCGTCCGTGCACTCAGTCAACGAGTGCATCTGGGAACAAACGGCCTTCATGGAGAGTCGCCTTCGCACATCTTGAGCCCACGACTGTTCCAAAAGCGCTTGAAGCACAGGAGGAATGCCAAACTGTGTGAGCACAGGACGTTCTCCTTGCTTGCACACGTACTCAGCATGTTGCTCCGATGAGTACTGTGGATAGGGCTTGTCGAGAGTGAGCAGCTCCACGACCACCATAGACCAGGAGAAAACATCCGCCTTGGCGTTGTAGCAGTTGGAGTTGACAATCTCAGGGGCGTACGAGAGCCCTCATCAACATGGAGTCAAGCGAGGGTCCATACGCAAGACATCAGAAAGTCTCATCTTGATTGTTGTCGCCATTACTCGCTGGTATGGGCAACGGCTCTCCCAGGGCTAATCTATATATCAGTCGAAAGCAGGCTATGAAGCGGTATCATCTAGTGATCACAGCGCAACTGTGAACTGTCTCTATATCTCGCACATCCATTCAGAGGTATCGTAGATGCACTCTGGAGCCCTAAGCTTGGACTCTGCGAGGACTCTAGTTTCACACAATTATATGTAGCATGCCAATTGCGCGCTTCACGCACAGCTATAAGCAGCCTATTCGCGTTGGATCAACTGTGCACCCTGCTCAGCCCAATGGCTCGCTCATATATATGCGTTATCTAGCACTCGCAGACTTTTGATTCAACACAGTATTGCATTCTGTCAGAATAGTTATGGACCAAAGCTATTCCGTCAAAAATTCCATCGAGCTCTCAGCACGCTGGCCGCTCCGATCAATATTATCTCCAGCTCTTTTTCCGCGCCAAATACGCTGCCTACCGGTTCCACGACGTCACCATCTGAGCTCCTTCTTCAGCAACCACCAAACAACCCAAAGCATGAGTAACTCAATTGAGTCTATCCATATCATTTCCATACAACGACTTCCTACAACGACTCGCATTACCCTCCAATCGAGAAGCGTGAGAACCGATACCACGGATGAAACCATCATAACGTCCACTCTCATGCTAGCGATAGAGGAACTTGTGGCTTTTCGAGACGAACGTGACGGAGAGGTGGACGGGTGCGTTCGTATAGTCTTAACAGTGATAGGTAGATGTTAGCCTAGTAAAACGCCAAGCTTATTTGGGTGTAATTTGGTTTTGGGTTAAGCTGTAAAGCAAAAGTGAGGGTTTTCTGGTGGTTCATAGCGCTAATTCCTGTGGCACCTGAGGATGGGATATAGCGGGAGGACCCCCGCAACACCTGGGTGGGACCTAAATAACTCTCCGTTGTGTTTCCTCTTTGTGATGCTTGATTCAATTTTTATCATTTTATTGGCGAATCCGGACTCAGATATTAGAGACACGAGTTCAATAGTAAAAGAGTTCAGGTATGCGTCCTCCAAGCGAGGGCACCCTGCGCAGTTTTTTTTTGTTCTGGTTTCCCACATGATACCTAACAATATTTAACGTCTCTCTGCTTTCAAGTTATCATTTTTCATGTCTAGAGTGTTCACATCTAGTTCTCGATAGGTCAGCTCCCGCAACGGCTGCCTATCGGGCCTCAACCGATCTAACATGCCCCGAGCTCCAACAATGGCACCTGTGGAACGAATTAAGCACACCCATGGAGAACGCACAGATCTCTCATAACAGGCACATCACACGAAGACGCGAGACAGTCGCCGGTGCGAGGAGTCGAACACCGCTCAAATTCCAACGAGCCGCTCCTACTGAGTCTACGAATGAACAAGTACATGACTATTCTCAAGAATAGTCCAATGATCTTCCAAGGCCCTACCGAAGAGCCTCACCGAAACTTGCCATACCATAGATGCAATAGAGGAGAGAAGTTCGTACCTATCGAGAAAAAAAGTCCTTGAAAGACCCCGACGAAGGATACACCATGCTCCATTACATGGATCTAATCGAACACCTGCAGGAGCAATTCGGTGGACTCACCAATAACAGAACAAACTCTCCATAATGAACCAAAACAAGTCGAAAGAATGGTAAAGCACACAAATGTGGTTATCCCAATTGGTCCATCGAAATAAAAAAGAAACAACGAACCCATTCAGAAACTGAAAGCTTGAATCACTTTAAGCCCAAATCCAACGATGGCCCAACGCCTCTCTGGACGTCCGAGGCTCTATGAACATTACATCAACTCTGCCCGACGCGATGGCAATATATTCTTCTATCTTCCTCTATTTCTCTTAATCAAAAACCTAGAGGACAGTGGCGTATTCAACAACGCACTCAAAGAATGGCGCAACAAAACCCTATAGGCGACACCAAGCTTGGGGAGAGCGTGTGCCGCGAGAGCGCCTTCTTTCCGCTCGGCAGCCCAAAAAGGAACGTCTCCAGCAGCGAGCGAAGATGCGTGCGTGTTAACGCGTTATAGACCGCGCGCTCGGCGATGAATACCAATTAGACCAAGGCCATCGCTTGTCTTCACATACGATCTCCGAGCCAATGCCGCGGAGAAGAATAGCTTCTCGTATTTAACCCCTACCGTCAAATCCAATTCAGCTAATGGCGAACTAATGTCCTATTTTTTCTCCACGTCCCCAAGTGGGAGATCTACATCACCCACAACAGCAAAACTGTCAGCAACCCTTTCTCTCTCTACCACACATGGGCAGACGACCGAGCACAACGAAAAGAGCACGCCAAACAACATGATGGCGGCGATGCCAATGGTCCAGCGCCAAACCAGGGAACTTTCCCATTCGTCAAACTACGCAACACAACCCAAGCGAAACAGCAATGCGCACAATGGCTAAGTTGGACGCCAACTCGCGAAAACGGAAGCTAAGCAGCGCCAAACCACTCCGAAACGCACAACCGAACACCCCGCCCATCCGGGATACGAGCGACCACAACAGCTCACCCCGAGAATAATCGGACTCATATAGCTCCTTCTCAAGCCCTTTCAACAACAACGCCGGTGAGAGAGACCCGGTAGCACATACAAGTTAGTAATGAGAATCTATTTAGCAAAATACACCTACACCACTACACACCCAGCAGCCAGTCCCCTCAACTCACACCTGATAGCCGATCACTATCAAGGCATCGACCAATCACTGTGGCGGCCCTCTCTGTTTCGCGGTACATACAACGACGCCGAAACAAAGCACCCAAGCAGAGCCCTGACCCCACCACCTCTGATCACAGTAACCATCTGCCCTGAATCTCGAGCATGCAAACCAATTCTCTACGCGACAGCAAAACTAAGCAGCAATTCCTACGCTCAGCGATCCTCACACCAATACCATACGAAATAAACTGAGTGGGAACCAGGATAACGTTCGACAACAACCTACTCTCCATTGGACAAGGAAATATCTCAGCGAGTATGGACATGACTATGACAATCAGGACCGCACGTTACGCGATACCACCACCGCATATGCAAATAACCAACGACCCTCATGGCCAACACCCACTCCCTACGTAAGGCCCCAAGGAACCCACACACGCTAATGGGCACCGTCTGCCTCGGGCCCAACTAACCACGCCAATAAAATCACACCCAACCAAAACCACGCAAATTGTCCCGCTTCCGCCCAGCCCATCCTCGGATTCACCAGCACTGACCACTAACACTAAAATCGCCGAAGCTCTCACGAAAAAAAACAATGTGCCCACATGGATTCCGCAAAGGCCCTGCACCGACAACACCCTAGCAAAAAATACCCTCCACAAGGGGGGAGCTAACAAGAACGCTAACAACGCGCCCACCTTGACAGTAGCTCAGACATAAATCAAAAGCGGATCCACACAATCCCCATTACACAGCCTTCCCTTGCATCGAACCCCACCAGTAGCAGATGCCGACCCACCCACCGGACCCACACCAACTACCACCAAAGCTATGCCGCTCTTGGAATATCAAAAAGAGGAAAAGAACCCTAACAAGCGAACCACGGAACGCTCCCCCCAGTGCCTTTCACACAAGGCCACATCCTGCCGCTCTTTACGCCGTATCTAGTGGACTAGGTGCGATGGCAACGAACTAATCTATTACCCGCTCTCCACCATGCGGCGAGCGCGCGCGATGAGAGCCGAAAACCCCGAATAAGGGTCCGCGCGGAGAGATACGTTTGTTTCAGGCGAGTTTAGCGTCAGAGATTGTCGCACATGAGAAGAGGCTAGTCCCGCTGCGGCGGACAGAACCGGAGCATTATCGTCCAGAGCAACCTGGAAGTTCCAAGGCAAGCCGATGAAACAATCACCATTCCTTGAAACACGACACCGGGCAGGGACGTCCAGTTTAGTCCCTGAAAAACCGGCTAATGCACGAGACGGCGGACCGCGTAAAATGCGAGCCGAGATCGGGAGTTCATGTAACGTCACCAATTCAAGAAACCACCTTCATGTGCAAATGCAACCGAGGACCCCTGACTTTCCACTCAAAGCCCTGGGATGAGAAGCTCCCTTCCAGCAGGAGAGAGAAACAACTGCTCACTTACCATACGTGCGTTGCCATAGGCGGCCCGTAACAACACAAAACCACTCCATCAGAGCCTATGAAACGCCATTATCTGACTATGTACTCAATGCAACACCGCATAGCTCCACCCGGAATCCGTGTCCTGTGCCATGAAAAGCCTGATAAACGCCGATCATGGGCACCTAAAGGCAAAGACGGTTGGTATTCGGCCCAGCAAGAACACACTACCATGTACCAGTTACATCTGGAAACAGCAACAATTGCGAGAGCGAGCTGACACCCTGGAATGGTTCCCACACCCACAAACACCTCTCCATCCCACAAACTCCACTCATCAGGAACAACTATCGTCGCCACACGTCCAAGACCTCAACAACATCCTCTACGCACATGCCCTATCCGAGCTACAACCAATCATCGACGCCATACTCCTACAGCCAACAAAAAATGTCTGGTTCTATATATCACAGAAATACCTGACACCGGAAACATCCGAAAAACACGAGGGTGCCAAGCCCCAAACACGTGGCGTGAATACAGTTGCCAACCACCACTGCACTCTCGACATGACACTGCCACAGGAACTCAGCAACGATCCGACGGCAACAACACAAGACCCAGCGGAGGGAATTAAAGAAGGCATTCAAAGGTCTCGCCGACACCAAGATGCCACACTAGCCCGTACGCGAATTCAGCCAAAGAGCAGTGAGGGCCACCTGGGAACAGACAGGCAACTGCAAGGTTCGTGCCGTCTACTCGACTTGTTGGAAGACGTCAACGCACCATGACAAGCTTTATCCAATCGCTCTGCCATTCCATCCAGATCGGACACAACCGACTAACCTACAGGCCATTGTAGTCTGCCTATCGACCACAGTAAAAGCTGATCCATACCGAGTCCGACACAGCAATCGTGGATGACAGTGAATCGACTACCCCCTTCGCACACACTACTAAAACTAAACAGCCAACTCACAACCACCAACGCTCCTCCTCAAACAGTGTTCTCCAAAGCACACCACCTTAATGCTAAATCTCATGAGCCATGGACATCAAAGATTACTACCTCGCCAACAAACTTCCGCGAACTGAATACATGCAGATCCACAGCTCCGTTATCCCCGAGGAAATCATTCAACAATACCAACTACGAGAACGCAACCTCATCGATGATCGAGGCTTCACCTATGTCGCCATCGATGGAGGCATGTACGGACTAAAGCGCGGACGTGTTGCGAAATGACGACTAGTCCCATTTCTAGCACACCACGGCTACAATCAATCCAAACGAACCCCTGCATTGTTTAAACATGAAAGCAGACCCATAGCGTTCGTCCTCATTGTTGACGATTTTGGTGTCAAGTATGTAGGCGATGAACATGCCCAACACCTCGAACACATCCTCCAACCCAATACACAATCATACACTGGACCGCGCCCTCTATAGTGGATTCACCTCAAGTGGGACTACACCAACAGAACCTGTGACATGTCCATGCCTGGCTACATCGACAAAGCTCTCCAACGTTCCAGCATCCGCACCCCAAACCGAACACTCCCACATACCACACAACAACTCCACTATGGCATCCAAATGACAGGCGAACCAGACCACTCTCCCCTACTCGACAAGAAAGAAAAGCAACGCATTCAACAAATCCTAGGAGTACTATTTCTCATGCCGCCGAGCAATCGACAACACCATGCTCACCGCACTCGGATCCATAGCAACCCAACAAGCTTCTCCAACCGAAGCTACCAAAACAGCATGCAATAAACTCCTCAACTATGGCCACACATCCCAACGCGCATCGTCCGTACCACGGGTTAAAAAGCGACAGGTCCTAAACGCATCGACCGAACGCCTCCTACTCAGTGAAAGCAAAGCTGTCACGGCGCAGCCTGTACTTCTACTGCAGCTCCAACACCAAACCCCACCCACAACGGACCCATCCTAGTCATTTGTCCCATCATGAAGATGGTTGTAGCATCTGCAGCTGAAGCAGAAACAGGAGCAGCTTTCGAATGCGGACAAGAAGGATGCCCACTCAGAACCACCCTTGAATTCCTCGACCATCCACAACCAGCAACACCCATTCGAATCGACAACAAAGTTGCAGAAGGCATCATCAATGACACAGTCAAACAACGACGATCTAAAGCCATAGATATGCGCTTCTACTGGATACAAGACAGAGTAAACCAACACCAATACCATGTCTATTGGCAACCAGGATCTGTCAACCTAGCGGACTACCCTTCCAAACACCACCCTCCCAAACACCATCAAAACATGCGTCCTACATACCTGTATGAACCCACAGCACCATCATCTTCCTATCCCAACCAAGCCAACAAACCAGAATCCACAGCCTTGTCGTGCGAGGGTGTATTGAAGTCACAGCGCAACTGTGACTCAGATCTCCACACCAAGACTGTTAGATGGTCCCCTGGCTTGCAGGACCCACAATTAGATGTAGATCCAGCAGAGCCTCCAACAGCTATAACAGCTATTGGGGGACACTCCCTGCTCAGCCAATGGCTCCCATAATTGTTTCTAACCTCCAGTTTATCAACAGAGCCATTAGCTTCAATATCATCTGCTCGGAACCCTATGTTGGAAGGCTTGAGATCTCTGCAAAAGTATACATCAAAGGACATGATTCAGTTAGTATACAATCCACAGTAGACAGTTGTCCATCTCATCTACTGCAATGCTCTTACCTGAAGATGATGCGTTGGTCATGGAGGTAGCTGATTGCATCCGCAACCTGGGAAGCGTAGTTGATCCGTCTTGAAATGCTCACTTGACGACACTCAGGGTATCGGTAGAGACGATCTCTCCATCGATGAATGCGATGATCAAGAGGTTCTACTCGATCCATAATGATGAAGAATCCATCATGACGCTCACCAAATGCACTTGTCCACCCTCGTGCAAGTCCCCGGCATTTGATGATGTTTGGATGGTTCAGGCGAGTCAAGAACTTCACTTCAATGCATAAGTCAATAGCAGCACTTTCAAAGTCATCTTTGACTCCAACTAAGTCTCCTCGTAGATGCTTCAGGGCATATTGGGAGCGCCCTTGTCCCGCTATTTGTTCGGCGAGACAGCGCCTGGCAGCAGATTGTGATGAATGGTTGTTGTCTGGGTTCAAAGCAACTCTAGTTACAGGAAAGACCTGAGAGAATGCACCTTGTCCTAGAAGGTGATGCCCCACTTCGATTTCGCAACGATCAAAGCATGGGATGTTGTCAACCTGAGGGGAGCGGCTCAGGAAAGCAGAGCTTCGGGCAACATTCTCCACCTTTTCATGAATAGCTCGATAGTTGTACGATTGCTGAGGATGCTTGAGCTCTTCCTGCTGGTAATGTACGTGAGGGTAATGCACCGCGTTATTAGGCATCATCTTGCTTTCCGAGATTCAAATAATACAATCAATAGCTTGCCCTGCATTGGTGGTCCTTTGTTTTTTGTTTTTGTGCGAGTACACTGTAAGCTCGAATTCAAATGTGGTCTGCCTACTGTAAGCCAGCGAGGGAGATCACAAACCGCACCGGCAGGTTTTGTATCGGTACGGTAGTAATTTTACGTAGGCTCATCACGCCGACTGTAGCCTAAGCACCAAACACAAAGTCCATCGTAATTAAGCTCTTTCAAGCGTGCCGTGTTGACTCCCCAACTCGCTCTGTGAGTGCCACTTCGTGTGGAAGTCAGACGACGGGATTCCAATCGATTAATCATTTATTTTCGGTGCACCGGTCGCTTACAATACGGTGCATGTCTATGACATTGTAATACCGGTAAGTCCTGTACGTGTGGATAGCTATATAATCAGACGAGACTCGATTCGGGATTCCGAGCACTGGTCGCTTACTGGTCTATGTGTAAGTCCTGTACTTATTGTTGGCACCAAACTCTTTGGCGGTCTCTCGCAGAATATTTAAGTGCTGCTTTGGCCAACCACCAACAGACAGAACCGAAGACAGAATTTTTTTCGGTCTATGACAATGTTTCAACGCTACCAACGTCTCTTTTTGCCAATACAGAGCGATTCGGTAGCAGTTGGTAGAAGTGCTCTAGAGACATAGACATACAAAGAGACATCGCCATTTGTCTTGCACCGGCTATCTAGCCTGAAGAAAGAGCTCCAAGCAAGGCATCCTGGCGCGCACCCAAGGTTCCCCTCTTGCCAGGACAGTTGAGTTTTGGTCGAAAGAGGGGAGTTCGTTCAAAATTTGAAGAAAACAACAGATAGAGAGAAGGAAACATAAACGTACGTGTACAGCATTGGTACAGTAAATGTACCGTGCCATTATTATCAGCACCAATGCATCGGAAGGTAACAGATATCCATCGCCCAAATAACCAATTCCCGCCAAGGAGATTCGAATTTTACCCTTGCCAATTGGAGTTAGCGGTGCGCGTTTTCTGGAAAAGCGCATTGAATATTGAAGGGGTTGCGGTTAGGCCAACCCAATAGAGGGGTTGGGCGACAATTTCAAACTAGTCTTACCAGCTGTATGTCATAGGTTTTGGTTCGCCTACCAGTATGCATATTCCCAGGTAGCGGCGGGAATTGGAGCTGCTTGCAGGAGCTAATGACAAGCTGAAGGGATAGAAGTGTTGTACAGTTCGGCATCGCCACCGTAACCTGATATATCGTGCATAGGGCTACCCGCCAGGTTCTCATGTCTCGTGTTGGCCGTTCTTGGCTGTGTGAGTCTCCTATAATATACCGGCACCACCTGGGATCGCAGAGACTGTGGTGGTGCTTGGTTCAGTCTTACTGAATTCATGAAGAGGCCAGCAGGCAGGTGCTGTATGTACTACCAGGTACTAGCTAGTACTGGTAGCTAGTAGTCTAGATACATGTGGGTAGGACTGCCATGCAGCGAGATTAAAAAAATACAGATCGTTAGACTAGAGACGGTGTGCGTACCGGTACTCACTCGTGTATCAAAACCAATCCCACAAAATTTCGAACCTGTGAAGTGGGAAATCGAGAAGCCCCCAAAAGCACGCACCTTAGAGGAAGGGTTATACTGTACAATACGTATCGTATATATCGTACACATGATACGTATCATATGTAACACAATTATCATAAAAACTAGATAATATAATATTATGATATATATTAGCCATCTGATATACATAATATATAATATATATAATATGTATCATATGATATGACGAATTTTTGCCAGTTCTCTAAGTTGCCAGGTCTCTAAGATCTGAACTGAAGCACCCACCAAAGTGTCACAACAACCAATATGGATACCTATCTTGCTGAACTGAATGACGTTGCCCAATATGATACCAATGTAGAAGAGTGGATCCCTCCTTCTAGTAGTGTAGCTGTGGCAACGTCTCTAATAAATGAAACAACTCCTATTACAATTGACATTATGCAAACGCTTGGCCAGCTTGGCTATGCTCAAATTGACAAGACCGACATGTAGCTATTGTGCAATACACGGCTCTTAGCCTTATTCGCGACTCGATCCTAGATAGGGTTTGAGTTCGACTCATGACGTAGTCCTTCGCGAAGTAGTCATTTGAGACAGGGTCTTCGCATGATCTGCTAGTCATACTAGGTTGTCGATGAACATCGCTCTAGATATTTAGCCGGCGTGGAAGTCCACGGCTACTAGACAGCTACTAGCTGAAGTTTCCACGTGTTCCGGAATGGACCGTGGAGTACGTAGAGTTATTGCCATAACCTACGATATCACACTTCGAGGCCTCCCACGGGAGACCAACTTCAATGAGCTTCACAACGATCTCTCTCATGGATTAGTTTTTCATGCTTTCTAATCTTCTCATAACTTTTATTCTCATTTCTCTCAAACTCAAAACGATCGAAAGATCTTTACACAGCTTTTAGCGTAGTGCATTTTGTTACAAACACAATAGCTTTCAGCTACGCTCAACTCTATTCCTCACCATAAAGATTGCTCACAGGAAAGCTTGCACGTTCACCAACATTCGAGAACAGTTGCGTGACTAAACCCATTCTCCTTCTCGTATGCCAAACGACGAAGACGCGGAGATCGACGATTCTCGCTCTACCTCCTACAAACTTCGCACCAGTCCTGCAGATGCAAACAGGGCCAAATACACCTTCAAGATAGCCATCATCAATGTTCCACACACTCCACGTCAGACCTTCAAGTGGGCTGGACTTATGGAGAAGGTCTTCTTTGGACTCAACCTTGCTAATGCCGACAACAAACATCGCCTTCTCGAGGAGATGACTTCCAGCTATGCAAAGAGTGCCTACGAAACTGGGTGTGCAGGCCATCG